TTCTTTTTTCTGCCCGTGTATTCCTTCTCCTGCGCATTTTTTTCGCGATATTCTTTTCTCGGTTCATTTTCTTCGAGACCTAGGCTCTCCTCCGGGTCGACAGCCTTTCTCGGAGCGGCAGAAGTTGAGGTTGCTTCTCGGGTCAGGTCCGGATTCGATTCGAATTTAGTGTTTTTATTTAACCGGTTGAAAAACCAGCCGTTTGATTGAATAAATTTGGATTTACAATCGAGCGAATTTGCAGATTATATTGGAAATTTTTTTCACATTTTTTCAATTTATTTTCTTGTTTTGTAATTAATTTAGTGAGAAAAAATATTTTAAGAAAAGTTCTCGGTAAGCATTTTTTTGTATGAAATTAGATATAAAAATCGTGCGGAGACAAACGGCCGGAAAAATCCCAAATATTCCCAACCACTATCAATAATACTACATAATTAATAAATAATTTCTATTACGTTATCAATTTCTATGAAAATGAGATAGGAACGAAAATTAAATTAGAATTTCTGGCATTATTTCGTTATTTAAACAAGCGTGTGCGATGATAACATTGATAGTTTTAGGCGCCATTTATACTACATTCTAATGCCATTACTATTAGTCTATAAGCTATTTCTGTTATTGCTAATATTTTAGCTAGCATTAATCGGGCCGCCGGACGAATTGTGCAAATACCTCGCTTATCATCTCGCTCAGAACTCGCACCGAAACGATCAAGTTCAAGGTTAGAAAATCATTTCCACATTAGACTAACCGGAACCAGGGCGGTGAGATTTTGATTCTTCCACCATACTTTAGGTTCGAGGAGCTTCGGGCTTGGATTTAGCATCGATTTTGCATCGAAAATCGATCGGGCCGGCCCGCTACTGGTCGAACCGTGCACGGGGCACCGCTTCGCGAGCCCGTTTTCGCGATGCTGTTACCTCTCTCTGAACCGAACGAGGAGAAAAAAGAAATGAAAAAGGAAACCCACGCGACGTCGACGACGATGTGCGTTTAGAGGGCAATGTTGACGCCGCGTTGCCGTTTTGTCGCGAGAGGTACCCAATTTAGGGAAAAAGTTCTGGCGAAATTTGATTGAATAAGGTTGTAAAACGGATGAAAAACGCGCTGGTGACGATGCCCAAGAACTAGTTCAATAAACTCTTCCTGATGTGAGGTCGGTTCCGCCGGCGAATCGCAACAATTATCCCGATTACCCACTTACTCGGACCTTCGGTAAATGTAAATCCGAAGCGGTCGGGAGTGCGAGAGAATAATTCTTTTTATTCATTTTTTTATCCCCATCCTCGATACAGGGAGGTAATTAATAAGTGCGACAAACTTTTGGGGGTGATGCTGCATGAAAAGATAATGATATTTTGCTATATAAATGTATGTCCGCAAATGCTTCGTTTTCGAGATACGGGGTGTTCTTAAAAATCGAAGATTTATTTATTTCTCTGAAACCAGACGAGAAATTCAAATGAAATTTGGTGGGTTTTGAGAGGTAACTATTACGCATTTTTTGACGTAAAATTGAAAATTTTATGTTAATCATTGACGCGCATACGGGTAATAATAAATTTTTTTAAAGAAAAAAATGATGTTAGTACGCCACTGAGGCATTTTTATTGAAAATTCAATTACGAATGAATTCCTCGTTCAATTTGTGACAAAAAAAACTCTCTCGTGTTTTTTTCGTACGGGTCGCCGTTTTCGAGTAAAAAAATAAAACATCTTGACGTGTATTTTTCATTATCCAGTAACGAAGAAACTTTAACACCCCGTATCTCGAAAACGAAGCATTTGCGGACATATATTTATACAGCGAAATATCATTATTTTTCCACGCAGAATCACCCCCAGAAGTCGCGCTTATCAATCGACACCCTGTATCGAGGACTGGAATAAATAAAAAAAAACGAATAAAAAAAATGCGGCGGATCTAACGACCCGACCGGTCCTCCGGGCACGTCGGCAACGTCGCCTCTCCGCGATGCAATGCGATGCCGTCGTCGAAGCCGAAGTCGTCGGTGGGTCGGGCGGTTCATCGACCCGCTCTCTCTCGCGCTTTTTTGCAGTGTCTGGGCCCACCGCCACCGCCGCGCCGATCCAGACGAACTTCGCCCGATGATTTTTCTCGGCGCTTTTGCACGCTCTCCGTACCCTACACGCACCTTGCGCCAAATCTACGCTTTTCCCTATAAGGATCCCACGGACCAACGCGAAACTTCCGCCGCCGCCGCTGCGGCGATTCCGCAGCGAAAGTTCCGCGGCGGAAAAGTTTCGCGTTGGTCTGTAGGAATCCTACAGTAGGATCCTATACTCGCTAGCACCTTTTTTAACCGAATTCGTCCCCGACACAATGAGACATTGCACGACAGATGATGTATTTCACGTCGACGAAATAAGGCAATCCACGACAGAATGAGACTAAACGCGGTATGAGATGAAGACGATTTTTGTTGGAATAAATAAATGAGCACCTCTCAAAATAGTCTATAGACTTCGACAAAATAGGGCAATCGACGACAAAAGAAGGCAATCCACGACAGAATGAGACCATGCACGATTCGCGAAGGATTGATGGAGGCATTTTTTGCGTACATCAGGTACATTTCCCCGGTATTCCCGTACGCGTGGAGTTTTATAAATACATCCCGGTATCGATTCGGGGCGAAATTGGAATTGCGAAATCGCGGGGCTCGTGTGATGTCCGGCGGCTCGGAATGAGCGCTTAATCGCGCTTTCGCGAATGGTATAGGAAAGGTAGAGCGAATGCACTCCCCTTGCGACGCGAAAAAATGCGTGTATATCGTGTTACGCAACAGCTTTTTACCGTGTTACGTCCGTCTGGGTCGCGAGAGCTTTTACGCGGACTTTTTTTCGTTCTCGGCCGGCGCGCGATTTGCATTTTCCGCGCAAGGTGGTCGGTGTATGGATAGAAATTGCGGCGGTTAATGGAGTTTTATTGGAAATTGATTTTGGGCTCGAAATGCGAGGAATAAATGGCTACTCGTTGATTAAAAACGTGCCGGTTCGTAGGCTTTTAATTAGATGCTAATGAAGTACTAATAGTAACGTTACTTTTTATATTACTTATGGAGTACGAACATTTTTTATTCAATTACTCTTACTGATAATTGCATAGAAGAATCGGTTATTCCCTCAAGTTAATAATTCCAAACTCATTTCAAATTATCTAGTTTCTATTCTAGTCGATTATGAAGACCTACCCACAAATGTATGTATTCGTTTTTCTCAACAAACACTTTTTAAGTTATTAACAAACCAATAATAAATACGCATAAATTAAAGTGTAATGTAAAATGTTTATTAATTGATAACGTTTTTCTTGTATTTCAGAGACGACCAGGAGGAGCGCATTTTCACCTGAATGTACCCGTAGATCCGAACTTGTGTTTTGCATTCGATCACGAGTTCGCTTTTACAGGTACTTTCTGGTGCGAACACACTGTATAAGGCGGCTGCGTGCGCGGAAAACTCGGGGAAGTACATGTAAAAAGGCCAAAAGGGCCGCTTGAAAGGACTTTATGGTTGGGTTTCATGTGAGGTAGTAGGTTGTATAGTAAGTATTACACCGTTTTGGAGTACTGTACAGCCTGCTAACTTTCCTGATCTCAGTCCTATTCGTCGAATCGTTCTCATCAAGATTGGTAGAATTTTATTTATCGAAAGAACTGTTACTTGAGAAATTTGTGAATAAGGTGCTGTGTGTTTCTTGTGTTTGGATTTGATTTGTAAATTATGTACAAATGTAAATAAAAAGGCAAAATTTTAGAGAGTTTTTGTAGTAGAATTGCACTATTTATAAATAAAATTCCGTTAATTAATGGGACAATAATTGGTATGTAAATTCCGTGAATGTAACAGTATTCACAACCACCTCCGAGGTTGTGGTTAAATTAACGTGCACGTGCGTTTATCATGTTTTATTTTTTCATTTTACTTTAAATTAATTAAAATAATTAGTTTGGTAACAACACATCGAGTTTCCTACCTGTATGAATGAATTAGTAATTCGATTAGACTTTATTATTTATTGAGCCGTTGACGTTATTTTAATCACAACCAATTTGAGACATTTTATTGATTTTTTACGATAGTCTCACTGCAGAGCCCTTTGTAAATATTTATTGAAATAAGTATTAAACGTATTGTTAGATACTTACATGGATCATTTTGAGGAATAATTGTATTTAATTTGTACAGGTGTTTATATTTAAGTACAATTAAGAGAGCATAGGTCAAAACACGTAAATAAATGTAAGAAAATGAGAGCGTTATTTTTTACTTATCTTTCACCAATTAATGAAACATTTTACCTACTGTTTAATCTTTATCTACCTATTATTCGTTTATGATTAAATCGTCCGTTTTACAAACATTTTGTGGTGTATGTTATGGCCATGGCTAGGCTTGACCTAGAAGCATCATCCCCTTGGAGAATTGTCAAACGGAATGACAACTGACAACTTTGATACATCTTAATTGGCCTTTTAAATTTTTTCTAATTATGATTTATGAACATCATTTTGATTAAGCTCTCTTAAAAATAGGTAGATATACAAAACAAAAAAACCATCAAAATTCTTGTTTTTTTTCTTTTATTTTTCCAATTATTTTTGCAGATGTAATTTTCGTAATTCTTTTGTATATTTACTTTTTTTTGAAAAAAACGTTTAGAAAAAAATAAGAATTTGGAGGTTAATTCGCCATGTCCCTGAGACCCTAACTTGTGACGTCACTTGTACTCTCACAAGTTTGCGACTCGGGAATTGGCGGTTAAACATTGCTTCTTCCTATTCTTTTTTCCTATCTCATATACTAACGTTTATTCATTTTACTAATTAATCCAATTACGTAATTAGTGGTCGGCGTTATTGCAAAACAACTTTTCTCAATTAAAATCCCGTCATCCAACCTCTAGCCACAACTAAAACTTATTCTGTCAATGTCAATAACATAACCGCACTTTTTTGTATTTTTTTCAGTTTGAAGTTGTGAAGTTGGAATCTTCGAACTATGATAACAATTCATTGAAGATATGTATTCAAACAATGAAATTGACATAAATTTATTGCTGAATTATCCTTTAATCTCCAAAAGTATTAAAGAAGACGGGACGGTAACTTATAAAGGCATAATAGAAATAAATGTGAGTTGGGTTATTATTGTAAATATTTATAAATTTTTATTCTTACATTCTTTTAGGATGAAGATTACAGCGTCAGTATTCTACAAAGCGCTCAAAATAGCTTTACTGTACAATTACCAGAAAGTTTGAAACAATTCGAAAATTATTTTAAAACCTCGAACTCGCCCGATATAATCAGTTATCTGGATCTAATAAAGAAGCATGTTTCTTCAAACGTTCCTCAGAAGAAGCCCAGCAACCACTGCGAAATCTTCCGTCAAGTATTACACGAATATCAAGAGTTTACGTTGTTTTTTATGAACTTAAAATCCAGTCATATATCCTACGATTTGAGCAAGATCAACGTCATCGCGTTAGACGAACAAAACCGAGAGCACCCCGTCGAAATTCGCGTGAATTTCGAGGATAAAGCGAACATTTTCGAGATCAGCGAGTACGATTTGCCTTGCGAAAAGGACAAATTCAAGAAATCATCTTACTTAAAGGACGTTTACAACCAATTCGTCCAAATGGTGGAGTCTCTGCAGCCGTTTTTCAATTTAATGGACGATTTCGACGCCAACTGTGATATTTTAGACCCCGTGCCGCAACATCGAAGGCACAATTATAGGAGGATTTGGCTTGGTAATTGTTTATACTATCGTAAAAAGAACTTATTTCTAACGAATTTATGTGATATAGGTGATTCTTCGTCGATTGTAATAACAGTAGATCCGTTCAAATTGAGCGAAGTGCCTGTAATTACCTTCCTTGGGCCAGAAGGATTGACCGATATCTACGTGTCGATGAATCGAAATGTACACAATTGGAGCCCCACTAATGATTTGTATCACGAAATTCTCAAATTCATCGGTAAGAGAATGAGTATTGGTCTATAAATAATCTATACTGTACTGTTTATAATTGTTGTAGAATTGGAGTCATTCCCAAGAAAACCTGCGGTTCCTGAGGATGAGAAAGACGGTCTTCTGCTCGAAACGGGAGGCTGCAGTATTTGCTTTTCGCTCAAGTTGGACGATAAGTTTCCGGAAATATTTTGCAAGAATAAATCCTGCAATAATTGCTACCACATCGAGTGTTTGTACGAGGTAATTACTTTTAATATTCCTCCGCGAGAAATTTCTAATTTTCGACATATTTTTTTCCAGTGGTTGGAGTCCGTTAAAGCCCCGACAGTTTGCCACAAGAAAGTCGGAGCCTGTCCCAATTGCGAGAAGGCCATCTCCTGTCCCATACCGAGCTAGGGTTTGTTAACTACTTTTTACGATTAAATTACGATAAATCACTCTTAAAAACACTATTTATTATCAATTCCTTAAAACGTCAAGTACCTTATCCTTACAATTACATAGAAAAACCTCAATCCAGCAACATTTCCTCGATGGTTTTGTCGTCTCGAAGCGGACTGGGCGCCAAGCTGGGATCGCTCTCCAAAAACTGCCTCAACTCCGACTCCAAATCGATGTTAACCACCTCGTTAGGCACCGTCGCGACGTCGGGCATAGGCACTCCCAAGGCTTTCCTGATCGCGGGCACGGTGGCCACGTCGGCCGGGTTCGCCCGCTTCACGATATCCGAGAGATTCTCGGTGATCGTCTCGGCTATTTGGGTCTCCTCCTCGCTGGGCGGCGGGCAATTGTTGAGATTCGTCGGTACCGGCGTCGACAGCCGCTGGTACTGGTTGTTCTGGAGCTTCTCCAACAGCAGGCACATGCCGTCGAGGCGCTGCTGGAGCTCGTGGCGCTCTTCGGCCAGGCGGATTTCGTCGTCCATGGTGTCCAGGAAACCCACGTCTATTCCTATATCTGTAATAAATACGTATAAAAATTTGTGTCGATTATTGAAGTCATCCCTTACCGTTGAGGCTCTTTAATTCGTCCACGCTAACTTTGACAGCATCGATGGGTTTGACCTCCAACATGGCTTTGACTGCTTGTTCTTCGTCTCTCAGATTCTTGTTTTCTTCGATGCCTTTCTTCGTTTTCGAGTGATCGCCGCCGGTGAGTAAATCGAGCAGGGAATCGACCAGATGCGTGGCGTAATCGGAGTCTTTTACAAAGTCCTGCAGACTTTCCGCGTACTGAACGGCAGTATCGGAACCGTAAGTTTGGTACACCAAGTCGCTTTCCTCTTTACTGCAACAAAAATAAGTAAAAATACACATTAAGTGAGTGGAGAGAAGTCGTACGTGAGATTCGAAAACGCCGAATCGTAGCTCGGAGCATACGACCCGAACGCCCCGTAATACAGAGGTTTAATGGGCTTGGCCGTATTCCTTCTGTCCTCTCTGAATCCCTGGATCTGGCTCGTTCCCTCGCTGATTTTACCGCACAATTGCCCCAGCAAAATAGGCCTTTTCTTCGTGCCCGGTATCACCCCGTCGCCTCCGACTAGTATGCTCAGGTGAGTGGTACCGTCCTTCTTCTGTTTGAGATAACTCATGCTCGGGCAACCGCGTTTCATCACTAAAAAATAACCAACTCTTTATCTCGATAAACTTATTATCGCTAATGTTACTAACGCAGTTTCGCCCGGGCCGTTCTCGCGGCGATTTGGGACTTCGTCAGGATCTCCTCGGGCGTTAGCTCATCGGCGACCGCTTCGAATTTCGTGGCCGGCATTTTCTTCTTGATCTCCTGCGCGTGATCGCTGTCCTCGTGGTCGTCCTGCTGCCTTACCGCTCTCAATTCCGCCGTTATTTCGAAGCCTACGTCTTCGCTCGTTATCTCCGGCACTAAATTCAGCATCCAACCGAGTTTGTCCGGCACCATCATCTTCAAACCGGCTTGAAGGAGTTTCTTGCTCGCCTTGTAATACACCGTATCGATGTGGTTGTATTTCATGGCGTTCGTACACATAAGCTTGAAGTCTTCTATGAATTGCTACGATAGAAATAAATATTGTATTCGTATTAGAGCTGGTTTAAGAGGTTACTTACGTCTAGGTTAGCGTATTGGTTGTCTTCGATTTTTTGCCTCATCGTGCTAAAATCCATGGGGTTGGTGATTATAGAGGAGTAACCTGGGGCGATGTTTTCTGTGACGGGCCACGCGAAAAAGTTCTGCGGGTCCTTCTTCTCTAGTTGGCTCAATAGGTGATCCAGACCCTTCGAAAGGGGCGTTCGTTCTTGGAGTTTTTTGATAACGCACGTTCGCAATTCGCGTCCGGGGCTTCCGATTTGCGGGTAAACCGTCAAATCGTCGTTGTTCTCTTCGATTTCTTCTCGTTTTCTCTTTTTATCCTTGTGGTGATGTTTGTGCCTCTTCTCCCTGTCTTTATTCTTGTCTTTCTTTTTCTTTTTCTTCTTGGATTTCTTGTGATGGCTCCGAGAGAGTCCGAAATAGGGGTCGTTGGGATCAATCTGCATTTGTTCGTCCAATCCTTCGCCGATTGCTGGCAAAGTCTGCGCGAATTCTGTATTGTGTTCTGGAGTCGCCTGCGAACCGACTTTCAATATCAATTTTAGACCCGGCTTGTCGTCCTTCTCGCGCTTTTCGCTCTTGTGCTTTTTGTGCTTCTTTTGCGGCAACGGGGATACCACTGGAGAGGACATAATGGGGATAAATCAATATTTACACTTTCTTTTTAGTTTTATAAAGAAGCTTGTTTATTTTAGTCACTTTCTTAGGTTAGTTTACTGTCACTACTGTCACTATTGTCGTTGACACCGTTGTCAAATTTGTAATGTGAGGCTAACTTCATTTCAGTCAAACGGAATTTCTATAAATTTGATTTTTTCGGTTTTGGTATCGAATATTTCTACATATACATACATACTATAATGATTTCTACATTAAAAAGATTCTAGCTACTGTTGGATAAAGGACAAGAATCTTTTTTATTGATGAAAAACCTTTTCGCACATTTCATGTAAGGTCAAGGACAAGGATTTGGACATTGACCTTTACAGTAGTGAACAAAAGGTAAGATATTGTCATTGTAATCAGTGTTGCCTATAACACAGTAATTTTTGATTATTATTTTGGCCCATTTCCAATAGAAATTAATTAGATTTGTTTACGTAATAGAATTCGTAAATGTAAATACGCTCGTGCGAAGATTGTCATGCGTATTTCACTGCCATGCTTCTTATTCAAATTTCGAGGTGACCTTCATGTGTTATAACATTTATTTTTTATCTACATGCCGGATCGTTTGTCTCAGTCTGCGACACGAAAATTTAATGTAGTACTTTCTCTTGTCCTTCTTCACGTCGATTTAATTTTTTGGAGCTTGTGGGGTTCTGTAATCCGAAATACTTCTACTTTTCTGAAAAAAAATAGTGCGGAAAAGTAAATATATCAGGTGAGATTTGATGTATGTTTTTTCTTTCTCGTGTTTTTTGTTTATTTATTTTATCTCTTATCATCTAGTAGTTTGTGGAGTAAATACAAGTGTAGGAGTATTTTACATTTAAAAATTGCAAATAGTATTTAATTTACACGTCTATAATTGAAATTCAATGGTTTATTTGTGGTTTAAAACTCGTAAATCCCGAACGAACGTCATCATGAATATTTAAGATACATTTTAATTCAGTACTCTCGAAATCCCACAAAATTTTGATCAATTAACATTAAAACGAATAATCTATTTATAAACCACACAAGTATTAAAAAAAACCTTATGGCGAGTTATCATTAGCCTTAGAAATTACGTAAATATAAACCTCTTATCTTCGCTTGTGAACCTACCGATTGTATTGTTTACCAAAACTCTTTATCAACATCTTTATTAGAGCAGGATTAATAAATCAATTGGGTAATCCATTTACTACGAATCGTTGTGTTGAATTACGCCTTTCGATTTCCAGGGAACATGTCCAAGGAACGAGCCTCCCGAAGATTCTACCGGATAGAATCCACATCGAACCTGATCGCACACCTCGATAAAGGCCTCACAGCCGAACAAGAGAATCGCTGGTGTTTCGAGATAGCATGGGAGGCAGCAAACAAAGGTACATAAAACACTTTACACAATCCCAAAGTATTATTATTTGTATTATTCTAGTTGGTGGAATTTACACGGTCATCAGATCCAAAGCTTACGTTTCGGTGGAGGAAATGGGAGACCAGTACTGCCTGATAGGACCTTACAAGGAACATTGCGCTAGAACCGAAGTCGAAGAAGGTCCTTTGGCTTCGGAGCCTTTGAATAGAGCTGTCGAAGAGTTGAAGAAAAGAGGTGCGCTCTCAATAAACCTCTTAATATGCTCTCAATAAACCATTTATTATGATTCGTAGGCTACAAAATAGTAACAGGACGATGGCTGGTCGATGGCAATCCCCAGATCATCCTCATAGACATCGGTTCTGCCGCTTGGAAATTGGACGAGTTCAAGCAGGAGTTGTGGGAGAAGACCAACATCGGCGTGCCTCATTTGGACGTCGAAGCCAACGATTCCATTATTTTGGGATGCGTTGTAGCCGAATTCTTAGGCGAAGTAAGTATTATATTCTAATTCTGAGCCTGCATTCAGTGTCGAATACAGTCATAGATGTCATGTCAAACGTTGACATATTTGACAGTTGACTTTTTCTTTAGTTCTGTAAATAAGTTGTTCTATGTTTGTATGTTCGTTTTGATTTCCTTACTGGTAATGTACTTTTTGTGCTTAGAATAAAAGTTTAAGATAAAAGGTCTCAACAGTGTTGTGTTTATCTTGATAATAATATAATAGTAAGCACACTCTTTAGCAGAATCAACCATTGTATATTAATTGGATAATTTTTCCAGTTTAGGAACACTTCGGCCGAGTACACGGAAGGGTACACTCCGAGAATAGTGGCCCACTTTCACGAATGGCAAGCCGGCGTCGGTTTGATAATGAGCAGAATAAGACACATTAACATCGCCACTGTTTTTACCACTCACGCCACGCTGTTGGGTAGATACTTGTGCGCCGGTAACACGGATTTCTACAATAATCTCAGTAAAGTAATTGACCGGTTACATTCGGAGTATCGCAGGAGTACAAAATGACTTGTCGTTTCAGTTCAGCGTGGACGAAGAGGCTGGAAAAAGGCAGATCTATCATCGATACTGCATGGAAAGGGCGGCCTCGCATCTGGCCCATACGTTCACTACGGTTTCGGAGATTACTGGTAAATATACCGATTTTAAATTTTGAAATATGTCACAATAAGTCACTAACCAATCAGATTAGGAATTGGTGGTAAAGAGATATGTCATCTGTCATTTGGTGTTCGAATTCTTATGATATTATTGATGCAATGTAACTCGTTCGTTTTGTGATTGGTTAATACACGTCACGAGTGAAAATTTTAAATTTAAAATGGCTATATTTCCTAAAATATTGAATATCTTCAGCAACTGTAAATTGTTTTGAGTTCTAAGGACTTATTTCTATTCAAATATCTGGTTAAAAACCGTATATCTCACGTCGTACTTCTCTCCATTACTGAAGCCTGTGTTGATCGATTTTTGGATTTTGTAGGATACGAATCGGAGCATCTGTTGAAAAAGAAGCCGGACGTGATAACCCCGAACGGTCTCAACGTGAAGAAATTCGCGGCGTTGCACGAATTCCAAAATCTCCACGCCATGGCCAAGGATAAAATCCACGAATTCGTCAGGGGCCACTTCTACGGACACTTCGATTTCGATTTGGATAAAACTTTGTATTTTTTTATAGCCGGACGATACGAATTTGGTAATAAAGGGGCGGACATTTTCATCGAGGCTTTGGCCAGATTAAATCATTATTTAAAGGTAACGTATGGAGATATTTATACAACTTTTACATGATTATTTTTTTAGAGTACGCATCCGGATGTTACGGTCGTGGCGTTTTTGATCTTTCCAGCCAAAACTAACAATTTTAACGTCGAATCTCTCAGAGGTCATGCCGTAACCAAATCCCTAAGAGATACCATTAATGATATACAAAATAAAATCGGCAAGCGCATGTATGAAGTATGTTTAAGGTCAGTATTCTCTTAAAATTCTTTTCAAAGTCCTCTTAACGTTAATTATTATTGCTTTAGCGGTCGTTTACCCGATAGTTCAGAGTTGTTAGATAAAGAAGAAATGGTGAGACTAAAAAGGTGCATTTACTCTCTTCAAAGAGACGGCCTGCCGCCTGTCACTACTCACAATATCGTCGATGATTGGAGTGATCCGGTGCTGAATTCCGTTAGAAGATGCAATTTGTTCAACACCACTCACGACAGAGTCAAAGTGGGTTGTAATTTACTTCGGGTCGTATTACGATAGCTAAATATCGTGCGTTTTAGATCGTGTTTCATCCAGAATTCCTTAATTCAACTAATCCGTTGTTCGGGCTGGATTACGAAGAATTTGTGAGAGGTTGCCATTTGGGCGTTTTTCCGAGTTACTACGAACCCTGGGGTTACACCCCGGCCGAATGTACTGTTATGGGTATTCCAAGTATTACGACTAACTTATCAGGTGCGCGCTGTTATATAAATTCTCACCAAGAAATGAGAGTTTTTAATTTTTTTTTGTTAGGTTTCGGCTGCTTCATGCAAGAACAAATCACGGACCCCATGTCGTACGGTATCTACATCGTAGACCGGCGTTTTATAGGCCTCAACGATTCGGTTAACCAGCTAGCTCAATACATGTACGACTTCGCCAGATTGTCTCGTAGACAGAGAATAATTCAAAGAAACAGAACGGAAAGGCTCAGCGATCTTTTGGATTGGAGAAACCTAGGAGTTGTAAGTAACGAACTATCATAAAAGATAATTTTTCAGGACATTTTGGTTGTTGTTTAGTATTACCGCCAGGCGCGTATGAAGGCGTTGCACAAGGTGTTTCCGGATTATAAGGAAGAAATGGAATTGGGGATGTCGTTTAAGTACCCGAGACCCATCTCAGAGCCCCCATCGCCCAGTTCTAGTAAAGTTACTACGCCTGCGGCTTCGGTGCATGGATCAGACGATGAAAGCGATTCCGTCGATTCTGAAGCAGAGGTAAGTGTTTGTTCGTTTTAAGTTTTTTAAAAAAATTTCGAAAATGTTTTTTTCTAGTTGGAAGAACTGAGGAAATTAAATAAATAATCAATACATACTCATTGAAATCGGACTTCTAAGACATTGTTGTGCAATAGAGTATTATTTGTACTTTTCGATTTACAAAGAATATTTTTTTATTGCAAATTGTTGATACCATGACTTTATATTATATATAAATTTGTTATTGTTAAATTTTTCAAATTATTTAAAATTTCTATCTGGTATGAATAATACTTTGTTAATCTGCCTTACTGAAAAACTTTCTATGTGCCATAATGTCTGTTTCGTGAAGGTTTACGGCACTTTGCGAAAAATAAACGTTGGAAAACGAATTTGTTTTCTTTTTCATAAATAAATGGAATTACGTGGTGTACGTTGGAAGATTGAAAATTAAAGTGCACAATATTCCTAAAATGTTTCAATACTAGATCTTCGTCTATTCGTGTCAACAGTTACTTAGTTGCTATACCGTTTTGCTTTTCTGTAACAGGCCAGTTTTCTTCTTTGCTAGATTGACAGTTACTGTCAATAGTGTCAAGTGACTCAAATATTAGAATGCGATTACATTTTTGTTGTATTTGTTGAATAATAATTATTATTATGGATTTGTCCAAAGTTCCTAATGAAAAAAAGTTGCATCTATGTAAAACGTATTTTAAAAGTAAGTATTATCCTTTTTGTTAAACATTGAATTAACACTGTATTTTTAGTTGGATTTTTCCTTTTGCCCTTTGTGTGGTTAGTCAATGCAATTTGGTTTTTCAATGATGCTTTCAAAAAACCAGCGTTCGATGAACAGAAATTAATAAAAAAATGTGAGTATACTTCTTCAATTTACGGAGGATTTCTCGTTGGTATTGCATACTTTATACATTTCAAACAAATTCAAAACATTACATTTTTGAAATATTCCCGTACTTAGTTCACTTAATTTTTCCAGATGTGATAAGTTCTGCCATCGGATCATCAATATGGTTCGTAGTATTGTTATCGTGGGTTATCACATTCCAATTGAATAGATCTAATTGGGGCGAATTTGCAGATTATATATCATTTATTATACCATTTGGAACACCTTAAACTAATTTCTAATATCTTATTGACTATCAAACAGTATATTAAAATGAAGACATCAAGTACTTCATAACTAATTTACATTTTCTCGAGATGCATAAACTCAGAGGAAGTGTTTTTCTTATTTGCTTGACCTATTTTTTTTATATTAGATAATTATCGAATTTAAATACAATTTCTCGTAATTTATTTTTACAATAACTCATCAAATTGGTTTTATTTCACGATTCGTCAAAAATACATTCAAACGAGAACTCAATGTTAGCGATATGAAGACATTTATTAAAACATCAGTCTGTTGGTCTCATTTTCCCTTTAGTATAATAATCCTTAAACTTTTGAGTAAGTAAAAAATCTATTAGCTTCCATAAAGAAGGCTGAAATTGTACCAGTTTACATACATATTACATTTTAAGTTTTATATGAATAAATAAAAATCTTCCGTGTTTATTAAATACAATGTAGATGATGAAAGCACAAAAATATACACATACAAGAAGAATACAGTTGTACAAGTTCAATAAGAATACAAAAATTTGCTAAAATTAAGTAAAAATATTTTGACGATTTGTTAACAAATTAGTTCCTTTTAACTGAAGTATATTAGAATGTGCTACAGTGTTATTAATATCAGCGAATGTAGATTGCATTCAAATATTACTTTTATTAAAAAGAACTATTAAAAATACATACAGAGACCATAGAATCCATAGATGCTAACAGGATAAGCTAATTATAAAGTAGGTAACAAAATTTCAGTCATTTCATATTGAAAACTTTTTGTTCTAAAAACTGTAATACCAGAGAAAGTTCTAATAAATTGAAATGACTACTGTAATCATCAAAAAGCTCTTCCGCAAACAAACGCAAAACTTTCGATGATTTTTTTATAACTTAAATTAATTTAGAAAGATCTACTAATCAGCTCCTAAGACTCTACAATTTTTAAAAAATACTGTAAAAAAATATCTCTTAAAAAAATTATCCCTAAAATAAATCTACAGCGCTTCATTTGACTTTGAATTTTATCTCATTTTTTCGCCCCCATCACTCGGCGACGTTGTTTTCAATCGACTCTAATACTTACTCTATACGAATACCCGCCCTACGCGCGTTCCTCAACTTGACAAACTCCAATTTCACCAGCCTCACCAACAGAAACAACGCCAAAATATCGGAGATCATCAACATCACAAACACGTTCTGCCAACCGTAAGTGGTCACAAAACCGGCCATCAAAGGCCCCACGGCAGCACCTACAACACAACGAAATTAGCATTATTATCATTGCTTATAAAATTAGTAAATAAATGTTAAAAAGAGATGTACCGATTGAGCCAGTTCCATCTATAATGGCGGTAACTGTAGCCAACGCCTTCGAATTCCCTTCTAAACTGCGATGAGTACCTAATTCTGCGGAAACGGCTGTTGTTATTAGAGCATACGGCCCATTGACTAATAATCCCACTATCACTAGAAGTAACATGTTGATTCCTAAACCCACAGGACCTGCAGGACTGACTTGTTGATAAACCCACATCTAAAAAAGACCAATTATGTTATACATTATAATATGAATACACAACAAAGAGCTTTTACTTACCATAGGAGCAGCCAATATCAACATAACAGAGCACGTTGTAGCCGGCATTTCGGATTTATCGCTCACATAACCCGCTATAATAGCTCCCGCTATCCCGCCCACGTCGAATAACGTGGATAAATCGGCGCTCAAAGTCGCACTCATACCGTCTAAAATAATTAGTAGTACATATTAATAAACAACTTCTTGGACTCCATTGAATTGTTCCGACTTACTGGCGTGATTTACGTAGAGCGGCAACCAATAGAGGAACGTGTAGCTGACCAATTTCGAGAAAAACAAAGCCAGCGAGAATTCCACGACGCCCGGTATACGCAGGGCGCTCAGGAAACCGATGGCTCGTTCTTCTCTGGCGCGCGACGAGCGAGGCAGCAGGTTCGTTCTTTCCGTAACTCTTCGTTGAACTTCCTGAAATAATAAATAAGTTAATTACGAAAGAAACCTCGATCGGATATAAGAGCGATTTTCAAGCACAGATCAATTTGAAGCAGATATTTTATTCGACAAAACAAGCTAAATAGGAGTTTATTTAGAATTTTCGGTATAGTCTTTCCGGTGTCAATAGAATACAGTTCGTGCAATGTGTATCATGACTAAAGCCTACTAGAAGAATTTAATATTTTCGTACTATATTTAATTGACTTTGGAAACACCGTAGAAGCGTTTTATTTGCTACAAATATACACGAAAGCAACGTCCTCTAGAAAAACATGCACTTACTAAAACTTCATTGGCCAAATGTCGCGATCGATTTAAAATAGCCTACAAAAACGCAATGAATAAAAGAAAATAAAAAATCCTGCATTCTCCCTGTATAACATATCAGAAACTTGTTACTCATCCAAACAACCGAGCCTATTGTACTCTAATTGATGTATTGTTATCTAATTTTTAGTGTAAATGCAACAAAAAATAATAATCCAAAGAAATAAAATGGGGAAAAAACTCTTACTTGCTCTCCTATAAGTATATCCGTATCATCAACTTCTGAATCTATACCGGACGAATCATCATCATTGGCCACTTGCGATTCAAGTTGCCTGACTCTTTTCTGCAATAAACGAGTTCCTTATAGTACTGGATCGTTCGGGACTATTATAAATGTGCGCAAATTAAATTTAACATTCATTTCAAGTTAAGTTTGAAAGTAAAAAAAAAACAAAATGAAAGGGCGGGTTCAGAACGGTTATGTATACACTGTGCTCCATTTCCGATTGCAACATGGTCATTTCTATGAGTGGGACAAAGAAAGATTATTAAAATGACAGTTGTCAAAGTGAAAAGTTGCAATGACATAAATGTCACTCTTTCCTTTTCCTTTATAAGTGTCTAATGGAAGTTGTCTTTATCGCACCCATGGCCTATATAACTTATGTTGCGATCAAAAATGGAGCAATCTGTATATTTTTTAATACTAACTGGTCGAGTATCGGGGATTTTATTAGGCGCCGTACAGCCGACGTCCGATGGATTGACGACTAAAAATAAAAATATCACGAAACCGGCGAGTCCTATGTACAGTCCGGGCATTATGAACGACAACGCCCAATCGGTCTCCACGTATTCAGCGGCGATTAGAGATCCTAAAAGAAAAATTAATGAACGAATTTACTGCGAAATTACAATTCGAAGCGTACCTAAAATATTTCCTATACTTGTGTGAGAATTCCATAGACCGAATATCAGACCTCTTTTGCTCTTTCCGAACCAGTTGCTCATTATCGTTACCACTCCGGGCCAGCCAGTCGTTTGAAATATCCCAGCTAAAGCCTACAAAATCAATCGATATTTTTATACATCAATGTGTCTATAGAACGAACGTACTTGAACAGCTACATAGTAGCTCATGTTGTGAATGTCGTACGTCTTGGCTATTCCGAATAAGTAGCTGAATATGCCGGATAGGAGCATGCCCAGGCTGAGAAAGTACCGCAAATTCACCCGTTCGGCTATGAAGCCGGAAAAAAACATGGCGATCGCATAGCAGAAGAGGAACGAACTGTCCAATTCGCCCAGCATTTGCGAAGCACTCGAATCAGTGCCACCTATAAAAGAATTAATCAAACGATTAAAATTAATCCATTTGAAATGTTAAATAATATTGACCATATTTTTCAAATGCATCTTCCTTCAAAGTAAAATTAGCTATTTAAAAAAACGTTTTAAAATTCCTCTGCTGGTTTAACAATTCTTATCGTTAAACAAAAGTTATCAGAAAAATTGTAATGTAAAACGCAATAATTTAAATATTTTTACAATCAACCAAAACAACATAATAGATTAACATTTAAATCGCAAATATTTGCGTAGGGATTAAATAGCAATGGTACATTAAAAGCCTATTGTGTAAATGTCAAGGTAAAATTAAATACAACTACTTGATAAACTTCTCTTATCACAAACAACAATTAGTGATGGCTATCTAAATTTTTAATAAATACCAAACTATGTACTATAAAATTTTTGAATATTATAAAGTAATATAAACAAAGCATATTTATCGATAGTAGCTTATTTGCCTATAAGGTATTATGTCGAAATTGATATGTTGAACATTGACACAATTTTATCAAACATTTATTTGCCCAACAAAAATAATTAATCACGTTTTCAATGTGTGAACCTAAATCCACAAACTAACAATCCGAAAACGTATTAAAAAAAATTCTACAGTGCAATTTGTCATATTTTTATACGTTCAAGCCGGGACACGACTACCAACTAGAAACACTCATCTGTTATACCGCTTACCTATATTTATAACAATAAGTAGAATATAAATTCTGTTTACCAAAAGGGGCCCAATCGCACCAATCGTTGGGCTCGTTCGGGTGAGGTGGCTGGAGATCGCTGCAGTTTCTATGTAGCACCGCTTTCACAACCGAAATGGGCTTCCTCGATAAGTGGTAACACATGTACGAGATGTAAGTTAGGATGACCACACTTGTTCGATAACTACATTAAAAGAAGTAAAAAATTAGCAGTCAATATAACATTCGAACGAGTATTTACTCAATGGATTGTTTGGGGTTTATCGGCGAGGCTCTACAAGGGGTACATAATGAAAAATACTTCGCACAAAAGCAAGTTTCATTCAACAAAGAAACCAAAAAAACAAACTTACCATTTTTCCCTATTGAAATGCAGCCTCGGACAACATTTGTCAGTGAGTTTTTGTAAAAATCGAACGCCCCACGGTACCTCCGAGTACAGGCTCATCTTCGACTTTTTGTTCGACGATTTCAACTTGTATCTTTGTATAAAATTCATAAACGAAGCGCCTTGAAAACCATCGTTAAACGACACAATACTGGAGGGATGAAAAAAACTCACCAATTAATGTTAAATTAAGTCAAATCGTTTCATAAGGAAGCTCATGTTGAGATAGATTATAATCGCTGGTCGAACGCTAACATAATGCAATTGTTAGCACAATAAGACGATGCACTGGTGATGACATGACATGCAATTATGAAATCATGATTCTTAGTTGATTGTTCGTTCAAATACCAAATACGAACTTTCAACCTTGATATTCTAGGTTAAATTCTTCAATTTTATTTTGACGTTTCTCATAAAATAAATGCTGAACCCTCTTTCTATTACGTTATCCAGTCACCAAATGATAGATACTGCTGTTCTTCTTTTTTATTTTGATGTTTAGAAAATTTTCTTATAAGCCTCTCCCTATTAAGTTATCCAGTCATCTAATGATGAGGGACTGTGCCAAAAAACCAGCCATGAATTTGAGATAAATTTTTCGTCCAATTTTTTAGAAAAAATCTTCATTAATATATTAAAAAGCAGCATCACAATCGAGTTAAAGCGTTAATTACTCAAGTTAATTTAAAACAGTAAACAAATGGAATGGCAAAATCAGCATTAAAGTTCCTCGTTCAAATCGTAATCTTCTTCTGGGAAATCTCCTGTAGTGACGTTTTGAGGTTTGACGAATGCTCCGTATTTATCCGGACATTCGAAATACTTTTTATCTTTCAATCTACAGAAAATTCATATTAGCGTATATAAATATAGATTTATAAATTCTACTTACGTTCCATTATTCTTTCCGAGGGGCTCATCGTACTTCACGCCTACCCAAAAACCCGCGAGGCCTTCGACTCTTCCTGTATACATCACAGTTCCCAAGCGATCAGGAGCGCTTTGCACGCTCACTTTACACCTACAACCGACAGTCATCTGGTCAATTAAATTTTTTTCCTCCTCCTCGGCAGTCTCCTTTTTCTTATTAAAGTTAGCACTGTATTTTCCTGCGTAACAAAAATAATTCGTTTGCACAATATTGTGTAATTGAATTTATCTTCGCTTACCTAATTTATTCTTCATCAAAAAGGATTTAACAGTGTCATCTTTTTTCTCGTATTCATCGTTAGATAATTCAAATTTAGGTATGTTTTCGAATTCCAATTCACTTCTCATCAAAAAATTATCGACCACGTGAATTCTCATGCCGTCTTCCAACGGAAAAGAGCCCAAACAGGCCTCATCATCGTCCATCGAACACAATAATTTGTTATCTTTCGTGTAAGCCTGGAGTTGCATCGTATTGCAACTGCCGCCCGTTATTAATTCGAGTTTCGCCTAAAATGTAGTAAATTGAATAGAATAGGTTTCGGTTTAATTGGTTTAGATTTAAAATTACCTTTAAATTCGTTATGGTGATGTCTTTGGGAAAGCGCTTCTCGTTGAAGGATATGTCATTTTTCGACGTGGAAATTTGGAGATTCACGAAATCTGATGTAATTACTTTGTAATCTGCCATGGTTTGCTCGTTTTTTCTGATTATTTATGAGGAATTTTAAAGGAAATTCATTATATGTTTTTCGGCAAAATAAACACTTGACATTTGACAGAATGACGCCTCATTGTAATTTCTGTTGACTTTTGGACTTTATCTCTTTAGGTTATTTAACATATCAGAACTTAAAAAAAGAAGATATTTGACATTGACATTTACAAAAGTCAAAATTTAATAGTGTTTGTTTTTCCAAGCTAGTTTTGATTGTTGTTGGTGTTAATTTTCTATTAAATTCGTTTTAAATGGATATAGATTTGGATTTAGACGACTTGGATTTGGGCGATAGAGTGAAGGATTTTTTAACACACAAATTGAAGGAAATTAAAAGTTACAATGTAACCATTGAAGAAAAAATTAAACTAAGAGAACAACATTTGAGCGACTTGTATCGAACCGAAAACGACAGTAAGAAGAAACTCGATTGCCAAATATCCTTAAAATGGAAAAAATGCGTCAACAGAAAGTATGCTATATGCTATAAAATACAAAACACCAACAATAGGTGAGTACACTTCGACTAGTAATAGGTATTAGGTAGTTAGTAAAAAACTCAATTCCAAACTCGAATTTAATCTAAAAAAGGCGTTGCATTCTACAAACAATATCACAATGTCAATTAATTTGATATAAGTAATCAAGACGGATCTTTAAAATTGCTCTATATCTCATCAGTTTCAGTACACTTTGGGTAAATCGTTTTGCTGAAAATCTTTCATACTTATAGCTGCTAGTAGAGATGACGGATCGTTATCTGGTATCCCATACTCCAAGTAACCATTTAACGTGTAGTTAAATAATTCGAAATCGTACCTGCAAACATATCATTAATTCTTTCATCTTTAAATCTTCCTCTCGAATTACCTGTAAATATGGTAGAGTTGAAAAATCTGCGACCTCGTCAACTCCGAATAGTACTTGCTGATTTGATTCTGCGTGGCCCCCCGACCGGCGTTCTTCCATTCGGGCTGTATCAAATGCTCCAACCTCGCCATTTTGATCAAGTACGTTTGGTCCTCCTGGAGGGTCTCCGTGTGCGCTATTATCTGAAAATTGAACATGCACGGCGTGCAAAACTCCACGATCGGTGCCCAGTGCATGTCGAGCTCCTCGCCCTTCTTCACCACGTCCACCAGGTACTCCACGAATTCGGCAAACGTCGGCGTTCGCTGGTTCGCCATTCCCACTGGTTTCTTATTCTATTAAAAAAAAAATAGTCACTGTAACTGAGTAACCAGAAATCGCATCCTACCTTCTTGAATCTGTATTTGACGATGATCTCGTTGCCTAATTTCTTGTGGTGAGTGTGCGGTAGTGCGTATTGAAGCTTGTCCCTGTAAGCGGAAAGGAGCCTTTCCAATGGATGGCGGGCTATGAGAAATGATATAGACGTGTTAAAAGCCTTTCGGAGAGCCTGAAGAGACGGCCTGGGGTATCGTTGTCTCGCCAACGTCATAGGCACTAGTTTGCTCTTCTTCAAAAACCTCGGACTGTACCTGAACAAAACGAGAACAATAAACAAACTAGCAACAAAAACTACAGCCTGATGATGATCGTTTAGACATTAACTACAGTTTGTTGCCTAGACCTACCCTGCTAAAATATTAAAATTGTACATCCACGACGTGCTCGCGGCCTTAAAAATATTGCACCAAATCAAATGGTGTTTATTGTCGACGAAGAATTCCCAAGCGTTGGGCCTGTGGAGGGTGTCGTTTCCCGGCCGGTCGAGTCCCAAAAGTTTGCATGTTTTCCTCAGGTGTTGTCGCCTCTTTTCCAATCGCTTGCCCACCAGCGACATGTTTTCGTTGAGCACCGGCTCGACCGGCAGCTTGTTCTCCCCTTCGTTCGTCTAAAATTAGAGAAAAAAATCGCTAGAAATAGATGCGTTGGAGAAAAACCTCTTTATCTCATTGCCTTGATAATTTAGATTGTCTTGTACAAACTAAATTAATACAAGGATATTTTTTTTCATCTTTACAGCTAATGATAGTTTTCATTGTATAGTCTCTCTTATTCCAGTAATAGGAAATAATAATTTAGCATTGGAATCAATAAATTCTATGGAAAGAAATGACTTTATTCTATTCATCGGGGGATAATCGAATTCATTCCTATCTCGCATTAAAATTATTGACGCTAGTTGAATTATTTATTCTAAAACGCTGGTGTAGTATTAAATAAATTGGTCGGTGTCGCCGGATCTATATTATCATACTATTGGGAATAACGTGTGGAAGGAGGGCGTTTAATATTCGAATTAAACGCCGCTCCAAAAACTTAATTAGTGCTCCAAATAAAAAACGAATAGATTCAGAAAATAGATATCAGTGACGTAGCGTCCGACACGAACACAAGCCAACAATATATTATTACGAAATTTCAAAATATTCTTTTATTTCTGGTGTATACATTTGGCTGAATCAACGTCAGTACAGGCAAATTTCCTGAATACATTTCGACCATCTCATGCATGTAGGGAATTGGAGGCGATGGAAGGAATAATTTTATATACCTGGCGTTGTACGAAGTTCGTCCGGTGCTTGACGGGTTGCATGTAATGATCGGTAGCGACCATCAGTACTAGTAAAACGGGCACCACGCATATGGCGGTGAAAAACACCAAGCACCTACGCATCAATCTCCATCCACTCACTTGAGCTTTCCTCCGTTTTCTCAGTCTCATTGTGTCAGTCAGCTTTTGCAGTAACGTTCCATCGTTGACTCGAATGATTGTTCCTTAATAATGATCTGAAATGTATCGAATTGAATGTGAAATAATATCAAACGGAATGTACTTTACCGGCTGGCGCGTTCATAATGTACCTAAGTTTTGTGCTTTATTAGCTGTAATTAATGCCAATAATGTAATAATGTTGTTGAAATTTATCAAGGTTTTTTTTGGTGCGGTTTAACGGTTGATTAAAAATTATTGTCATTGCTATTGGTGTAACGTGAGCGGTACATGTTGATTAATTTGAATTTATAATTCCTATTTTTTTTGTTTAAATTCAAGGCTATCAACAAAATTTTTTTTTGATATTTTACATACATACCATCTTAGTTTTAACCCATTATGTTGGCAAAAGGACGAATGTCGCTGCCGCAAACACTACATATTTTAGAAGCGCATTCCTTTATTTACGACCGCCGTTGACAGGAAGATGTTCACTGCACTGCAGCCCGAAGGAAATCAGGTCGATTTTCCGACGAATACCCGGAGAAACGGCTTCTGCGCTTTGGCCGCTGCACCGGCGAATTGTCGCGCCAACCTAGACCGATCGGCCGTGAAACACTGGCAGGGAAAATCCGAAAATCCCGTCTCCTTCGCCCCCCCCCGACGCGATTTTTTTTTAGCGCGCTTTACATGATGCTCGATTCGTTTATATGTATTAAGCAGTACTTTATTAACTTGTTCCAGGCCTCTAATACACGTAAAACCCTTCCTGTGCTGGACATCGTCCAAACCTCTAACTTACCAAACGTTTATTTACGATGTTAAGTCGAAGGTGGAAGAGTGCACGAGGAATAATTGCCTGAATATCGGCGGTGGTTTGGTAAAAACGAATAGCATAAACTCGGAGGGTTACGTTGTTGTTGTAATCGACGTTCCGAGTTATTTGGATTGCTTGGAGTACACGATAAGCGGGAAATTTTCAATCAATTCCGATGGAACGGATAGTTTGCTGGACGTACCCGATGAGCGTATAACTTGCGAGAACGTTGCACATGGGGAAATTGTAAGGAGAATTAAATGGACTAAATCTTTTTTTTTTTAATTACGGTAATGTTTCAGTTGAACGCGCCATTGTTAACAGGAGATGTTGATGGTGTCTTAAGTGTTATTGTAACCAGCATCAGAACGGATTTAGTGTTTGTGTTTCCGAGCGATTGGTATACTTCTTTGGAAAACACGTTCGAAATTCACTGTTCTATGACTAATTTAAACATACCAAATAGCTGCAAGACTTATTTCCTTGCCAGTTTCGATAACGTCCTGTTGGCTGTACACGCGCAATCGTCGGAGACCCAATCGAAAAATGCCGTTTTCATCACTGTTTACTCAAAGTAAGTGTCACTAAATCACGGTCGTATATTTCTAATGTCTGAAAACCGAGGTCAAAAAAATGAAAATTAAAAAATATAAAATCATAGGCAGTTTCCAGACCTTACAAATATACGTCCGTTCACTAAATCATAGTATGCTGGATATTTGTGTCAACTTTCAATCTCAAAAGAAAAATCAGATCTAGTTACCCTAGGTGAAAATGTTTCGTTGATTTTTGTTTCAAGTTCAAATCAAGTCCTTTTCTCGCTGTTGCATCATCTTCATCGGCAAGTTCCCGGTGCGATAATCATACCGGAGGAGATATTCGAAGCGTACGAAATAAAATCGAGCGTGACGAGCGCGGACGTTGCCGAGTTGCTGGGAAAATTCGAAAAATCCATCGCGAAAGAACTGAAAATGGCGGATATTTTGATCAGGGCGGAAGGAAAGGACAGTCGGGAGTTGAGGCGAAACTTGGTGGATTCCGAGCGGGATACGGACAGCTTGTATTTGAAGATATGCGAATTGTACAATTTCACTAAAAACTAATGTGTTTTTGGAGCTATTTATTTAAAAATATTTCTTACGAAAAAATACATGCAGTCGCGATAAATATCCGATTTCTGAGAATAAAATAAAACAAACTCTTTAAGCAAAACAATAAAAAAAAAACAAGAATAAAAATTGATTAAAATTTCTTATACTGTACATCACAGGTACTTTGAAGTTTTGCATTTACCTGTTATTTACATTAGCACAAAATGTATTACAACAGGAAAAACCAGTTGCGTTTGCGAACTTGAACGTATATTAAATAAATTAATTTAGGTTTTAATCTATGTACAGGCCAACAGGAATAGCTGTAGACGCGAGAGTATAATGCGCAGTGGTTGTTTATGTCTACTGTTATACCCATCGTACTGTAATTACATTTGTATAGCAATTAAATTTGAATTAATTGTACAAAATTTTCCGGTTACCGGGCGAAAAAAACTTGCAATACATTCTATATAATTTAACAAATTTTGCTTCAACATTGAACAAATTACCTATACTAAATTATATTAAAATATACAGTAAGAGGCGAAATTCGACCAATAAACAAGAAATTTATTGATTAAATTCCAAATAAATATCTACAACTACAACAAACGACTAAAAATATTGCACTCGAAAAATTGCACTTCGTCGATAGTACGTTTAACAACAAAAAAATCAACGTATCAATAAAAATTATTGCACTTCGTTACTTAAATGTAAGTTTGTATTTGGCGTCGTAGCTTTCAAATTTCAAAGCGCGAAATTTCTATGCCAATCATCGAACACGCGACGAAAAAATCGTTTTAATTTGTGACATAGTCGAAATAGGAGAAGAATTCCCGGAATTTTGAATCTTCTGGGTGTTTCTCACACTTATTCCCCATTTGACTACGCCATTTATATCGCTAAATTAATCGTTTTGGACAAATCTGTTTATAATCTACCATTGAAATTGAGCTTTCAATCTTACAACTAAATTATTGCACATCCGGCCACAAAATATAGATATATCACATATATATTGCAAAATATTACCATGTATAATGTAAACGTATATAAAACTGTATAAGTATAATGTATTTAAAAATATTAAGGTAAAAAATCTCGCTGCTTTGAAGCAATTGCACTTGTAAAATCCTGCGTATTTTAAATTATTTTAGATTAATCTTCTACATAGTTTCTTCGATGAGACACATCCGGTGAATTGTTTACTACCATTTTACCAGCAAAATTACTATTTACAGTGAACCTAGGGCTCCGCAACAACCGGTATAACAGTCGTATAACTAACCGTCTCCGAATCGCTGCTAGAAACCCCCTCCTCGCCGCCGATGACGCCGCTATCCATCGACCCGTACCCGCTCAATCCCGCCGAATTCCCCTCGAACCGCCCGAAGAACACCGAATGCGTCTCGACGCTCTCGGCGCCCGACTCGCTCTGCCCGTCGCCCAGGCTCTCGTCCGTCTCGCTGCCGCCCCCCGTCGTCGCCGCCGGCGCCTCCAGCATCGTCACCTTGACGCGGTGGAAGCGCGACTCGTTCGAGTCGGAGCTCAGGTAGCCGGAGTCCTCGGGCCGCAGCGTCGTCGTCGGCCACGTCCGCTTGTCGGGCAGATTCGGCCGGGCGTCGACCACCGATCGGAAGACGAACTGGTCCTTGTGGCCCTTCTTCAGCACGAAGTCCTCGGTGCGGATCAGGCTGGTGATGTTGCCGTTCTTCTTCGATTTCTGCAGCAGGCAGAGCTTGTACTCGTCGGTGCGCGAGTCCGGCGAGCCCGACGAGCCGCTCGATCGATGGCTGGTCGAGGCGTTCGGTTTATAGATCGAATCTAAACGATTTAAATGCACATACTATTTCACTACATCTCACGATATTGGCTTACCCATGAGTTTCATCCCTTTGGGAATCTCCACGTTATCGTACACGACGTTCCCGTCTAACGGTGGCGGTGGAACAACATCGGGTGGAACGGGATTCTCTCTAGTTCGTTGCCTCTTCGAATGTCTCTCCTCCAACGTCAGTATCCTGCCCTTCTCGTCGTCGCTGATCCACTTCGGGGCGTACTTATCGAACCCGCCCTTCGTGCGCGCCTCGTAGATCTCCCTCAAGCTGCCGAACATCCTGTTGAAGCTGCCCGAGTACTCGCAGGAATCGTGCGGGGATTCGGCGCTGCGAAAGCTCGCGCTGCTGCCGACGACGTTGCGAGCCGGCGGTTCGCTTCGCTTCGAACACCTGTTGGGCTTCCTGTCGAGGGTGTCCTGCTCGAATTCGTCGGATTCGTCCACCGGTATGTAATGGTCCATGCAGTCCTCGACTTCGATCAGCAACTTGCCGGGCTTCTCCACGGTGCCCTCGTACTTCACCTTCAGCTGCTTCATGTCCAACGAGGAGTAGCGCGAGTTGCTCGGCGTCGAGGGGGCGCTGCCGTAGTTGTAGCCGTTGTTCACGTACACCTCGCTGACCAGGTTGTAGCCTTTGTTCTTCTGGATCTGCAGCAGATCGGAGAGGTTGTAGGTTTCGTTCGAGGCGGAGCCTTTTTTGACGACGATCAGCTCGTAGTCGTGGTCGTCTTCTTGCTGCGGGTCCGTGTCGATTTTGGACACCACCGAGTGTTTGTTGAATATGGCGTTTCTTATGGTCATTTCTTCGTGATCGGGCAACACGGAGCTGAGGCTCGGGCTCGGCTGGGACGATGGAACTTCGGCGTATTCCGATGGGGTAGAATAACCTAACAATCGATTAGTTTTTTTTATATGTATAACTCAACCATCAAAAATACTCGACTTACCTTTCCTATGCGGGTTCCTTTCTAAACTGTCCGTTTCGTATTCCGTGTGTCCTTTGTAGTCCAATAGAGTTTTGTGTTTGGTAAATTCGTATATAACAGCCTTCATTTGCTCCTTAGTAAGAGTAGCCACTTTCTCTTCGGTCTTATCGAACGCCATTGCCTCGTGAATCATATCAGGAGGAGGAAGCTTCGATATAGTATTACAATTTTTACCTTTATCTTTATCCTCCAACGAAATGGAGTAGTAGTAATTCTCCTCGTTGGTTCTACTATTGTAACTAACAGGAGGCGGCGGCGGTTGTTCCACGGGTTTCTTCAATTTGAAGCTAGGCGGTCGTTTAACCTCCTGAGGCGACCTGACCGTCTTGGGGCAAACGCTCTCCTTGCTCGAATTCCCGTCGGATTTGCTCGGAACGTCCTCCAGCCACTTCCTGATGCGCTGCTTCGACTCGTTCGAAGTCAACGTGCAATTCTGGCAGGCCACCAGCGACGGCAGCTCGGGCAGCTTGGCCTGCAGCCCGTCGCAACCGGGACAACCCGAGCACGTCCGCCTCCTGCTGTTCTCGCGCTTCAGGCTGATGATGCTGCTGCGCCGGCTCATGGCCGGATCGAGCAGCCCGTACAGCGAGTCGATGGCGTAGTGCGTCTCCTCCTCGGGGATGTTCAACAGCGTCGGGTTGAAGCGCTTCGTCGCCAGCTTCTGCTTGGCCGAGGCGATCACCTCGCGGATCTTCGTGAGGAACTCCAAGGCCGCCGGCGGCGGCTCGAGCAACAGGTGCGGCTCGAAGTAGGCCGGATTGAAGTAGAGCTTCTTCCTGGTGGAGCCGGCGATGGCTTTGATGTTCTCCGGCTTGTCTTCGCGCACGTCGAGCGTCTCCACGATGGAGACGTTCTCGTCCGGTATGCGCTCGTTGGTGTTGGAGTCGTGGTGGAAGCCGTCGAAGGCCGAGAACGAGGACAGTCGCGATGCCAGGCTGTAGTGTTTCTGCGAGTGAACGAGCGCTGTAATCTGTTGAAAAAAAATTAAATTACACCGTTCCGCTAGACTAAAATCTCAAGCTCCTACTTGTTTCTTTCTATCCTCGTGCTGCTTGATAATATCGGGCGCGGGATCGTTATCGGAGCTGTTGGTATCGCTGTAGCCGGCATCGCCAGTCAGGAAATGAGAACCGATGCTCAACAGCGGATTGCTCTTTATAATCCCCTCTTCGATGTCTCTTACGCTTCGGCTGCTCCTCCGGCTGATACCCGACGCCCTCGAGTTCGATTTCTTCTTCTTCAGGTGGAGATAGAGGAACACCGAAGCCACGTAGATGAGCCCCAGGAGTATCGAACACACCCCTATGGCGACGTATTCCGTCACGCTGAGCGAATCCCCGCCGGTCGCTTCCTTTCCCAGCGCTTGATCTTGCACGAAAGCTACCTCACTAACGTCTGGAATAATTTTATTTGTCACAAAATATGCAGGGCGTTTCGTTCGTTAGGTAAGCGCATAAAAATTCTTACTGGTGAGTGGTTGTTTAATCGGCGTTCCGACCACTCGGAAGGCGACGCACGGCGAGAATAGCATTTGGATTCTGGGAAAATCGGTCGATTCTTCTTCATCTGCTATTTCTCGACACATAAGGTTGATCAATACCAATCTGCCGGCCAACTTGTTGCGCAGCTCTCCATATCCGGACCACTGTAAAGTATGGGACTGTTTAAAATGACGGTCGTTAGCGGGATACGGGTATTAACGACCCGTTTTTCAACGTGTCTAATTAGTTTAATTTGAAGTGGATGTACCGGGGCATTCGGATTGTAAGTTTCTCCTATCGGCGATCGAATTGTAAATGAATTTATGAAGGAAATAAGAGTGTAACAGGCCTTCTGAAATCGAAGAAAACGCTCCTTAAAAAAATTAATATCATCAATAATTCAATTTAAGATAGTTGTAAAAAACATCAAATGAGAAAATTCATTGATTTCGAACGATTCGATCGGTTGTATAGCTTAAAAATAGCGAATAATGTTTAATTTTAAAGAGAAATTATGCGAATAAGTTTTAATGTATAAAGCACAGAACGTGGCTTTTAAATAATGCAATCGAGTAGTTTTTCCAAAATGAGACATTAACGTTTTCATCGGCGCAAAAAAAGGAATACCGTAAATGTCGCAGTGACGTGTGAGTTGATCGTTTTTCAACAACAAGAAATTTTTCCGCCACTGTAATAAATCCCGATAAATTCTTACAATTTTTTTCCGTAGCCCGTCGGCGATATCGATGCAATTCCAATTCACAATTTGTAATTCATAAAAACACGTTAACGACTGCTCTCTCGCTCGATTTTTCCTTTTTCCCAATTCATTCCATTAGCAATTATGTCAGTTTTTTCCATCGACAAGCGTATAAAGCCGCACCGATTTCGCCTTTTACCTTTATTGGTAAAGTTTTCAAAAGTCGATTCGATGCAGCGAAACAGCCGCATCAATCAAAACGCGCCACACCGGCTCATAATTTTTACCTGCAAAAACGCCCGACCTTCCTCCCTGTACAGCCTGAACGGCACGTCCGCGTCCGCCGCGTTTCGCAAGTCCACCCAACCATCATCAGTCATGTATTTGGCGCCCGAAACGGCGCACACGGGAGTTTGGATACCTGCAACATAAATTACGATAATTCGCGATTCCTCTCGCGTTATTTACACGCAGAAGAAAAATCCGAAGGCAAGTATAATATGAGCAATTGCTCGAGCACCGTGACAAGACGCCGGTGCGATACCTATCGGCTAATAAACGCTCATAACCGAGGCGAAGGAGCCATTAACGATTCACTATAATATTTTTCATCGACCGTGACACATCCGGCCTTCCGTGCAGGAAAGATAGCCGGAGTTCGAAGCGGAGTGGACCAAGAGACCCGCTAATTATGCTAATTTAATGGTTTATGCCTTGTTTATTTTAACCTGATTTATCCTCACAAAATGTTAATTTACTGCTCTGTAAAATAGGAACATCAATAGAAATAGAGAGATTGGTGAATTGGTGCAATTGTTATGTGAAGTAGGTAGGTAAGTAGGTACCTAAATAGAGAGATAATGAAACTTGTAAAGAATATAATATCAACAAAACTACAGAGATATTTAATGTAACTGACTGGAAGTTTCTTCACACTTTACTGTAAGTATCTAAATCGTAAATCTCGGATACCTACTCATAAAAATTTCAGATAAGCTACAGGTATCCCGCCATTGGTTTACTGTTAATTTTACCCGTATTCTATCAGTCGCGTTCGATTTTTTTTTATCCAGCTATTCGCTCGTAAGTGCACCTAACGTTACTAATCTTTAATAAGCATTAAATCAAACCATTTGTTGGCGCTTTTGACGGGGAACGCGTCCGCTTAATCGCTTCCTAGAACAATATTGGCTACAAAACGAAACGGATTTCTCGTGCGATATTCCGGTATCGGATTCCGATTAGCTAATTGCGGTAGAGAGAATCATTCCTATACACAAAATCGATAAAATATTTTTAATAGAATAAGATCGTAAAGATCCTCAATTAACATTCAAATCACCCTGCATATAAAGAAAGTAAATGTGCTAACACACGCTCAATATTTCTGCGATACTGTCGAGAACATCTAATTTGAATTAATTAATAACGAAACATATAATTACATAAGTAAGTTAAACGGAGGATCGTTTGCGATTGATTCGCATCGTATCGATCCTGAAACGAGCAGGAGCACCTGAACGATCTTTTAATAATACACCGCCGAGAAAATTTAGCATTTAAATAGCTAAAGATGTCAACGCGTTAGTTAGAAACCTGTTGGTAGTACCGTTAATAATATAGTTCCACTTTAAAAACTAAACTAAACAAGGCAGTTAGTATTATTAAACTGGCGATGCGCTCTTCTCCTTGTACTTTTAATGCGGAATACAAATCCCATTGTCGGGACTAGTTTGAAAACCGTCCATTATAGTACACAGAGCGGGTCATTTTAGATCAAAGGTAGGCACATACAAATTTATTCTACTTACCATTGAGAGATATTTCCTTGCCGGGATATATTATTTGACCCTTGAGGGGCAGATAAACGAATGGAATTTGTTGAGACGTCGAACCACCAACGAAGGGCGCTAATACGCATTCTGCAACAAAAAATATTCATTATTTTACTAATTTAGCAATCAGTATAAGAGGCCATTTTGTGTAATCTAAAGTTAAATGTCATTTTTGACTGGTAACTAGATTAATTAGTTAATTAAGAAAGCGTCACTTTTGACACTTACATATGTCATCAAGCGATTAAAATAATTTAAAATGGCGGAACTACATAACAAAATTTGTTAGTTCACAATCATTGCTATTGAACATAGTAATCGAATTGGCAAATAAAGATCGATAAATCGGATAGGAAAATATATATGGATTCGTTTGGATAGCGCTCGAGAAAGACTTACGGTTTGTGTACCGGCGAAATAAAGCCGGTGCAAATCGCGAATTAATTTATTCGCGCAATCTGTACGCGAAGATCTATGTAAGTTCCATTCCAGAGTGCAACCGAAGGCGTGTTACATATAGTCGATTATCTCTATCTGCTCGCGTGCAATATTTATTTCGATGATAATCGGAAATCGTAGCAGGTGATGAACTCCTTATTTAAAGGCTATACGCATCGCGAGATGCAATGGATAAACCGCAGGAATATAGATAAATATTGAGTTTATGTAAGTACAGGAAGAAGTCAACTAGGTGTATTATACAGAGTGATGCATTGGCACTAGGAATATTATTTCTTACGGCCTTTACTGTTGATGTCTTCCAGTAAGAATATTTTCATATGTATGGCCCTTACTGTTGAGGTCATTCAGCTCGCGGTAAGTCTCTCCGATTTCCTATACATACACTGTGTTCCATTTCCGATTGCAACATGGTCATTTCTATGAGTGGAACAAAGAAAGATTATTAAAATGTCAGTTGTCAAAGTGAAAAGTTGCAATGACATGAATGTCACTCTTTCCTTTTCCTTTATAAGTGTCTAATGGAAGTTGTCTTTATCGCACCCATATGGCCTATATAACCTATGTTGCGATCAAAAATGGAGCAATCTGTATATTTAATATGATACAAATAAATGTCGCAATATTTTCTAAAGACAATCGCAAGAAACTCTAATCACTAATTATATCACCAGATCGCATTCATCTAATTTCCCGCTAATAAAGTATTGTTCTTCAGGCGAGCTTCTTCTCCACTCTTATTCATACACCTTTTCCTGATTATTGCGAATATGAATTCTAATAACTCGCTGGTAGGTAATTATAAAATAATCACATACGTAGGCGTAATGCATTATTCATGTACTCTATCGTTTCATTCATCTTTGTGAACCGACACGTCTCGAATAACGAATACGTTATTATTAGCGTTCTATATGGCTTCTTTAATTGCGATCCATCTTAATTCGTTTAATGAAGAGCGCTTTTAATAGATTTTTACATTTGATAAATTTAATCGAGTCATGTGCATTAGACGAAGTAGTACTCGTAGAATATCTCTACTCTCAAGTTGTGATTTTGAAGCTTTATTTCGCTCACAATACGCATTAAAATTTGATTTATATCCAGTGGAAATCTTCGGGAAAAATGTCCGCTAGGTGGATCCCGCGGGATAGGTTCATTAAGATAATGCATTATCGGCGACAATCAACTAAACATTGATTTATTTATGTAATTAATGCGCGATTCGCAGTGCCGGGAAAGGCGATATTTATCTTCGCAGCGCTTCTAATGTATGCGCAATCTTCTGCTCCATTTATTTACGCGCTGCCATAAATCTATGGTAGCCGCAGCAATTATTGAAACGGGCGTTAAAAACATTTACGATTCGAATTCGAGCGACATGTCTTTAAATACATAACGTTTCTTGAATTATTGATTTTTTTTTGTATAAGCTTACACCTTCGTTATCTTGATATTTGTGCTTTATACAGAGTGAATCTTTAGTTCAAAATTAATTCCAATCGGGAATCGGAAAATACATTTTTCCCTGCATTAATAACACAGTAAAGTGTTCTCGCCGCATTAGCTGGCGAACGGTAAAGAACTATTGAATACGTTCGTTCAACTGTACCGAAATAAAAAACCATCAAACTCATTAGATTAAACAATGCCTAATTGAAGGAACGTCTGTTGTTTTGCTCACTCGCAAAACTGTGGTTCTTTTCTTCCAAAAAAATATATGCAAATCTCCACACATAACACAAGGCATGCGCGAAAAATTGCATAAATTGCATAGACTCTATACAAGAAAAATATAACTACAATGGAAAATAAGGTAATTGAATCCTTTACTATTTTTCTACCACTTATTTTCCTGTTATACAAGTGTGTACAATCAACAGTAAAACACCCTGTGGAGCGCTGTACATCATTTCGAAACTGCATACATTTTAATTAAATAGCCCTACTTTACTTCGCAATATTAAATCGTCATTATTTTATGTAATTATTTATCAATTTCCAACGTAATAAGTGCATATTAATTGAACATAAACTATTAACTTTCATGCAACGGCCGATTTTATTAATTCGATTTCATCGATTGCTGTAGAATTATTCAAATTAATTTTATGCAAGTGAAATTCATGTAAAAACGAAAGCCACGTAAGTACTATCGCATTCGTATGAACTTTATAAAATCGCTCAATCAGTACCTTATTGCTGGTGCTTTACAAACATTTGATTAGCAAGAATTCATTAAATTCTTATAACTTATAATTGTACCGTTACAGGCGTAAAGATTCATCTAAATACCATTAGGTAAAGAAGAATCGCGCCTTCAGTGATCGCTCGTTTATTCCGCACACAATGTCTTCCGATTCTATCCTATCTCGCTGCCAGTAGGTACTCGTTCTACCGACTATACTGACAGTTTGCGGACTAGCAGTAGCGCATATTTGAGATTACCTAATCACGAAAATGCTCGGGGTCAGTTTACTTCATGTCCCAGCTGTCGCTGATGCACCATCTAGCAAATTGTTACCAGTAACAGACAGAATTCCGAAAGATTTTAACTATGTTTTACTATGCAGTGGAAGCTGGAATGTTACTAGGGTTGTTTTAGTTTGTAGTGTCTCACCGTAAAGTTTTTATTTGCAGAAGTAAAATTAATTAATCATTTGTCATTAATTGTTGAAAAAAAATTCATGGTGTGTAAAAAGTCGTAAGTAGAATAAGTACAGTTAAATGAATTTAAATAGTAAAGGCTTTTCCGTTAAAAGAAAATTAGTATTCAGCATTGAGCATAATTTTAATATTTTAAAAACTTTACAAAGTGAAATTATGAAATAATTAACGAAATTTTACTATCCTCCTTCAATGCCTAAACGAAATAAAAGAGACGCGTGGAGAGAACGTAGGAAGATATCCGTTTTGCATAGTTTGTTTTTACAAATTGCTTACCTTTTACAACCATTACGGATAGTAATCTAATTTTTTTAACGACCAGCATTAACCGGTCAATAATGACTAAGGTAGGAAGTAGGTGTACGTAAATCGTACTAGCAACAGACCAGTTAATCATTTATTTCCCCATCGCAAATTTCATTACGAATACCAAACGAGCTATAGAATTTCCTTCACCCGAGGGGAGCGTTTTTAACCGCTCGAAATACTTCATTTTTTCATTAATTTCAATAACGATACGTTCTACCGTGCGACGGAAATAGCTGGAGACGTCGCATGCGCGAACTTCAAACGATTTTGATAGATAGAGAGATGAGTTATTTATTTGCGATCGAGGATTCCCACATTTTTCACGGCAATACAAACGCATCACCGTCGGTTTGTCGAGAGCACGATGAAATGAGCGATTTTAATCGCTCCAATAAATCCTCCGATGCCGATTCGAGAGAAACTGTTAAAACCGATCCGGGGATGCCGGTTCGAGGAATCGCTCGAGATATAAGCGACCATTAATGGCCGGCTACCTTACCGCATTAAAGGCCTTTTCGGTCCGCAGGATTATTTTTATTGCGTTTCATCCCGGTTTTTTCAACGCATTTTTCCTATCGTTTTATTTTTGCACGGTTAAAAGTGAACGCGGGGTTTTCCATTTCAGTAAAAGATATGCCTATTGTTATAGAAATAAAAATAAGTGTAAAAAACTATTTTTTAGAAAGTTCCATAGGGATATAAAAACAATGTAAACATAGAGTTAGTACTATACAAATTATGTAGCACAAAAATGGTGTGTTAAAAATCGAGTAATGGTATTTTTCCCATGACCGGTTCATGAATGGTAGTACACATTGTGCGAAACCGGAATTTATAGTTCACAATAAATCTCCAGCGCGCTTTACATCTAGTTGTCGAACACCCGAAACTTCTATTCTACAATAAATTATAGATAATTTACCTTTCCACATTCAAATCGAAAGTTTCAAATGGATTCGACACCTCTATTATCACTCGTATGTACTTAGAGGTAAATAATTTCAAAGAAACCCTGGCTAGCACAAAGGCCAAACGACCGGTAATTATTTCTATTAACGCCAGTTATTATTGCCCCATTCGCCATCTCGGCTGTCTTAATTACGGCCATCGGAGGTGTTAACTACTATTCCAACGAGTCACGCTCGAAGAGATTGTAAATAAAGTGCGCGACAATCGATGGCTCGAAAGAAGATTGATATATGAAATTGTAGCGCGCCGATGAAAGATTAGAAGGAAGGAGAATTCATTGAATCGATATAAAAATTGATGGCTGTTTGGAAAAGAGGCCGTAAACTAGGGAGAAGGTGGGAATGAAAATTGGGAGGCGAATAAATGGTTTTCTGGACCATCAAAAATGGGTTAAAGTAGAAGAGAAAAAACGTTTTTCTTTCCATAACCATCAATTATCTATCAATAGTGTAAAAATCTATATTTAAGAGTGTTTGCTCTCGGCCGATGGTTGATGTTCGAGTCCATAACGGTGTGACAGATGCCTGATAGGGATCCGCACTGAAAATTGTAAATTGTTCTCGAATTATTGTAGATAGAGTCGTTTCGTACGGCAACTGCTGTTCGGATTCCCGTTGCCATATGGCGCACGTTGAATTATCAAATGTATACGGTTATTTCATGGGAATTTATGGTTTATCAAAAACCAATTTCGAAGCGCGATAAAGCGTACATCAACAAACTAATTGTACACGTTTTTATTATAAAATACAAGTGTATAAATCAAATTTACTACAAAACAAAAAATCATCCTCATCCACCCAGCATTTCCTTAATTTCGGCCTCGGTCTTCCCCTTGGTCTCGGGTATGCACAATACGGTGAAGAAGAAACCGGTGATCAAAACGACGGTGAAAAAGTAGAAAGTGATGTCGGTGCCGATAGTCTCCGAGCACGGCCCGTAATACATGGTCACTATGAAGGCGAGGAACCAGTTGAAAGTGGCCGCGGCGGCGCTGCACTTGCTCTTTATCTCGTTGGAGAACATCTCCCCCGACGCCAGCCACGGAATGGGCCCCAGGCCCAGCGAGAAGGCGATTATAAACAGGTTCAGGGCGGTCACCGGCAGCCAGCCCAAGGATTCAATGTAGTCGGGCGGCGCCGTGGTGGGGCCTTCTTCGCCGTCGATCACCACGGCTCCTCTGGTCTTCAGCGAGAAGTACAAGCCGAGGAAGAAGGTGCCGATGGCCATAAAGAAGCACGATATGAGCAGCAAAATTTTCCTGCCGAATTTATCGATTACGGCCGCCGCCACGACGGTGGAGATGACTTGTATAACGCCGATCGATATCGTGCACAGTTTGTCGTGCAAAGCGGAACCGGCGTCGATGAAAATGCTATTGGCGTAGAACATCACAGCGTTGATGCCGCTCAATTGCTGATAGAACATCAGCATAAAGCAAATCGTGGTGGCCTTGATCGAAGATTTCGATTTCATCGCCTGCCAAAAGTTCGCCCGGCTCTTCTGCTCTTCGATGTCCTTTTTCAATTGGTTCAACTCCCCGCTGAAATCGTAAGTATCGCCGCGCAACCGTTTGAACGACTTCACGGCGTGGTCCTCTCTACCTTTGATCAAATCGGACACCGGCGACTCCGGCTGGAAGACGAAAAACACGCCGAACAACAGCGGTATGATCAAACAGGCGATGTTATACACCATCATGGGCAGCAGGTAAGCCAGCACTTGCGCGTACAAGATCCCGAACGTGATGAACAGTTGGAAAAACGTGCCGATCATGCCTCTGATGCGCACCTCGGCCACTTCGCTGTTGTACGACGGCGCCACCACGCAGAAACTGGCGCCGGCGAAGCCGCAGAGGAACCGGCCCGCGTACACGGCCATCAGATTGGGCACGAACGTGATGCAGCACCAGCCCACCGTGAACGGTATGATGGTCAACAGGGCGGTCAGCTTCTTGCCGATGATGTCCATGAGGAAGCCGATGGGGAAGCAGGCGAAGACGGCGCCGAGCGGCATCAGCGAGCCGATCCAGTTCAGCGATTTGATCTCCATGTTGTTGAGCTTGCCCGATTTGAGATCGTCGCTGATGTTGGCCGTCCAGGCGATCACCGTGCCGAGGGCCAGGGCGCCGATGCAGACGCTCATCGCCGCGAAAAATTGCGGCGCTAGTTTCGCTGACATCGCTGGCGATGCTCACTGCATAGTTCATCGAACGAGCTAGTGGTGTTTGTAAAATTGTCTTAAAAAATGCAATACATAGAGGAAACGCAACGGAATTGTTGTTGACGTTTTCGTGATTTTTCTACTATTGATTGCTGTCACTAACGAAATACTGGCTGTCGCAAAAAGAAACGATGACTGAAGACTGCTGACAATAGTCCATATTTGTAAAAATGAAGCAAAAGGTAGAGGGAAAAAATGTGAGAAAAGGGTTCTAAAACTTTATACAAAGATTTTAAAACCATAAAATATTTTGCTTCAAAGCAACAGTAGGGTTCTCGAAGCAAATCCTCTCTTCCTTCCTTCTCTTCTTTTTAAGCATAGGTGTAAAAGTAATTAAAGGTGTAAAGCTTAAAGTAATTCCTTCATTTATTGAAGCAAAAGGTTGTACTTTTGTAGGAATTTCATAATTTTCGACAAAATGTTCCCCTTTAAGCTATTCATAGTACAATTTATTCAAAGAATAGTTTATGTAACTGGTTCTAATAATCAATTATCCAATTACATACGATTATCCCGATCATTGTCTTGTTGTGTACACTCGTACTGGAATAAATTTCCTTCACATTTGCATTAACTCGCACAAAACGTTTCGAAAAAAAGCGCCATTTCTTCGGTTTTATAGCCAAAAAAAAAAGGAAACTGAAAATCAATTTCTCCTCTAATGTAATCGTCGAGCAAAAGAAAGTTCTCTTCCTGAATACGAAAAACCAACAGACTCGTAATCAAACAAGTTGTTCATACGGATTGCCTTTGTTTGATAAACCTGTTCAAGAAGCTTTATTTGAGTTATATTAGCTCTGTTAGGCGCACAATGGAGATGTGTGAACCGATCGGTGTTGTTATTATCTTTGCTCGCACCGGCTCCGGTTAGAAATTTACTGCTCTAAAGATATAGGTATAACTGTAGCGATACAGAGCGTCCCTTTATAGTATTAATTTGACTAAAAATAGCGGGAATAATTTTTTGTGTTAGTTTATATGGTGTCTAGAAAAAGAAAATATTGTTTATTCGGGTAGATTTAAAGGTTGCATGAAATTTTTCTTCTTGGTAATGGGAACAGTGGATTTTTTGGGACACCTTGTATTCAATATTTAAGAAGCTCTTGCTTGGTTGACTGTAATCGAAAAGTAAATATACATAAAACGTACATGATGTCTTGTAATTTGTATTATTATTATAGAAATGTTATGTATATTCCTTTGGGTTTTGTTAGGTAGATATTTGTTATTCATAAGAACTTACAAGTAAGTACGAATTAAAAATTTTATTTTCTCTTAGATTCTTTACGCAGGAGAAGCAATGATTATTTATAATGATTAATCAAAGAATCGTTTACATTCAATACCAGAAAGCAGTAAAAAACTTTTTCTTATCTAATTCCCTCATTAAAACAGCGAAGCAATCGAATAAAAATCTCCTTTTGCCGCGGCTTCTCTTCGCGGATAAGTTACGACATGGCCGTTTAGCAAAACAACTTTCCGTGAATTGTGAATTCCCTACCAGTGGCAAAAATTCCCAATCTTTATCGCTATTGCCTTATTGAAAATCACTGCTCGATCGACCGTTAGCCGAGATCTTTATGCGATGCTTCTCTAACGACCTTGGTGACCTTTAATTGTTAGAATGTAAAATAGACGTTTCTTCTTCTTCTTTTCCTAAAGACACACGAGAGGAAATAATGTAATGGAAAACGGCGTTCATCAATATGTCGGCGGATGCCTGGTTGGATTTAATGGCATTTTACGCGAAATTCTCGAAACGAAACATATGGCATCGTATTCGTTCCCTTCGTTATTTATTTTATCGTCGACCAGACTCTCATACATTACATTAACAAAACGTTATTATGGCCTTTGAGTAGAGTAGAAAATTGCTTCAATTCAGACCCATCCTGTAAGTACTTGCGTATAACTCAAGTAACCGATCAATTTCTGGTTTTAAATATTCCTATAAGTAATTAATAACGCCAACTAAAGTAATGATTAAGCGTAATCATAATAGATCGATGTACAATTCTCGCGATTTATCGTACCTAAGCGTGTATTATTTACGGTTGCATTATTATTTCTCGTTTCGAAAGAGTAATTAAACAATAACCATAAATTACGGGTAGAGTAGAATGGAAATTTCGTTTTAATTCCATTAAAACCGGCGCACAAAATAAACCGAAATGAGTTTTCTAATGGAATGCAGTTCGATGCGAGGATTTATTCATTTTTCGAACGAATAAATAATAATATAATATTTTAAATCAATTAAATTCAGATTTTTTTAGTAGGTCTTTTCGCAGATGTACCGGTACTTCTTCGGCCGCTAGTTTTTCACGAAAGCGGGAAAACATATTGAATTTATTCATTATACATATCGTAAATATCGATAGTACCTCCAGTAAACAGTACCGTTTTGGTATACGAGTTTTTATCAATACTGAATCAATGAATATCCTTTAATTCAACTTGGAAATCTTCGCCAAAGAAACATTAACGTTCGACGGATGTAAATTCGAACATGACGAGAATAATGGAAAAATTTCTAGCGGATTATCCGATAAAATTTTGTTAAATAAAATTTATACAATGTTTAACTAATGTTTATAAAATCATTAATCAAAAGTAGGGAGAAAAATGATTCCATAAAACTAGAGAGAATATCACTGATTAAAAGTGGAGAGAAAAAACACTGATTAAAAGTAGGGAGAAAATCACTTACTAAAGGTAGGGAGAAAAAATCACTGATTAAATGTAGAGAGAAAATTACTGATTAAAAGTAGGGAGAAAATAACTTACTAAAGGTAGTGAGAAAATTTTTCCTTAAAGGTAGGGAGAAACATTTCAGATTAAAAGTAGAGAGAAAATTACTGATTAAAAGTAGGGAGAAAATAACTTACCAAAGGTAGTGAGAAAATTTTTCCTTAAAGGTAGGGAGAAACATCTCTGATTAAAAGTAGAGAGAACCGAATTCTCGCATTGAGCAAATGGCGCATCTAAGAAGTAACATTGCAATCGTACTTACCGTGAATGTCGTCGACGCAGATACGGAGATCCTCTCTGAAGGCCGGCAGATGAGGATGGCACCGGCATGTGCACATATCCTGATTGGAGATCGCCGTGGCGGTACCGCTGCTCGTACCGACGCAGGTCTCCGGTATGCACTTCGCCGTCGGTACTGGAAATTAAAAACAATATGGTCCATTTGGATTGGATGAAACGGAATGGAGTTATGAAACTATTTTACAGACGCAACGCAGGTGGAACATCGAGGATTTTAAACGGCGATTTAGCATCGGCAATCACAGCGATATCTACATCTTTACCGACTGGTTTTATTAAATCGATGTCGAGGAGTTAGATTGTGGTAATTCCATAAATAGCAGCTCGTTGAATGGGTTTATAAACTTTCCGCCAATTTTTAGATGGTTAAATTGCTTCATTCGATTCGTGTTAGAAACGTGCCGAAGTATTCGTTGAATCTCCGTAAAAACGGTGTTACATTATGGCAAATTAATGTATTCTTCGATGACCATACACAGTCATGAAATTTGTTGTTTACATACTAATGTTATTTGTATGTTTTATTAATAACGCCATGTATTATTAATAACGTTTAAAGGATCTTATACGAGAAATCTTGGTAGTTGAAATGCCTGTCACATTAGTGGCACTTCACTCGTGAAAATTATTCAGTCGATTTACTAATTAATAGTTTCTTTCGTCGAATAAGAAATATGTACAAATGTCAAGTAAATTAATCCAATACTGAAAAACATCACATGTGTAGAAACCTACTTTTAAGGAAATATATCTTAATAGAGTCGTGTTTATCTACTGGATTAAGAGGAATAAAAATTATTCGGCAGCATCTAAGCTTCATCAATTATTAAAAGAATTATTATAAAATCAACCTTTTTTTTATAACTGCAAAATTACGAGGGATTCAGTCGCATATTACATACATATTTTGCAACGGTTAGCGCCGCACCGGCTGCATAGAAAACTAAATTATAGACCAGATAGATCCAGAAGGCATTTATCTACCATTCGCCCATTCGTACAACGCCCATTTCTTTTCGAATTTTTGCGTTTCGCGAGATTTATGCAACGGGTACTCGATAAAAAACAAATCGAACTGAAACTGGAATAGATACGTGTCACGGTAGATCTAATTACAGTTTTTGCGTACCGTTTTAACCTCTATTTCACGTCTAGTTAGTACCACATTCCGGATTGGTTTTGTTCGCTTAAATCGATATTTTCTGTATTAAGTTGTAGGAAAATCTTTATTTTCTTTACTCACTTTGCTTCTAAAATATAAACAATAATACACGTACTTATGGATTCTTCAACCAAAGACAAATTCTGAGCTTTGGTTACAGTTAATTGAAGATTTTGTATGAATTTTTAAAATTCCTCGCGTATAGTAACATCGCTCTATTTTCTACGGTAAACTATACCGATCCCTTTAACAGAATTCCAGGTTGTTTTTTTTTCGATGGAGGCATCAGCATTACACGCAACATGCCCGGATTATTATATATTATACGTTCCGTCCATTAGTAGTAATTACTCTCCAATTAGTAGTTTTATTTTTTCCTTTTCGAATAATTAATAAGTCAACATTAGGCGAACGTTATGCAAACAATGAGCTCGGAATTTCACATTAAAGCGCGTTTAAAGCGAAGTAAATCACAATTAATTGAGATCTTTCGGCTTCTATATTTTATTTTTCTCGAATAAAACCTTAATCGAAATTAATTCTAAACGATCAAAAGCGAAAATAGGGAATTTTAATAGGTTTTTAAACGATTTATTAGAAGCAAACGCACGCTGTGATTTATCATTCGAAACATATGTGTGAGCGACGTAAATAAATAGCCCAAAATACCTGCATTTTTTGAATTTATTAAACGGAATTTCTGTTATATCTATCCAGCAGATTTACGCGACTTTCAACGGTAATCGTCCAATTTGCATAATTTAAACAGAAAACTCGCCGAATCATTTTAATATCGAAAGCAAACTGTAAGAAATAAATTGATGTAATATATATTTGAATAAAATTTTCGTTAGATATTTTATTAGAAATATACAAGGTGTCCTCAAAATATATTGACCCGCATTCAACGCTCCTTTTTAACACTAAGTCTCTTTAATCTAAACAATGTCCATAGTTACCCCATAACAACAATGTAAAACTGTCAAACACGCGCCTATAACTTAAAAACATTCAATAAAAAAGGTAGGGAGAAAATTATTCATTGTTACTAGTTGAATGATATCGTTAGTATAGAATTTCCAAGTCAGGGGTCAAACTCGAGAGAAACCAACTATCAATTACCATTATCCATTATTAATTTTTTACCAACCAGCAAAAGGACAAGCTTACATTCCCATTAGGACAAGTGAGAGCACTACTCAGATTTAATTCGATGCGGCAGATGCGCGATATGTCGTCCGTCTTCGATGTCATTAGACGTCCAGTTTTGTTCGTTTCGTTTTCGCGGAGCGCGAGAGCGAGCCAGTCCAGAAGAAATCCTTGTTTTGCGTACTTAAATACCTACCGGTATGGGCACGTGTTGTCCGGCATTTCCTCAATAAAGTGTAAATGGCTAAATGGCGAATAGCGATTAATTTTTTCACCGTTCCGAACGCGGATAAATACATATTTGTGCATGAATAAATCATTAGGAGGTTTTCGACGATCGCCAGAATCGGCCTCAACGGATTTACACATACATATTTACCGAATAGAAAAGTATTGATTAAAAGTAGGGAGAAAATTATTCATAAAAGTAGGGAGAAAATCACTGTCTAAAGGTAGGGAGAATATCATTGATTTAAAGTAGAGAGAAAATCACCGAATAAAAGTAGGAAGAAAATCGTTCATTAAAAGTAGAGAGAAAATCATTGATTAAAAGTAGGGAGAAAAATCACTGACTAAAGGTAGGGAGAATATCATTGATTTAACGTAGAGAGAAAATCAAATTCAAAGTAGGGAGAAAATCTTTCATTAAAAGTAGAGAAAAATCATTGATTAAAAGTAGGGAGAAAATCGATTGAGTAAAAGTAGGGAGAAAATCGATCGACTAAAAGTAGAGAGAAAATCGCGAAGCTGATGAGAAGGTTTCTCATCGGACTTACCACCCGCATAGGTGAAGATATCTCCGCTGTTGTGCCTGGTGACCGTCAGCGATTCGCCCTCTGGTCCCTTGGGCAGCGGCTCCGACGTGGAAAGCGACGCTGCGAACGCGAGCAGCACCGCTGGAAGCCATGGCGATCTCAGGACATTTCGTTTTGTTTCCATCTAGTATCCAAGGCCGTTTAGCCATCGATCACTATCGCCTGGAACCAAACAAATCCTTTATTAATCATCTAGACTAATCCTCATACCCAAGAGAGATCTTTTATATATCTGCTAATATTAAATTTCAAATAAAGCTGGAACTGAAAGCCTGAAATCGAGCCGTGCTCGGACGAATCCCGAGATGCAAGACCGAAAGAACCGGCGCCTGCTTAATGTACCCGTTTTACATTTACACCGGATTTTATTACAGTTTTGAAATTTAGTTTAGAGGTAACCACATAAAAATGCTAATTAACATGATTCATAAAGCTAGCTAGATTGGCGTTTATTAACGAGCCCGGACTCCGAATTGCTACATAACAGTACAATGGTTTTTCGGTTGCGTTTCATGAAGGTTTTTGTCTTATCGATTAAACCGAAGACAGGTGCTAAAAGTCAAAGGGTGAGTGACCGCGAATCTGTGTTCCGAAGAAATGGCTACATTAACATCACCAACCGGATCAGCGGATCAGATGACATATGGCAAACGAAGGTCCGCTCTTTTTTTCTTCTTCTTCTTCTCTGTTGTTTTCTTCCTATAAAATGTGGCGTAATCGGTTAACAGTATAATTAGTGGTTCTCCCATCGAAACGTATCGATGTGTGTCTCCTTCGAAGGAAAGCGCAAAATTTCGAGTTTATATCGGGATAAAAAGCGATTTACGCGAATGACCGAGAGTGGTTTTAGAGATAAAATTGATCATTTTAATCGAGTAGAAAGCCGTTTTAAGCTTTTACCTAAAACGCATCATAACGGAGCCAAAAATAATTATTCAACGAAATCCGCGCTCGATTTTACCGGATTTCATCCACATCCCCGTTCAAAAAACACCGATCGGATTCGTAGAAAAGAACATTTTACGCGCCGGTAATTGATTCTCTCAAAAACCGCCGCGGCCGCCGTTTTATTATTAAAAAAAAAAAACGTAATTTCTTCGTTCTAAAAGTACGCCGTAAGTACTTGCATAAAGTCGTTTTACGGTCAATATTTGCATAGAAATATTCAATTAGAGGGAACTGTAAATTTTTCAACTAGCATTTTTATTAGTGTACGCGCGCAATGTAATAATTGCCTCCGCCGATTTTTCGCGTTTCCTCTACGGCTTAATCGCCGAACCGGCTAACAGGTTGTCCCATCATAATTATTCCCAACGCGCTCGTAAATGGGATGTTTTGATCGAATTTCGATTTTATTTGCACCGACCGAGCCGTTTTTTTTTCTGTTATTTTCGAAGGTAAAATAGAGGTAAAATAGGTGTAACGTTACCGGTGCATCGCACTGATTCCTCCGAACGATATACGAATTCATATCGTGGAACTAATAATAATTGCTGGATTAATTAATTTTCATCGCGCTATATCTGGTTTGTATACGTAGAATGGCTAGGTGCGCAATCATTTCTGTTGTTTCGAATCGACTCGGGATAACTGGATAAACCGCAATTAGTTTCACAAGGTTCTACTTACATTTTTGTTCTCTCTACTTTTTTTTTCTCTCTGCTTAGTCTCGAGTTCAGTTCAATGGTTGGGACCAAACAATAACAAATTGTGACTCAATAATATCAAACTGAAACTAAATATTATCAAATTGAGACTAAATATTATCTAATTGAGACTCACTAATATCAAATTGAGACTAAATATTATCAAATTGAGACTAAATATTATCAAATTGAGACTCACTAATATCAAATTGAGACTAAATATTATCAAATTGAGACTCACTAATATCAAATTGAGACTAAATATTATCAAATTGAGACTCACTAATATCAAATTGAGAATAAACAATGTCAAATTGAGTCAAAGAACCTATTCAAAATAATTGAATTCGTTCAATTCAAACCGAACAATTTTCTAGACAAGTTCTATAAAACCACTGTATGAAAACGTAATTGTATCGTTGTTTTATGAGACACCCTGTATATTGGAATCAAATACAACGAACACAATCGATGCATCGACGGTAAATCTCTAATGGACCGTCGACGATTCCTCGTTATGTTCGCCACAGCATTTCAAAATCGCGTAAAATATGAGGAAGGATGGCCGGGGAATTTTTCAGAATCCATAAGAGCTCCGTTCGACGTGGAAATATTCGTTTAATGAACCGACTCAAAACGCTAAACTGTTTCAAATTGAGAAGTAAGTATACACGGGCATTTTACATCGGTATATCGAATGGGACGCGTTCGATTCAATCGCTTTTTATTAACGATTAGCTATTTACTATCTAGTATATGGTCGAGATGGTTCGACTGTAATGGTTTTTACGAAATATCAGCGATACTTTCGCGACATGTGAGGTTTTTGTCGTTCGGGTGATTTATGTACCAATAATGTCGTACTAAAAGATTTATAAATCGCTAATAAGGGATATTTTGTATTGTAAACGATGTTCGAGTTAATCTACTACATACATATTATATGAAGACATTTTAATTCAATCGTATAATTATAAATACGATTGGAGAGATTTTTACTAACTCTGGCTAGTTCGTTATTATAATAAAATTATAATTAGAGAGGCGCTGCTTGATTAAATATCCAATTTACTACCAATGCATTACGTATTTACAAGCAGCAAAAGGTAAAAGTAAAATTGCATTTTTATGCACCCATTAAACCGTCGATTATAAAAAAATGCATTTTATGACTTAATTACGCCCGACAACTCGCCAGCACGTCCTTAATGTATGTATAATCGTTAAAACAGCCATCATCAAAACCACCGAGAATTACGTTCGACTTTCACTATCATTATGAATTGCCGGCTCTTATTAGGCATAGTAATTTTTTAAATGCATTGTGAGATTAATGGAAAAATCTTACCATTGTTTCCACGCACACATACGCCGCTTTTACAAACATCTCTCACGGATAAATTAACCATTATTCACACGGGCGTATCCCGACGGGGCATTTGCACCACTTTAAAAAGTTCGTATAGAAAAAAAAAACTGTAATTGACATATCAGAACGATATTTAGAAAATAACGCTTATTTTGTAACAGTCGTTACTGCACCTCTATACCAACAAAATTGACCCACCTCTATTAAACTTCTGTCATACGAATTGTCATTAATGTCAATTCTGACAGTTTATGTACCATCGAACGCATCTGAGAGCCCCACTTACTCGCGCACAATGCGAAATTAGCAATGTATCGTGGAATTCAGATAAATTTCCAGTTTTTCGATTCGAATTGGAGCATTGTATAAACGCGGGTGCCGGTTACGGTTGGTTTTACGGCACCGGAGGGCGTTCGGGAGCGATGAGAACGATTCAATGGCCAGTCGAGAACGGTCTAATGATCGTCGGGAGATCGAAGATATTCGATCGGCGATTGCCGGACAAAAGCACCACCCGAGGAGGCGCATTCCGATATTCAGAGCACCTACAGGTGCTAGAAACGTCCACGGAGGAATAGCTGGTATTAGGTAGGTGATGTTCCGGGACTTTGAACACCTCCCTATCAGCGCCATCGATCATGAATGTACTGAATAAAATGCTTAAATCGTACGTTTATACTGCATTAAATAGGATAGTTACAGTGTAGACTAAAAGCCATCATAATAACAAGATGATTATTAGTCTATAATATTAAGTAATGAATCGATTTTAAAAAGTATTCAATTATAGGTAGTCTTCAAGTGGCATTGGAGGTTTTATTTTGTATGTTAAATTCGACCACAATGTGCAATAATAATAAAGAGAGTGTATTAAATCATACCTTTGTATATTATGAGAAATTACAGAACTTATGAGTAGTTAACGGTAGGGCAGATGTGATTTCTTCTTCCTCTTCTGCTTCTTTTCCACCGTTGAATTTCTCACTTAAATATCGAGAAATTTATAGTTGTGAGCGTTATTTTTTTAATGGAAGAATACCGTTGATATCGAACCGGTAATTTCCCTTCGCGGAACGCTGTATAAAAATTCGTTTTGCCGGTAATTTATAAGATAAAAACATCCGAAAAAAAAGGCTTTTTATAAAATAGAAATTCGTTAATTCGTTTTCGGTAACATATGGTGAAATGTTTTATTTCGTTAACAGTGAAAGGTGAAATGGCGTTAAATAAATTAGTAAACGGATTAGAATTTATACGAATTTTTGTAATAAATAAATTAATTCGAGAACAGATGGCGAATTTTGTCAATAAAGCACGAATTTGAAACCGTTAGCACGATGATTTCGAACAACTTTTTATATCTAATATAAATTTTAAATTTCACACAGACATCCGCGGGTTTAGCTTTTACGTTTTCGTAATAAATAAAATTTCGGAAATTTTTACAATTTTTATGTACAGATTGTCTCGTTTTTTAAACGAAAATACTTATATTTATTTACGCACTTGTCAATTAACATTTACTTTGAATTAATCAATAAAAAATCTTCAAATTAAAAATTTTAAATTACCATAAAAGATAACTTAAAATTTTCTAAAAATCATTTAAAAATATCAAAACTGGTTAAAAATTGGAAAAGATAAATTTCCGTTTAATCAAAATTCCATTAATAAGATTTATGCATTTAATTAAATAATTCTAATATAGGCATACCGTTATGTTTTGGGCATTAATTTTTCACATCTAATAAGAATTTTAAATTCTGTGTATACCAGCTAGTATTGTGTTAGTGTATTAACATTTTCTTACGGTTGTTTATCTGGGAAGGATTGGATATTGAATAACAGATCTCAGTATAGTGTTTTTTTTTCTATATAACATTACCACACACGTTTTATTTAAAACTAAAAATGCATCTTGCATTATTTATTAAATCCAACTTCTCTATATGTAGAATTTGTTATAAGTTTTTGCATTAATCTGACACAAAAAATGGCAATTTTATCTTGTGATGCTACGAAATAATCGATACGTTTTGTTAACGAAATAATATTGTTTTATAAAATCTGTTCGCGCATTTTAATTTCAAACCTGAGAAGTGTTTTAATAATGTAATACATTAAATTTCTCCTCCTAATAACATTAATTAACCTAGTAAACGAAATGGTGATTTGTTTAAACAAAATCATTAGTCGACTCCTTATTTCGAATAGTAACAATAGGCCATAAGAGCGGTAATAATTCAGCGAAGCGGCCTTAATTCCTCGCAAAAAGTACACGTAAATTAAAATTTTCAGAAGAATAAAAAAAAAGACTACGCTAACAATCTTTAGCTAATAGTTACTCACACTACTAACATCTTCGCTTGGTAATTTTACTATTTTTATCGATTTTTCATTTATGGAAAAAAGAAAATTACTTTTCCGCATTTGATGGTGAAAGTTTTTCTATACAACACATTCCACTTTATACACCTCGAACGCAAATAATACCCAATTGTTACGCACGAATATATCTGCATAATGAAAAAAATCTCACCTACTTTTCCGAGTTCTCATCCTCCACCCCGGCCCATCAACCGAAAACAATCCACTACAACGCAATAAGCAATTCCCCGATAAACGAAAATAAGTCACTGGAAGCGGCACCGGAGCGCGCGGGCTCCCGCGAAGAACCCCGGAGTGAACGTATCGCGTGCCGATGGGATTAATTACAGCAGGAATCGGAATCGCCGGCGTGCGGAAAAGAAATCGCCTTCGAGTTTCATGGTGTTTCACTTGACAATGAACGTCGACGTCGCCGCGTAGAGGCGAAGCGCGCCTAGGAGGCCCGCGGTATCCGCTGGTGGTACCGGAGGTTCGCGTCTTCGGGCGCGGGTACGAAGGAACATCGGACGTGCGAGCGGAATTGGAAATTTTTTTTTCGGCTTTCGGGATGAAGTCGGCGAGGTTTTTCGGTGTTTGGAGAGATTTCGGTGATTAGAAACGGCCTTGGTGGCGCGTAAATCAATCGGTGAATGATTATGCATGAAGGACGGAAGACAGATGGTGGAAATTTTTGAAATTTGATAATTTATTGAAAAAGAGGTGATTTCTAATTTGCTGATTTGCTAAAGTTAGCAAATGGTTTTTTAGAAGAAATTTATGCATCATTTATTTGATGAATTTGGATGAATATTAATAAAAGGTTGTAGCTTTTTGCTTAAGAAGAGAATTTTTTATTACCAGAAAATGTACTTTCAAATTTTTTTTGAGGAATTGGTTTTTTTTGTAGCTATCTAATCAAAAAGTTTTATTTGTCAAGTGTCAATTGAAGGACTTTATTTATTTTATTCACATAAAAAAAACTTGTTTTAGGTTTGTTATAAGCCATTATAGATAATTCCACTAAAAAAATCATAAGTAAATTAATTTTCTTCTACTTGTTTTATAAAAATAATAATAAATAATCGAATTCAAAAAAAGTGGCTGAATCGCTTTAATAGTAGAGGCCAACATTCGAATACACAAAAGTTAAGTGTTGCCAAAAAGAAGAATTAGGTTAAGTTAACGAGAATTTCGTAAATTTAAATTTGTTTATTTCGAATTTAATTAATTAACTAATGGAACCTCCGCAAATAAAAAAACTAGACGTAGCTGTTATAAATCGAATAGCTGCCGGTGAAGTAATACAACGACCGGCGAACGCCTTAAAAGAATTAATCGAGAATAGGTCAGTATAAAATAATAACATTCTCGCATTCGTTTTGTAATAAACAGTTTTTTTAGCTTAGACGCGAAATCTACGAACATTCAAGTAACCGTCAAAAACGGTGGACTGAAATTGCTCCAGGTATGTACTTACCTTACATTAATTATAAATTCAAATATCCGTTTCGACAGATCCACGATAATGGCACCGGAATCAGAAAAGAAGACTTCGAAATCGTATGCGAAAGATTCACCACCTCCAAACTTAGAGAGTTCGAAGACTTGCACAAAATCTCGACCTATGGTTTTCGAGGCGAAGCTCTAGCCAGTATTTCTCATGTTGCCCATTTAACCATTACGTCGAAGACCAAGCAAGACCTATGCGCCTACCAGTAACCCCATTGCAACACAAATCTACTTAAATTCATAGCATCGTCTTTACAGAGCCAGATTTGTGGATAGTACATTGCAAGGCGCGCCTAAACCAATGGCCGGAAACCAAGGAACTATCATCACTGTCGAGGACTTGTTTTACAACATGAACGTGAGGAAAAAAGCTTTAAGATCGCCGGGTGAAGAGTACCAGAAAATCTCCGATGTTGTGAGCAAATACGCCATTCACAACGCGCATGTAGGTAAGTTTCTATTAATTTCTATTAATTTTTTAATGAATGATTACTGAAAATTTGCAGGTTTCGCATTAAAAAAATGCAACGAAAACAACGACATAAGAACCCCGCAAGGTTCCACGCAAGTGGAAAATATACAAATTATTTACGGGAACACGATAGCTCGAGAACTTGTAGAATTTTCATCAGAAAATGAACGATTTCAATTCACCGCCAAAGGATACATATCGAACGTAAATTACTCATCAAAAAAATTCAATTTTCTCCTCTTTATTAACCACAGATTAGTCGATTGTCAGAGTAAGTTAATTAGACTTTCAAACTTTATTCGCAACCAACATACCGGTATTTAAGGTTTGAAGAAATGTATCGATCAAGTTTATTCTACTTATTTACCGAAAAACACCCATCCGTTTGTGTATTTGAGCTTGGAATTGGACCCTAACAACATAGATATAAACGTACATCCCACGAAGCACGAGGTGCATTTTTTAAACCAAGAACAAATCATAGAGAGCATCGTCACCGACATGGAAAACAAACTACTGAGCAGCAGCAGTTCGAGAACATTTTACGCACAGGTACGCGAACAATCCGTTAATAATCAACGAAAATAATCGTGATATTTCCAGGCGAAGCTTCCCAAAATACTCAACGTAGAGGTTCCCGAATCGAAAGATAGAACCAATGCATCGAGTAAACCTACGCACGCCTACAACATGGTGAGAACGGACGCCAAAGAGCAGAAATTGGAGAAATTTTTCGGAGATGCGTTTAAGAAAAAATGTACCGAACCCGCTCAGAAACTGGACGAATCGATCAACGAAGAAGAACTTCGACAAAGCGAAGACCTTTTTCTCAACAGAGCAGAGAATTTGGAGGATTTTATTAATTTGAATCGAACAACTAACGAACCAGGTTAATTATTGATTGTGCATAATTCAATAATGTATTACTATTTTAAAATTTTATAGACAAGGTTGTAGAAGAACCTATGGAAGTGGTTGAATGTATCGAAACCGATACCAAGCAATCCGGTACAATAAAAGCAAATACAGCGAAAAGTAAACCTGCCAATGGTCCTATAAACGAATCGTTCCTTAAAAAAATAACAAAGTTTGTAAACAATAAATTCTCCAGTAAATAAATAAACGAATAAAACACATTTCAGGCACGACACGAAGCTCACGAGCGTCCTCCAGCTGCGCAAGGAGATCGAGGGAAACTGCCACAGGGTGTTGAGAGAAACCTTCGCCCAGCACGTGTTCGTGGGGCCCGTCGATCCCGCGCGAGCCCTAATCCAATACGGCACCAAGATGTTCCTCTGCGACACCAAAGCCATCCTGACCGAGCTCTTCTACCAATTTATCATGTACAATTTCCAAAATTTCGACACCTATTCGTTCTCGAATCCCGTCCCGTTGCAGGAACTGGCGCTCGTCTGCCTCGATATGCCGGAAACCGGATGGACTCCCGAGGATGGGGATAAAGCCGAGCTCTCGGCGCGCATAAAAGACATCCTAACGGAAAAAGGGCCGATGCTAGAGGATTATTTTTCGGTGAAAATCGATCGAGAAGGGAATATCCTCAGCTTGCCTATCATACTAGGTATGCACTAAGTATTTAACCCGATTTCGTGCTAGTATAATGCTCGTGTTCGCAGAAAATTACCTGCCCGATCCGGCTGGTCTGTGCACGTACATCGTTCGATTGGCTACGGAAGTTAATTGGGAGGTTGAGAAGGAATGTTTTCGAACGTTCGCCGAAGAAACTGCGAAATTTTACGCGAAAATTCCGGAAGAGGTTAATCAAAACGGGAAAGAATGGCAATGGGTGACCGAGCACGTTCTCTATCCCGCTATAAAAGAGTATTTCATCCCGCCGAAATCGTTTATGGAGAATTGCGCTGTGTTAGAGATAGCCGATTTGTATAATTTGTATAAAGTTTTCGAACGATGTTGATTATTAAGTATTAAAAAAGAATTGTTGTATTTTGAATTTAAATTTATTAACTTACTCAAATTCCTATTTTATTTACTTTCTCAGAAAGCAAAGCGTTAACTGAAAATAAAATTGTGTTAATTTTTGTACTGTATTCAGTAAAATATAACTTACTCTTTTTAGTGTTTCTAATCGATTTTTCCAATTCTTCTATCTTGTTCTGAGCCATAAAAAGTTCGTGTTTTAATTTAGCTTGAGTTTCTGAATTGTAAGCTGCTTTATATTCGTCGTACTCCCTTTGAAGTTGGTAATTTTTGGTTTTTGCTTCTTCGATTGCCTGATTTTTTGCAACTAAAGAAGATTGTAAATTGTCTATCTAAAACTCAATAAATTAGAATCTACAAAATTTGACTCGTTCGAATATTCTCACTATTTTAACTTTGGAATCGTAATGATTGTTGAAATTCACTAGCATTTGATTGGCTTGAATTAAATCCCTGCGCAGTTCATCGATGTTTGAGGTTTTTTGGGCGACAATAATTGTGGCTTTTTCCATATCACACCTTAATTCTTCCTGTAATTAACGAATTGATTAACAATTAATGGTTAATAAAATTGATCGTACATTTTTGCTTTGTAATTCTCTATTGGCAGCATCTCGTTCGCTTAAGATGCTTCGTAAATTACTGACGGTTTTCTCCAAGCTCATTTTCGCCAATTGTAATTCGTTATTTTTCTGTTCCAGTTGATCGATGGAATTCGTAAACTTGATATTCTCTATGTTTAAATTTTCTATGCTTCTTAATAGCCTGGAATTAGATTCTGTTTTCATAATTGATTTTTTCTTCAAGGTGTTCACTTCGTCGAATAGCTCGTCTAATCTTTGCACTAGAATTTTAATTTTTTTAAGTAACTGGTATTCGAAATCTCTCGATTTTGTGATGATAGTGTCTTCAACTTCCTTTAACACCTAAAAAGTTTTTTTAGATTTGTCATTAATCCATACATTATACTTTATATTTTACCTTTTGGAATTTAGAATCCATTTTAGCAATATTATTGGTTAATATTCGTATATCTGCATCCTTATTGGCAATTATTTTCTTCATATTTGAAACTTGTAACTGAAGTCTTTCGTTCGAATCCTTAAGAATCAATTATTAGAATAAAATTAATTTAGCAAATTAAATCTACCTACCTTTATGTGATGCATGTTATTGGTCACTTCATTAAGGATTTCTTTTTGAGATGTAGCATGTAGTTCTAACGTAACATAAATTATCGATTTGATTTTTGATTTATTGTAAAACACTAACACGCAGGATTTCTCTGAAACTTCGCATCTCAAGAACCTAAAAGTAAGTTGTGCATGAAACTTTCGGAAATAAATAAAATGAACACGTACATTTCTCTTCTCGGTATTTGTTGCAACATTTCCAACAAATTCCCGACAAACTCGTTGAAATTAATGTCTAGATTTTGCTTCGCTCTCAAAATTTCATAATCGCCTAAATCGATCGTTTCCGTGTAGTTGAAAGTGAATTCGGACGGATCGCGTATTTTTATTTGCTAAAAATTAATACTTTAAAACTTGCTACATATTAATTGATGCCAATACTCACTAGGGAATCTTGATTATTGTTCACAATTAAATTTAACGTTCTGTCTTCGAACGAGCCGCTGCGATCGCAAATTTGTAAAGCGAGGTTTTTATTGTATATACAAGTCATCCTTTTGTAATATTTAATATTATTAAAATGTTTCAATAAACTTCATCTTCGTTACAGTTTCAAACTTTCAGGTTAACTTTTTGAACTGAAAAACTGTCATTCATTACTGTGACTGTGAAACGGTGACATTTTTTTGACAGACTGGGATCTAACTTCATTGTGTTTTGTACAGGACAGGAGTCGCACTAAATTTTTCGAGAAATAGGAAATTTATTAATGGGGTTTATTAATTAAATCTCTATTTTTAATTAACATAACTAACTTTATTTGTTTTCGAGATTAAAACAAAAAACAAAAAAAAACACCTCAATTTACATATTAGATTATAAAATAATTGAAGAACGTTAAAAAACCAAAAATAAATGCCAAAATAAAAGTATAGTAAATATTTACAAATATATTCAATAAAACCAAATTACCTCTGCATTTCCATTTGATAACCAAAGCCCGCTTAGACCACCTTTAAAACGTTAAACAAAGAACGAAATAAAACTCAAAGAAACAAAAAAAACTAACGAGAATGACATTTTTGTTCTACATTTATTTTTTTCTATCATACCTCATAAATCCGAGTACGTACTGTCAAAAATCATCGAAATTAGAAAACAAAACACACCTTATACCAAATATTTCAATGTGTTATTTATTTTTCACCCACTTCACGTTACAGAAATTAAATTTTCAATTCAAATCCCATGTCTTCTGTCCATCTCTATTAAAATGACGTTTCTTAAAATGGTATTTTAAAATGACATCTGACGTATTTGATTAGACATTCGTAAAAAAATATACGGTAGGAATAAGTGGAAAAAGTATAGTAGCTAACTCGTCAAATACGTCAAACGTCAATAAATATGCGACATTTCGATTACTTACGCACGCCTCTGCTCTCGTACCAAATTTTAACGTGCCGACGATTCAAAAATTTCATAAACTTGTCAACATCCTAAAAAAACGAATTCGACATTTGGCGATTTGAAAACGTCAAACGTCAAATCGCCAAAAAACGACCAAAAAAAAAACCTAATTTTATCTTTTTCTAACACGTAAGTACTCTTCGATCTACGAAGCACATTATTGTTGCATTTTTTCCGTCGTCTCGTTTAACCTTTTAAAGTTTGTTGTTAAATAGTCATGCCTGCGTAATGGCGACCGCCTCCCGTTTCTCCTCCTCCAATTCGGCGCCGGTCAGCGCCAGCTTCTCCTTGGCGAAATCGTCGATGACCAGCCCTTCGACGATGCGCCACTTGCCGTCCTTGATGGTCACCGGGAACGAGAACACCACGTCCTTGGGGGCGCCGTAGCTGCCGTCGCTGATGACGCCCATCGAGACGACGGCGCCGGGCGCCGTGCCGGCGAACCAGTCGCGCATGTGATCGGTGGCCGCCTTCGCCGCCGACAGGGCGCTCGACATTTTCCTCGCCGCTATCACCGTGGCTCCTACGAAGTAAATTCCCACATTAGCGACGCGTTACCGGCCTTTTACCGCTGAGAAAACGAGCCAATTTGTGCGACCGATTACTGACCTCGCTTTTGGACGATCTCGACGAACATGGACCTCAGCCAATTGTCGTCTTTGATCGCATCGGGCACCGCTATTTGTTTACCGTTGATATTGACAAGGGCATGGCTGGCGTCGGGGAATTGGGTGGATGAATGGTTGCCCCAAATTATCACGTTGCTTACCTAAAAATATGAAAGAAATGCATAAGCGAATTTGGTGATTTCGTTTCGTGAGCTCACCTCTCCTACGGGAACGCCCAATCGCGATGAAATCTGCGCCTGCGCTCTGTTCTGGTCCAATCGCGTCATAGCCGTGAAATTCTCCTTGGGTATAGACGGCGCGTATTTGGAGCAAATCAAAGCGTTCGTATTAGCCGGATTTCCCACGACCAAAACCTTCACGTCCTTCTTGGCGTAACGGTCCAAAGCGGAGCCCTGCTCCTTGAAGATCTTCACGTTGGCAGACAGGAGATCCTTGCGTTCCATGCCTAAACAGCGCAGAACAGTTTATAAGACAGTTCGTCAAAATGGCCGATCGAACTGTCAATTTATTTACCTTCTTTCCTGGGCATGGCGCCGACCAAGAAGGCGGCGGAGACGTCCTTGAAGGCGACGGCGACGTCGGCGGTGGGGACGACGCCCCTGAGCAGGGGTATGGCGCAATCGGCCAGCTCCATGACGACGCCTTCGAGGACCGGCATCATCGGCGGGATGTCGAGCAGGTGCAAAATGACGGGCTGGTTGGGGCCGAAGACGTCGCCTTTGGCGACCATGTAGAGCAACGAGTAGGCTATTTGGCCGGCGGCTCCCGTCACGACGACTCGAATCGGTTCAGGCTGAAAAATAATAATGGAGATATTCATAAAATTCTACCAAAATTTGTCGAAATTAATCGAGTGGTTTGGATTAATTATAGTGCCAAAAAATATAAAAATCTGTCAAAAAAGTCAAATGTCAAAAATGCCCCAGATTTACGAAAAAAAAGAGCCAGTTATACCTTCAGGTGACTAGATTTCATTTTAAATTTTCAACGGATTTTTAAAATTGTTTTGTACAAATCGAGTAAATAATTGTCTATGAATACAACAAATTATTTCAACTATTCCAGCATAATCCGTTTGAACATTCCAAAGAACGTGTTATTGGATAATAAGCAATCTGAAACTCAGATAAATCTAGCTTGCTCTGCTCTTATCGCTTATCTGTAATCAAATATTGTTCGAACTTGTTGTTAAAAAGCCAATTTATTAAACTCTAGATTAAACCGTAATTATCAAAAAGTGATAATAAATTTCTCAAAAATTCAACTTTCAAGCGAAATTAGGCAATAAATTACATAAAAAAATTTATATTGTCAAGCCGGCTTCTCCATTGTGTCAATTGCTATGGAAACAGCTAATTATTTTTTATTCATTGCAAATGTCAAATTCATTAAATAACTGTCAAATTAAAAGAGGTTATTTACGAAAAAAATACGAATATCGAGCGATTTGATTGATAGTAAATGAAGAACCAATATGGAGAAATTACTTACAAAAATTCATTATATAATAATGTAATTTTATTACTGTTAAATATTAATTAAGAAATTCATGTAATTGTACTTACCATGTTGTTTTATTGCAGATTAAAATGTTATTAAAAGAAAATTTAGAAAGTAAATTGTACTGTTCCCTTCAGTAAGTGTTTTGATCACTGCTATTTAGTTAAATGTGATTAAAATTTATACTAAAGATTAAAGTCGATTTTGGGACGTGTGTCCTTTAAATTGACCTCTAAAGTCACTGAAAGGTTATGAACATTCTTCTTTTTTACAAAAAATTATACACGTCAAATGTCATGTCTTCGACTGATTAGGTCATACGGTTAGTGGGAGTGAAATAAATGAACTGTTTTCAAAAGAATGTATATTTTATGAATCAGTGGGAATGGCTACAAGAAAGAAATTCTCGTAGTCAAGGATTAATTATGCTATTGGAATCCAATTATTTTATAGATAGATAGAACAAAGAACGATTGAAATTAAAACATTAAGGAAAATCTATGGGAAAAAACCGGAAAATCATTCGTAGTTATTAAAAAATTCTATAAAACCCATTTAAATAATCAAAGAATCATAAAACCAGTATCCAAAAAAAACGGATGAAGAAATAACAAATCATCGAAAAAAATTAGACCAAAACTCGATAAAAAATAGTTGAAAATCCCAATGACGAAAAATAAATAACCCAACGCCAACTTGACAATTTTTAAGAAAAGAAAAAAAGAAACCCGCTCCCTTTACAATACGACGAAATCAACAAACCAAACCAGAGCCGCCTTGTCTGGGCCAGCCGACTCGGCGACAGCACGTCTGGCCCGACCCGCCGCCACGTTGCCAAATCCCCGCATTCCACGCCAACTAGAACCCTTTTAATCCCAAAAAACACGACAAATCCATCACGCATGATTTAAAATTACCCCTATGAACCCTTATAACACATTTCCAAGGCTTATTTTAATTTTTATTCCGTAATTATCAAACATACCCACAATTGCTAGCAACCGGCAACAATGCGAGGAAACTTGTTTCACGAACGGATGTCCAAGTAGGCGTACAGCACGACTTACGTTCAGCAGAATCGTATAGTGCTTTTCCCGAGTAAGAGAGAAATAGATAGAGGTGATCGCGAGGTGATTTCGTATGTAAGTCGAAGCCTACTCGATGGCGTGAGCGTTTATTAGAGTAGGGGGGGCTTTTCTTTGGAATTTAGCATTTTAGATTTAGTTTAGTGTCGTGTACGCGTTAAATATGGCGGACGCGAACGCGATTTAGTACGATAACGGCGCCTATTTTACTCGTTTTTTACGTTATTTACGCGTTTACATTATTTCGATTTAGTTATCTAGCGTGCGTGCAAGTTAGGAACGTTAGCAAGATGGCGCACGGGGCGAGCTTGAAGGCCCACAATCCCAGTAACAATAGCAGTAGCAATAGCAAAGCAGGCGTTGGTTCCCGTCGGATTTTCGCGCCGAACTTCAAGCTACGCGTGCTGGACTCGTACAGGAACGATCCGGACTGTAAGGGCAACCAAAGGGCGACGGCCAGGAAGTACGGGATACACCGCAGGCAGATACAAAAGTGGCTGCAGGTCGAGAGTGCGCTGCGTAACGCCGTGAAAAAGGACGGATGCATCGAGCCGGCGGAGGGCGCGAGAGAGCGAGACGCTAAGGAGAGTATCGAGGCGGCCTTGGACGGCGAGAATCGTAGACAGCGGGGCGACGACGAGGATCGTCGGGTTCCGGCGCTTACGACGGACTCGGTCGCGGACGTGTGTGCGCTACGAGGGGAGGCGGCGGGCGGCCCGTTGGATTTGTCGTTTAAAAGGCCTGCCGAGATGTCGATGTCGATGTCGTTGTCGATGACGAATGCGGCACCTGCACCTGCGATCGGTCCGGTTTCTTCTTGGCCCGTCCAGGACGGGAATCTAGATGGCGCTGGACGCATCGTAAGTACTTTTACAGTACGCATGACTAACTTCGATCACGGCCAACTATTTAATTATTCAAAAAAACTTCATAATTCAAAACTCACAAACAAACTTGTATTTATTTCAGCAGGTTTCCAAGAGTCTCCGGGACTCGCCAGTTCCCCAACCGCCCCCGCATCAAGACATCTGGGATCTCTCCTTCAAAACGAGGAAACGACGAAGGACCCCTTCGCCTGGACCGGAACAACCGAGCAAATCCGTGAAATTGTTCAAGCCTTACCTACTAGACGACATTGACATAACTAAATTAAATAACAACAACAACAACAACAACAAAGAAATGGATGATAGAGAAGGACGAGGAGAGAAAGATCCAGTAGCGTACGGAGAAAACGACAAAGAAAGAGACGGCGATTGTTCTTCGGTTTGCTGTTCCGCGGTCTGTTCGTATTACAATGGAGTTTGTGATATTAAATCGGAGTACTGCGGTTCGTATAGTTTGCACGAACTGCAGCCGAGTTACTACTATTATTATCATCACCATCCATCGTATCGCGGGGAGTTCGATTGCTACGAAGACGGTTTAAGGTGAGAAGAAACTTAAAATACATAAACATAAAATATCCCTAACACTCGATCGCTAAATTTACAATTACATAACTCCGAAACTACCGGTACACAGAAGCTCAATTTTCCGTTTCGTTTTGCAGGAAAAACGGCGCCGATTGCACCGGTTGCTGCTACGAAGACATCAGCTACGGCCAGAACGGCCTGAAGCACCGGCAAAGCTACAGTTTGGACTTCAAATTGAGCGCCATCGATTGCTACTATCAGGACTCGGTCTGCAAGGGCAACCAGCGAGCCGTCGCCAACAAGTACAACATCCACAGGCGGCAGGTGCAAAAGTGGCTCAAGCAGGCCGAGGAACTTAGACTGAAAAACGAATCGTTGAAGCAAATCCACGCGGCGTGATCGGTGGTTTGTGATGCGGAATTGGGGACGGTTAGGAGGCGGTTTGCGGTCGATTGTGATCGGGGTTTTTTTGGAGGAATTTTGGCGATTTTAAAAGTTATCTGAGGCTTTTGGTTTTGTAAAAAGTTGTACTGGAATGGATTATTTTTATAATTTCTTCTGTAACTTCAAAATGAGTTGTATGGGTGGTTCCAAGTAGGCTCGTTTTGTGGGAAAATTAATTTAGTATTATTTATTTGAATTGTCGGGCAGCTTTTTTGTAATGATATTCATAATTGACGTTTAAATAGGTTCATTCTAAAGGAAAACTGTTGAACTTCGATTTGAAAGCTTAAATTTTTTTTAAATCTAGTCATGTTTCATGTAAATTGAATTTTCTGGCAGCTTGAATTGAAACTGAATAACTCTTAATTCTTTTTACAATAATTTTATAACTCAAAATAATTTATTAGTTCTAAATAAGGTCAAGTTATTAAACTTTGATTCGAAGTTTGAATATTTTCCTATTCTATTATTCCAGATTGTCGCAGAAGCCTCAGAGAAATAAAAGAAATCAACCGCTTCTCCAAAACCAAAATAAATTAACATAAAAATTTGATTCAGAGCTCATTTTATAGCTAAATTAAGCAAGTTAAATATCCAAATCTCCTTGATTACTCCAAAAATTAAAATAAACTTCCGATCGCATAAACCAGTGGCGTAGAAAAAAAACTTTTCCACGGCTTTGATGATTCCTCAATTCCAAGTTGCCAAAATAAGCCAAGAGTCTATTTAGCTATTTTTAAGGAAAAAACGCGTAAAAAACATTATGAAACATATAAAACACGAAAACATATCGGACTTGTTCGTTTGCCTTATTTAAAAAAACGATAAATCGGGTGCTAATTGGTGAATTGTTGCTCAGAATATGCCAAAATGTGCCTTTTCTTAGATTGTAAGAAATGAATTGTGTGCCAAATGTAACGCAAAATCGTCTAAACTGAATGATTACAATATACAAAATGTTTTTATGATTAAATTTGTCTTCCTAATCAAGTTTCACGTTTTATATTTATGTCAACCGTCAGTCAATTTTGACGTTGACAGTTTTGACATTTTTATTTAATAACTATTATTAATATATTAAATTTAGTATTTTTCGCAATAATTGGTAATGTGATTTAAAAGAAAAGCAAGTTTGCCATGGATTGTCTTATTTTTTTCTTTTTGTTTCCAATACGTCTTGATAATTTGTACATATTATATAATTTACATAGGTTTCTTTATTTTAATGAAAAAAAGTAATTCGTTTGAATTATAATGTGACCTTAAATTGATAGTAGGTTGTGAAAATGAAACAACATCGGATATTTATATTTATATTATATATTATGTGTAATATATAACTATATAATATATTTTTATTATATATTTATATAATATATGTAAATTTGTACATTTTTCAGCTAGGAATTTTTAATAGATTTACTGTGTTATTTTCTAAGAGATATTTTATATACAAGGTATTTAATAAAATAATGTCCTTATTTAAAAAAAAGTCCTCATTTATTTAGACTGATTTAGCCTTTCTATCGAATTTTCAGTTTAATTTTTGCAGGATTCGTGAAATAAATGAAATTTCGAATAAAAATTCGACAAAAAAAAAATTATAATTTAAAAAAATCCATATATTTAAAACGTTTCTTCGCTTTCATTACCGCTAGAAAAACCGTTTCTGTACGGCTCGTTTCTACGCGAAGTCCTCTCCAGATGCTTTTTATACTGCGTAGAAATCTGTTCCTCCAGTTTTTCCAACGTGTTTCCACCGATACACTCGCGAATTTTCTTAAAAAACCTGCGAAAACAATCCATCCGTGAACAACCTAAATCGCACCAAACAATCGCGCTTTCCTTAAATAATGATGAATATTATGTATCATAATCAGAACGGGCGCCAGCAACTCCTGCATGGTCAGCAAATGGTGAATGTACGCCTTGGAGTACTTCGTACAGGACAGGCACAAACAGCCGTCGAAGATCGGATTGAAGTCCTCGGAAAATTTCACGTCCCTCAGGTTGATTTCGTAGTTCTCCTCGTCGTCGCTCTCTTCGATGTTGAACGTCAACGCCGACGAGCGCTCCGTCAGGATGCGACAGTACGACGTGTCAAACATGTCGACGCCGAGCCGCACCAGCTTTATCACGCTCAGGGGGTTCCAGCAGCCCTGCACCGACACCAGCTTGTCCTCGGGAAGCCTGCGCACCACGTACTCCACCACCTCTGAAACGAGCTGTCAATGAAACGTCACTGTAGCTGTCAAAGCAGATCGAGTCACCTTTGAGTTCTTCTACTGGTAGAAACTCCACTTCCGGTCCGTTGTTATGCAACCCGTCGATCAGAAATCCGGACACGCTCGATATTTCCTTGGAAAGCGCGGCGATCGATTTTTCTCTGGATCTGAGGCAGTAGCCGCCCGCGATCGGGGCCATGACGAATTTGTTCTTTAAAATTTCGGATTTTCGGTGCCTTTCCAAACACTGCCTGGTGAGGTTTATCGTGTTTTCCACGGCTTTGGATACGCGCTTTTCCGGACTGGTTTTGTTCGTGTCGCCGTCCGATAGGAGGTAGTACATGTCCGGTTTGAAGTTTTCCACGATGTTCATGTACATTTCCGCATTGTACAAAACCTGCGGGAAATTGTAGAATGAAGTTTCCTCGATGAAATGAGCCGTACGTGGACCCCTACCTTTCCGTATTTCGTCCAAATGGGTACCTTGTCGCTGACGTGATGCCCCTGCTTGGTGAGGTTGCTGGGATCGTGCAAGGTGAGGCAGGTGAGGCTGTCCCGGCCGCCGGGGAGGTCGGGCACGCGCCCGCGGAAGTGCTCGAGGGTCTCCCTGAAGCAGTGCACGCTCACCAGCGAGATCTGCAGTATCTGCGGCTCGTCGCTGACGAGCTTGAGCAGCTCGTGCGCCACGTGCGGAATGTGCCCGCCCTGCGTGTGCAGCAGCGCCAGCGGCGTCTCGATCTCGACGTCCGGCCGGCGCTCGATGGCCCGCAGGACGCCGAGGCGCGGCGCCCGTCCGCCCGACGTCACGATGTCGAATTTCATTTTCGAAATTTTCACAAAAAATTGACGGGGAGTTTGCGAACAAATGTCTAAATGTACCGCGGCGGACGTCCGACGTCAACAAATGTCAACGCGGCGTTGCCGGACGTTGCCGAATTTCGACGGATTTATTCGAATCTAGTGAAATTGAAATCCATCTTTAAATCAACTACTTTATTATACAAGCCTATATTAAAGTATAAAAAACATATACAATAAATACTATAAATTAAAATTACTTCTAAATTTCTTAGCAAACGTCGTTTTTTAACAATTTCATTTCACATCCCACCAAATAATTTGTACAATACAATCAACTAAATCAATTATTAACGGCGCTAGTAGTACCCAAAGTCTTCATAAATCTCACGCAATCGTTCAACCTCTTCTTATCGCCGATTTTCTCCAGAGTTTTAGCCGCTTCGACCAACATTCCTGCTCGTTCTCCTGGCGAAGATAACAGAGGACCCGGTAGATGCTTACACGCCATGTACAAGGCCGTCGCGTGCTGTCTTTCGCCGCTCAACACTTGCTGGTTTTTATCGCCTGTAAACGCGCAATTAATAAATCGAATAAGAAGCGATTCGCTACCAACTTTTCCCGCAAATAATCGACGATTTGGCGTGCCTCTGCCTCAGACTCCTGTCGAGTAGTTGCTGCGTCCTGCCGGGGGCGGCGCCCGCCATCAATCTGGCCGTGGCTTCGTACAAAAACACCCTCGACAAAGCGGTCTGCAATACGCAAATCACGAATTAATTCGAGAATTTACTACTAGGAGAAAAAAAAATTAACTTACAGGCACGTGATCGGCCAGCGATCTCAACGAATTCAAATCGTCTTGAAACGATGACAACACCCAATTAGAAACGGGCGTTTTCAATCCGTTTTCAACGCAATCCTCCCAAAGCGAAGTTCTCGTTTCCAATAGCCAATCGCACACTAACAATTGTGCCAGCTAAAAGGAAACAAAACTACAAATATACAGGGTGTTCCATGACTCGATGGACATAGCTTAGAAGGTTTAGCTCATCTCCGTTTTGTGGCAAGAATACATTAAACTGTATACTGACGAAATTTACTATGATGTTCGCTTAATCCATTATGTTGCACTGAAGAAACATTGCACTTTCTAATAACATGCAATGCAACCACAATGCACCGTAATAGGTCAATTTATTCAACTTATTCCTAGCGAGATAAACCACTTACCGCCACCATATTATCCTTCTTCTTGCAAACGGCGAACGACAAACTATCGGCCAACAGATGGCTGGCGTACTCGCACTGTAAAAGGACCTTCTTCGCGGTGGTCCTCATCTCGGAATCCGACGATAAATAGTCCTTTCTGGCGACGAAGGCGGCTACGATGGACTTGGGCAGCGGGTCGTTCAGCGAGGCCAACGGTTCCGGTATCATTTCGATCTTCTTGTACAACTGATCGAGGTCCTGGTCGCCCAAGAGCCAATGGGAGGCGATCGACAGGAACGTCATCCACCATTGGGCCACTTTGTCTTGGTGAGCTGCGGAGGAGTTTAATGCGATAATTACGAATTACGCGGCGAACGTCGCGACTTACATTGTTCGGAGTTGATTCCGAATACCGTTCGAGCGTCGACCGATATATTTTCTTTGAGTAAATCGATGTAGACTAGAGCGTCGCTGACGTCCACGATTCTCTTTTCCTCGCCGTTTTCGGTCCTCTGGCCGGGAGCTAAAAGGATGAGCAGCGCCTTTTCCAAAAGATGCTCTCGATACACCTGAATTAAAATAGATTTATCCAATCGAGCCAATCGAAAATGCGCAGAATTACCTTCATTTGGATGCCCAAGGGATCCACGGCGTTGCCAATTACGCTGAACGGCAAATCCCTGTTCTTCGAGTCGTTGGTGAATTTGTGCGATATGAAAAATTTGTAACCGTAAGGCGTGAACAGCCATTGCAAACGCTTCGGTATCGGATCGCAGGAGTTCAACGACGACAATTTGGCCAATCCCAAATAGTACCTAACATAAATTAATACATTAATTGTTCACAAACAAACTTACTATTTACCCACCTCTGTACGAAATGCAAGAAACTAGGCAAACTAGCTTTGATCCTGAGCGCTACGCCCACGTAAATGTCGATCATATCGACGGGTTTCACGCGATCTTTCGCCGCCTCGGCCAAATTTAGAGCGCTCAAACAAGTGGTCAAACCGATCAAGTGACATGTCTCCTCCGGACCGCTCACCAGCTGGATTTTGTGCAGGTCGTTGAACACCAGGGCCAACTCTTTGCAGGACGTTTGGGCTTCGAATCTTTTAAACCTACGAAACCATCGATTTACTTTCGGTTATTGTAAATTAGGATTTTTACCTGTCGATGAAAAAACCGCCGGTGTGTCTGGACAACCATCGGCCGATCCACAAACGGTGCATACACTGCCTAAACAGTTGCCATAGAAACGACAGAAACAATTCGAATCTGCTCGTAGGCAACGTTAATCCGTACATTTGGCAACAGCGTAATAATTGTTGTTTAGCTCCTATTTTATCGCCCTACAAAAATTGTTATTTAAAAAAATAACCAGAAAAAAATCGAAATATTTACTTTTTTCAAGCACATATCCGCCTCCAACCGGTGAATGCTGAATTTCTGCGCCTGCTTGGATTGCGCCGGTATCACCGGATCACCAAATACGAACATTTTCACCAAACAAAACGTCAAAATGGCGATATTTATAAACCACAGGATCAAAGCCGAAGGGGAAAACGACACCGAAGCCGGCTCGGACCCTACAAATCGTACAATTTATAACAAACCAATCGAAATTCCAACACCATTACTCACACAAAATCCCCCTTCCTTCGAACCCTCTCGTACTATCTCCTACACCGTACTTATCCAAAGCCACCTTGAACGGATTCACCGCTATCATAACCAGCATGAACACGCACAGGGTCAATCGCGAACCGTCCAGCATTCCCCTGTGCTTCAAGATCTCCTTCGGCGAATCCAAGCTCTCCTCTTCGCTGTCATCCTTGAGGTCCACGTTGGCCGAAAACGCCCCGTGCCCGTCGAAGTGGCCGGCAAAGGTCTCCGGGCTGCCGGGCAGCGAGCGATCGGGCGAGTACGAGCGATCCGAATGCGGCGGCGTGTCCTCCACGCGGAACTTCGGTGGATCCCCGTTGGTGAGAAGGTCCTTGAGGGAGCTGCGTTGCGCCGACATTTTGAGCGTCATGTTCTCCTGCTTGAGGCGAGCGTTGGAGTTCTGCAGGAAGCGGATGTACTCGATGGCGCGTCGAAGGATGGCCGATTTGTTCAACTGGAATTTTTAGGATTTACGTAGCGAAATGATCGAATTAATTAGAAGATTTCTCACTTTGGCTTCCTCTCCTACGACGATGTTCTTCAATTCGAGGATCTTATCGTTGATGCTCGTCCTGTATTTTCGCTCGATGGCGTTGTGGGCGCTGCGTTTGCCTTCTCGGATCTTCACCGGTTGGACTCGGTTGATGGGCACTCGATTGACTGATCGATTTTCGGAATCCAGCAACACGGGTATTCCTGTTGTGGCCGTTAGAATCCCGTTGGTGTTCAAGAGAGTACCGTTTTGGATTTGAAACGTGTGAGTATTAGCTGTTGGTACGGACGTCGTGTAGACTACTGTGGGCTGCATAACCTAAAAGTAACAGACTATATAATATCGTACGATAAAAAATCGTCAAACAATACCTGCGAATCTGATTTCAGTATTTTCGCCTGCAAAACAACGGGGCGCATTTGTTCGACTGGGACATTTTGCAATAAAACGGCCCCGTTTTTCATCATGTTGCCTTGATTTCCGATGTTTCCAAACATTCCGTTCACGTTCGTAGCGTAAATTACGGGCTGACTTGACTGTAAAGTACCGTTACTGGCTGGAACAATTACCCGTTCGGAATTTCCTCCAACACTACGCTTCTCATTTCCCATCTTCGGGACGCCCTGTACGAATCGATCACTATTAACACGATGATCATCGTGATGATTGCTCAAGAAATCATTCGAACTACTCGAGTTTTTAACTGCCGCTTTAGGTGTGTTTTTAGCTGTCGCTTTGACAGTTCGTTTGTCGATTATCGCTTTGTTATCTTTGTAATTGTCGTTATTGACGGGTGAAAGAGTAATTGGGGGATTTGAGTTGCTGTCATTGCTGTCGTGTTGTTGTAAATCCGAGTAGTCCATGAGACAGTTTTCATCGAGATCTAGTAGGTTGTGGTCTCCGAACAAATCGCTGAAGTCGTTGTCGGAGTTCAACAAGGCTGCAAAAATAATTAAATTTGAAATTACCCGATATTTTCTAAGCTTATAGGCAAAATAACATTACTGTGTACTGTTCCGGAGAATCATTTTTATTTCTTAAATTCAATTATAAATAAGCAATTATCACGATTATTTCGTTAAATTATAGAAAAAGTATATTTCCCATAAACCAGTGTTTCTAAATTCGGTTTGTAATTCACAATGTTCGTCAAAAAATATTTTTAAATAACCAAAACAACGCAAATATTGTTTATAGGTTCGTTTTCTTACTTACCATCAAGCGTAGAAAGATCCGGGATGTCCGGAATCGGCTGAAAGTCATCCGGTAACTCTTCCTCCATCTTTTCGCTTGTTTTATTTAATATTTCACTCAGTTTTTCACTATTTGTTTTGATGATTTTTCTCATTAATAAACATTCAGATTTACTCTTAAAATCACCATATTATTTTCGACCAATCGGAACAAACCATTCGATGAGGTGATTCGTGACGATCGCTGTCACTGTCAAATGCCAGTGGTTCGAGGTCGCTAAATTTATAAGGTTGTATTGTTAGGTGACGTTAGCGACGTCATCAATTGAGTTTGAATGACAAATGTCAACGTCAAATTTGTCATCGTCGAATAACTGTCATCAGTGCAGTGTTTGTGTAATTGTTATAATAAAACTATCCCGTTTTTTATTTCGGGATTAAATCACCATGATTGTTAGTTATAAATCGAGAGACCATTTTATTTGTTAGTTATAGAAATGGGAACATCCAGCCATAGCATAGACACTTTCAATATAGCTGGTGAGTCTTTTGCATTGCAGATATTGTAATCTTATCATTAGCAGTACTTTCTATCATACTTACAGCTTTCATTAGCTTTTAATCGAACTAATTTTACAAGAATAAACGTATTAAACGTTAATAAGATATAATAATGTCTATTGTGATTATTTTTCCAAGTAACGCACTAATTCAATCTCTTATAAGTGCAACAACATTAACTGTAAAATGTTATATAAATTGACGATGTTTTCGCACGAATATGTATCGTATGACTCACGGAATTCCAGTATTAATCACTCTAAAAGATAATAAGACCCAATTTTTTCAGTTATGAATATTTTCTTGTTATTACATCTTCACTCTTAGGTATGCTACGTTATGCGGGAAAAATAAACATTTAATCGCATAGAGCTCGAAAAATGTGGAAAACGTACGACATTTCACAGTACCAGTCGACAGATAATTTGGCTATTTTGAACTCGTAGCAAAATCGTGAAAATCTGACGATAATCAATACAGTTTGCGAATTAAAAACAATCATTCGTAGGTTATATAGTAGTACGAAAGCAATGCTTGTTTCTTCGTTATTTAGATAAATTTGAGTTGTTGTAAACTTATGTTACACATGGTGATAGATGGATAGTTTAATTGCATTCGATTAAAATCGAAACTCATAAAAATCGAACGATAACGAACAAAGTTATGAATGAAAAACAATCACTCGAAGGTGCCAAATACAATGGTAATTTAATTCCTAGTGGAGATATGCTGAAATAATGTAATATTTTAATAACAACGAAATTTAATATAAGATTAAATGTGAGTAGATTTGTAGATTGGCGAAATAATATTTTTTTTTTTATATTTTTTCTCAGACTTGACTCCGGAACAACAAAGAATTCTAATAGAAATCAGAAGGCGGAAAACGGAACTTCTTCTGGAAATTCAGGTTAGTGATGTACATGTTTTTATATTTACGAGATTTTTGTATAAATGTAAACATTAATATTTTCATAATCTTGTGTATATCCGCATATAATGGAAAAATTTCGATTGGCAGGCTGCGATTAAAAAGGAACTGTTAAATTCAAATAGATTACAATTTCCGTTTGGTAAATGATAAAATCCGTAAACTTCCATGCGAGATATTATTTTAAACCTACAGGGTGATCCATCTATATAGCCCAGGGGAAAAATCTACCTCCTATTATTACATAAATCACTCTTATTACACAAGATCAAACCACTAGATATCGAAGCCGAATTATCCGCTATAAAAATCTTTTTTTAGCACAACCTTGGATCACCCTGTAAGTTACATGCATTGTTCACGAGTTTGCCACGCCGCCTACGTACTTACCAGGTGAAAAATCGTTTGACCGTAATTATTTCGTTATCCAATTTGACGATTCGCCAAGACGGAAGTCTTTCTAAAAATTTATTTTCGAATACATACAGGGTGTCCCTAATAGCTCATTTTTACTCACGGTGTTCTAACAAATATGAAATGTGATAAATGTAGTACAAAATGTAACTCTTTTTGGATCTCTTTATTGTAAGTTTCTTGTAAATATTCCGCAGAGTATCGATTAATATGCTTATACTGTTTTTTATTTAATCTCCCGAGCAAACAAATCGTTTACGTAAGTTCAATATAGATAATTGAATTTTTCAATCGGGTAATCGATTCCGTTTAACTAAATAGATTTAACGGAAAAATATTAAATATACTCTCTCTTTCTCTCCCGTTGTTTTACGCAATCGAAATCTACAAAGTGAAAACGTCGCGAATCTATTAATTGTTTCTAATTTATTAAAATTATTTATTTGTATACATATACATAGTGTTCGAATAATTTCAAGAGGAGTTTTGAAGATGTTCGGGTAAGTGCAAAGTAATTTCTACGAGTTGGACAAAAAACAGTGGTCCCTAAATATCACTTTTTTCTGAAAAAAACTTGCGAAAGATAGTGTAGTAATACATTGTTATAGTTTCGGACACTCGGTATAAATTAGACAATTAGTTCAAGAGTAAATTACGAATTGTAGAAATTGATTACGAGGAAAAATCGGCCGGGATTTGGAGTCATTTCATTGGAATTGTTAGTATATTATACGGCAGGAAATGGTCAATTTATCCGCACGATTGCGGGCTTAAATACAAAACGAGAAGGTGCAACTCGTGCGAAAATGACGAGTTGATTTTGGGGGAAAATCGAGGAAAATATACAGGGCGTCCCAAATAAAATGTCTTTCGTATTCCAATAGGATGCAAAAAAATAATTAAATTTATCTACAAAGTTATGCCGGGTTTTCCACATTATTTTTTTTGTGGATACTGTATGAGACTTTTGCAGTAGGAACATTTTATATGTACCCCTGATGGTAAATAAAAACAAATCCGCCACTGCATCGGGTACTTGTTTTTGCTCTTTTCATTCACATTCACATAACATTCTCGAACGCCGCGGTATTTTCGCAGGAATCGCGTGTAGTGTAGATCGCGGTCTATCGACTTCGATTCTCGTCGACTTTGGTTTTCAAACGTTGTCTTTTCGTTCGCTTTCAGTCATTCTCATTCAGTCGTCGGCCGTACGTTTGCCAGTCGATAAGGCGACGTGCGACGTTTTATTTTTCTTTATTGTTCGTTTTTTTCGTCTCGAATCGGAAACTATTCCGCTTTAAGTTACTAAAATTCGTTGTTTAAACGTGCGATAGATATCGCTAGAAGTTTAGTGAAATTTTGGTTTTATTTCGAGTTTGTGCCGTTTCTGTGAGTGTATTTTTTGGTGTGTTTTTTACCAGTAAGTCTGGTGGAATTTTATTATTATTTTTTTTGGAAATACCTGTTGTGTGTTTGTCGATTTCGGTACGAATGGAAAAGATTTTTTGGGGAAATTAGGTATCAATCGTAACAAAAAAATATCAATCTTTGTACTGTAAGTGTAACATATTAATTATAATTGCTTATTACTAAATAATGGGGGATATCTATTTGGTTTAAGTGTTTCCCCATTAATTGTACTCGAATTTCCCCAAAAATTTACACTTTACCAGTCGAAAGAAAGGATGATTAATCGAACAATTAATTCAATCGTTGTATCACAAGTTAATAAAACAGTACGAAATTGAACATTATTTTTACAAGCAACAAGTTATAGAATGGTTTGAAACAAAAACGGTGATTTGAAGAGCGAACATGTGCCCTTTCAGTGATGCGTATCTGTTCCCATACAGGATGTCTTGTATACAAAAACAGTGGCGTGGTTGTAGGGGTTTACCCGAATTACGATTTACAAAATATAGCAAAATTGTGTGTAAAACACCCTGTATTTTATTCTTGCAGCTATAGAGGGCATTAACTCGGTTATATCTATAGACGGTTCAAAAATAAGTGGAAAAAACCGACCATAATATTCCCGAAAGCCATGTTTAAGCACCCCCTGGGGTTGAGTCAAATTGAACGAAGCTCCCTTATTGCCCTTGCGCTAGATAAATATGCACTTAATAGTACGGGCGATATGTAGTAAAATATAAGTAGCAATTTATAAAAGTTTTAAGAATCAAATTAAGTATAGGTATACTCAAATTAATTAATTAATTACATTTTAGAAACGGTTATTATAAGAATTAAACATTTCCTGAAACAATTTTGTCTACACCGGGAACGAGACAATAGGCTATGTTACACGAAGAAAAAAAAATCGTCAAACAATGGGCGAGATAATGATGATTAAATTTTCCACAGGCGAATTTTGCCGCTCGTTTTCCCAACGTTTCAATTAGAAATCGAATTGTTTGGGAGCGGGTAGGAAATTGTTACACGCATCCCATTGTCACGGGTAAAAGTGCAGGATTAAAATCGTAAAAAAAACACACATTCTCACGAATATTTACCTAAAAATTTCGTTGAAAGTGGTCCTATTTTGGAGAAACCGAACGTGCTTTTTCGCCAGTCGATAAAATTAATTACAATGAATTTCGATTGGGTTCTTTATCGAAAACAATGTGACTGCTCCGCGAAACTTTTTGACGAAAATATTTGTAGATGAGTCGCAGCATCGGAAATGAGTCACATATCGAATCGAAAAGCATGCAAGTTTTGTAAATCGTTAAATTGCCCAATTACTCTCTTTTAAACTAAGGTTCGCACAAAAAAACAAACAATTCGTTTTTTACGCGTCGATAGGCGGATGTCGAAGGCATCGATATCGCCGATTTTTCCGATTAATGCTCACTGGTGTTTGTTAGCTTGTTCCATATGGAAGAGGTGCGTTTTTTTGCAAGTTTATTGTTTGTAGAAGTAATATTTTAAAGGCGAGTTTGAGGGTTCAAATTTCAAATAACCTATTTTTAAACAGACTTTATTGTGTATATTTGAGTCATTAAACGGTTTTTTTTTGTCGTGCAATTGACGTAACGTCGTCTACTTATAAATACCTCGACATGTTACTATAATAAGTACACAAAACATTTCTAGACTTTATTGTTCAATTAGAGTTTTTATAAATCGATTCATTGCATTTCCCTCACGACCAGGCCCCTAGGCGCATCCATTATAACATTCTGAAGGTATTAGACTATAATGTTTATTAATAGAAACCTTACTTAACTACTGTTTGTTTTTGTTTGCCGAACCAAATCAACAGGTTACCAAATCTGGTCGGATCCAAACAAAATTATAAATTTTCCAATATTAATCGATGGTAAATTTGCATTTCGAACGTATAAGGTCATCTTTGTATTATTTTGTCATTACCACCTCTCGATATGAAATATAGTTTGTTATATACAGAGTGTCCCTAACATGTAAGTCGCGAATGACATTGACAGGTGACGCGAGAACAGTAATTCCAAACAAAATAATAAATTTTTCCAATAATAATCGATGGTAATTTTGCATTTCGAACGTATAAGGTCATCTTTGTATTATTTTGTCATTACCACCTCTCGATATGAAATATAGTTTGTTATATACAGATTGTCCCTAACATGTAAGTCGCGAATGACATTGACAGGTGACGCGAGAACAGTAATTCCAAACAAAATAATAAATTTTTCCAATATTAATCGATGGTAATTTTGCATTTCGAACGTATAAGGTCATCTTTGTATTATTTTGTCATTACCACCTCTCGATATGAAATATAGTTTTTTATATATAGATTGTCTCTAACATTTAATTCGCGAATGACATTGACAGGTGACGCGAGAACAGTAATACCATAAGTATTTCGTCGTTCTTTGTGCCTGTATATAATTAAATGGTTATTTCATGAAATACTAGTAATTACAAGCATCTGGTCGAGATCAAATAATATCGCCGAGCATACGGGTAATCGGTTAATTTTTAGTTATGCGAAACGTATAATTTGTTATAACCAGGTGCAAAACCGCGGCGACGGTGCATGTGCAAACGCGTAATTGCATTCCGGTTATTTTTTTTCTCTCGCATTACTTTCCGAAACCGGGATCGAGCAACGATGCTCGAATGAAAAAAAAAATTTCGGATTTCATTTGCGCATAGTCGAGGGAATTTCTGCCACGATCCCCGTTGTAATTTAATAGGCTAAAGAGCGAATGCCATTCGCGCGAGAGTAAAAGAAACGCGCGAGCAAAAATTATACAGGGCGAGCCAAAAGTCGAAGCTCTATAAAAGATGTGTCTTTTAAATGGACAATGTCGCAGTTGGGTTTTTCGTATGGCATTCTCCAATCGAGCTCTAGTACAATTACAATCACTCTGTATGTAGCGAAAAGGGCAAGCACCTGTCCCGATATTCGTATTATTAGTATGCAACGCGCCGCGCCAGGCCAGTAATCAGTAAATAGCTGTTTGTTGCTTGTTGTTGATGTTTCATTTCGTACTTTTATATACCGAATAAACCGACATGCCCTCGGTTTATATGAACTAATAAAATTTTTTTTTCGATACACCGTCTCGCCATCGTAATTCTCTATTTTTTAACTCGCACTCTACTATTCACGCGTCGCTAATTAATCTAATAATAATCGAATATTACAGATGTTATCGAAGGTCGTTACGTTGCTCTCGATGGTACATTTTCGTTATACACAACATAAAAAAATAATACTTGTGATGCGACGCTCGATGAAATTGTTTCGATCGATGTTTATTCCGCACATAAAACGAATCCGTTTTTTATCTCTCTTATCAGATCTAGAAAGGGGAAGTACGTCATTCGAACCCGGCGCTCTCTCTCTCTCACACTCGATTCCGCGTATGTGTGTGTTTGTTCGCGATAACGGCGGTGCCTACGCGTCCGAGCGATGATAGAGACACGGACGGATAGCGAACGGGACACGGGACCGCATCGATAGCGAGACGATGAAGATGAAATCGGCAGGAGATTGCCGAGAGGCGCGTGGAAATTAGCAGGAGTCGCCTGTGATTTGATAGGCGAGTTCAAAACCGGGGCTGTGATGTAATCGTTGTTTACGAGAAACTGCGTTTTTTTTATGGTGCTTTATTTTTTTTTCTATAAATAATTAAGTAAATTGTGATGCGGTGATGATGATGAGTGGTGGTGTAGCCGGTTCGGTGCGCGTCCGGAGCGGTTCGATTTCCTCGACCGCCGGGCAGGTTTCCAATTGGTTTTCCTCGTTGAAGAGAGTGAAAAAGTCGAAGGCGAAGCAGGACAGGACGACGAAGAGCGCTTGGGATTTGTCGAATTTGTCGCAAGGAATCAGATTGGTACGATTTTACGATAATTTTATACGAACTAAAATTTCGAGCGTTCGATTCGCTTTCGAGGTATTTTGGTAATTCTTTTAAAGAATAAAACGCTGGCTTTTGTTGTTATAGAAAAATACTAATGGCATAAATATTGATTGGGCTACTTCGCAATGACATTGTTTTTACTGTCCATGTAGGTATTTAATGCAAACACACGATACAAAGTGTGTTATATATTAATATTTACGATTAAATTATACAATAACAAATAACAAATTAACAAAATTTCAAGGTTAACCTGGACGAGGATATTCCAATAAAACTAAAAAACCTGCGAAACAAACACCTTTGATCATTCAATACAAAATAGTCTTGAAATAAATTATTTATTATTGCGAGTACGATTTGATCGTTGTTGTCAATCAAACATAATTTGATTCGTTTATAAAAGGCCGATATTTTTTTGTTTTGTATGGAAATTCGCTAAAAACAAACGATACGGTTTTGACCTCTGCATGATAATGTGTCGTGATTATAGATTTATTTTGTTTATCAGATTTAACGAAGACTGTATAAAATTTAAGCATAAAAATAGCTCTTAGAATATAAAGTTTTTGATTATTTCGAACAAATCCGGGTTTTTTTAACAACTTAATTATTAGATTAGCAATTTTTGAAACTATAATAAACCATTATCGTTGTTTTAAATGTTCTGTGAAGAAAATAATGTGTTTCCTGACATACATTTAGCGGAATATTTCGAAATAAAATCGTACATTTTCCTCTATACGCGTTTGAAAATGGCTTTAATACGATAGCTTTAAGTTTAATTTTAGCCCGTATCCCTCTATTTACGTTGTTAGCACCCTATGTTATACTTCTATGACTCCTGTATTTACCTAATAAACTTATACACATGGTCGGTTTTTCCCCTAAAATACGATATTTTTACAGATCACATCCAAAAGCCCCTCCTCATATATTATATTTTTAATCGCTAGTGGTATTGAATTCGAGTAAAATAGTAGTAAAATAATACAACTCTTACTCATTTGTAATTATTAATTGCATCTATGGTTGGCCGTGAAATACATATTGGGAGCGACAGAGGTGTATTGAAGGGGATTTTTAAAAACATCCAGAGGTAGAAATATAATAATAAATTAATGATTTTTCTATTAAATTCCATAAATTATGCATTGTACCTACTGTAAAGTACTGGTATTTTTTTAGTTTTAACCTTCCGGTTCTGGGACACCCTGTATAGCAACAAGTTTGCAACTAACTAACAATCGCATTAAATCTACACCTTGCTCCATTTCCGATTGCAATATGGCCATTTCTATGAGTGGAACAAAGAAAGATTATTGAAATGACAGCTGTCAGAGTGAAAAGTTGCAATGACACAAATGTCACTCTTTCTTTTTCCTTTATAAGTGTCTAATGGAAGTTGCCTTTGTTGCACCAAAAAACCTGCAACTTTTAAATTAATCTCAATATTTGTAAACTTCCTCAACTTTTGTGGAGCAGTATATTTTTTCAAATTTTGTCCAACTCAATTCGCCGCTAATTTGACGCACGTGAAATCACCGATCAGGAATGTATATTTACGAAAAAAAAAGGGATTACTCACGTGCACCATCATCTATTCTATAGGGCAAAAAAAGACAATGAGCTTTATCGCGATTCATTCGCGTTTTATAATCTTGTTAGGTCTCAAACGAGACGCACAAAAGCTTATCAACCAGAATCAGTATAATAGAACAAACGCGATTGGCAACACTGCATTGCATCCGTTTGCATTTAAAAAAAAATAGTGTGTTGTTTGTTCCCTTGTAATTTTTCCGTGTTTCGTTACCGCGAGAATAATTACAACAAATTTATTCAACAATATTTTCTGTGTATTTGAATGGTGTTTTTCTTATAGTGTCGTTTTCTTCCGGTACATTATTTGCCGTTTCGGTTTGCGATCAAATCAAGTGTGCGTGTTTGTTTTAGTGGTTTTTTTTTGTCTCTGTTTTTGTCCGTAGTGTTGGTATTACTGTCCCTCTTCAATGTGCTCGTGCGTACGCGCGTGCGCTTCTTTCGTTGTCCACAATATCCTACAATCCTGCTGTCCTTGTTCGAACGGGGTAAGAGATTTGGCACATCTGTATCTTTTTCTTTTTGTTTTTTTTTTGGTGGAAAATTTTAAATGCAATCGTCACTAGATTTAGGTGATATTTTTTTCGAGCAAGGCCTACTAGATTGGTTACTAGATTTAGTGATGGTTCACTAGGTTTAGTAATGATCTGGTAACGTCGAGTTGAAGCTTGTCGAGTTTGTTTTTTTTATGCGAAAGCTTTATTTAAACAAGATTTTATTTGTATTACGTATTTTCGCATGTGACTGGATAATTTGCCTTCCGTTTGTTTGCGCATTTCGTAGATTTTTACGCTACAGGGTGATCCAACAAGAGCAACAAAAAATTTTCAATTTAATATTACAACACCCTTGTAAATTTATTTACATATTTCTTGCGATAAGAGTGATATCTTATTTTGACTTGACAGTTTTGGATCAAACTGTTAGTACGTTTTATTTATGTTATTATGTAAATTTTGTGTTGTTAAAATGTGTTTAATTAATAAATTTAGTTAGAAATTTGATTCGATTACAAGTTTTGCGTAATTGATTTGATTTATTCGCTCATTTATTAGCCCTGAATGATCGAAATAATACTCGTTTGGTCAATCAAAAGCGCCAGAAAATAAATTAAGCGGTGTCACCAAAATTTTTATTTTTCTCTTGAAATGCCATATTTTTTTTGATAAAATAAAAGTAGCTAAAGACTGATTAAAAGAAGATATTTCAGGTCTATTTCTCGAGTCATTTTTTAGGAATCTTCTTATTATTTTTATAGGTACAAGTGTAACTTTACGAAACGTTAGTGAATCATCAAAATGCATGAATATAAGACATATTTAAATTATTCGATAATCATCCCCTAAAAAACGAGTAAATTTCCATCAGTTGAAATCCAACACTGGAAACAAGTGAGGCTGCGGCCACTTCACATTAGATTACCAGCCGGTACTTTATAAAAATAGGAAAATCTAAATATAGTTCAAAATGCATTAGACTTGATAAACTTGAAGTACACGCTCGAAGCGTGTTTTACAATATACAATGCTAACACAAACAGGCATATAATGACGTTTTTTTTTTGTCCTCACGATGTTAGAAAGACTTTGATTTGTTTGATTGTTATTATTGAGGTAGGATAAGTGTAAACGTTCCATCCTCTCTGCCGCTATCTATCAAATTATCGATCGAATCGAAATATTGAATGTATCGATGGCGAATTTGTTGCAGCAACTGAAAGATGACCTGTGCGAAGTCGTCTCCGAAATGGAGTCGCTCGATTCGGGCGAGGAGGGCAAGAACAGCAACAAGACCAAAATGATGTCGATCGGCAGGAAGAAGTTCAACATGGACCCGAAGAAGGGCATCGAGTTCCTCATCGAAAAGGGCCTGTTGCAGCACACGGCCGAGAGCGTCGCCCAGTTCCTGCACAAGGGCGAGGGCCTCAACAAGACCGCCATCGGCGACTATCTGGGCGAGAAGAACGACTTCAACGAGCAGGTGCTCCAGGCCTTCGTCGAATTGCACGATTTCACCGATCTGATATTAGTGCAAGCTTTAAGGTACGATCCCTAATCCACGTTCTCTAATCTAATGAATTCGCTATAATTTCGATTGGATTTTTCCGCATAGGCAATTCCTTTGGAGTTTCCGATTGCCCGGCGAGGCTCAGAAAATCGACCGGATGATGGAGTGCTTCGCGAAGCGGTACTGCGAATGCCAAGGGGAGAACAACATATTCGAAAACAGCGATACCTGTTACGTCCTTTCGTTCGCCATCATCATGCTCAATACGAGTTTGCACAATCCCAGCGTGAAAGAGAAGCCGACGATAGAGCAATTCATCAGCATGAACCGGGGCATCAACCAAGGACAGGACCTGCCCAGGGAGTTGCTGGTGGTAGGTTTCCCGCTTTACTTTATCGATTAGTTTGTTGGTATATTCGGCGGGTGTTTCAGAGCCTCTACGATAGCATCAAAGCGGAGCCGTTCAAGATACCCGAAGACGACGGCAACGATCTGATGCACACGTTCTTCAATCCGGACAAGGAGGGCTGGCTGTGGAAGCAGGGCGGCCGGTACAAGTCGTGGAAGAGGCGCTGGTTCATCCTCAACGACAACTGCCTCTACTACTTCGAGTACACCACCGACAAGGAGCCGCGCGGCATCATACCGTTGGAGAACATCTCGATACGCGAGTGTTGCGACAGACACAAACAGTACTGCTTCGAGTTGTACGCGAGCGGCGGCGCCGAGTTCATCAAGGCGTGCAAAACGGATTCGGAGGGCAAGGTGGTGGAGGGCAAGCACACGGTGTACAGGATGTCGGCGGGCAGCGACGACGAGCGACGCGAGTGGATGCACCGGCTGAGGCAGAGCATCAGCCACAATCCGTTCTACGATATGTTGGCGAATCGGAAGAGGAAGGCTCAGTTGTATTCGAAGAATTAGGTCGTTTCGGTGGGTGCGCGTGCGCGTGTGTGTTTGTGTGCGGTTTTTTTTTTATATCGGATCGGGGGAGTTGCCGGTGGTCCGGTCGAATTTATCCTGATTTTTTTTTTTTGTAGAGGATAATCGAGTGAAGGGGGCGAGTGTGTTACGAATTTCGGATTTTTTTTTGCTATTATAGGTGAATTTGACTGGGCTCTCTTGGTAAGCGGTGGGAAAGGTAAGGAAGAAACGCTGGAATTCGATGAGTTTCTCCCTACTTTTATCAGTTAATTGTTTGAAAACGATTGCGACGAATTTTCACTTATTTTGACAATTCTATATTAGAGTTTACAATTTATTAAAAGACTCAATAGAACACAATAAATGTACTATACGAATATTTTTTATTGTAACTCTATTAAAGTAGCTTATGAGTTGTTTCGATTTTTTTTTGTTGAAAATATACCTAAATCAAAATCTTTATAATGAATCAAAAAAATAATTAAGACGAAAGCTTTGTACTTATTTCATTTTGTAAATCGTGTATAAAAATCGTCGCAATCGTCCACCCGATATTCCACCCAACTTCCCGTTCAAGCTCCAATTATTCTCTACTATAAATGTATTAAACAAATTGAAATCCAACGAAAAACTCGTTTGTTACGTAATGAACAATTTAAATAAATACTTAGGATCTCTCATTACGCGAGAGCTTGTCCAAATAATTATCCTAAATTGTATACTCATTTTTACAGTGATTGTACATTTTGTTGTGGGAGTAACAGGAAAAAGAAATGCGATTTGAAATCGATTATCTCCTAGTAAATATATTTGAATTTAACGTTTGATTAAATTTATATCGAGTCGAAGACTGTGAATGTTTTGAGTCGCATTTTTTTGGAAATATTTTCCGAGGTATTGTTTTTTTTTTCGGTTAAAAATTAACACCTCGTTTAATTGCAGTGTTAACGAATTTATTTAAAAAGAAAACATCAAATGTGTATTCTAATTGTACTTGTGCCTTATTTAAAGTTAAAATTTTACGAAAATTTTAAATGAATTTTACAAACATTCCACAATTCAAAATTTAATTGTTATTTCAACTCGGCAAACTATCCTTCGAGAGTTGCACTTGTGTTTGAGTTGTTGTTTGTAGAAAATATTTTTTATTGTCATTATTATTTATTTATTTAATAACAGACCGAATTTATTTTTGGTATTATTTAGGAAATAAGTTGGAAAAAATGTTGGTTAATTTTCCTGCTATATTGGCAGCTGCCCGAGTTTTCCAAAACGAAAATAAATTTCAATTTTCGTATTTTAAATCGATTTTAGGAATCCTCCGAGTACCCCTATTATTTCGTATTCTAAAACAAAATGTAAACGTAATACATCTAATGTAAATATAATTTTATTTTAAATTACATAATCGCCATTATATACCAAAAATAAAATCCAGATTATTGATCGTCAATGTAAGATACATTGTTGTTGTGCGTTATGTAAAAATTGCTTATTAATTAATTAGTAAACAGATCCAACATTTTTGTACCTGGTAGAATATATGTCATTTGTAAAGGAAAATCGAACGGAGGAAAGCACTTACGATGCCTAGTGAAAAAGTACTGTCCAATTCTATGTACTTTTCTCCATATTCGATTCGATTTTAATAAAAATTGGTTTATGATTTTGATATTTTGGTTTTTTTTACTCCCAATAGTTTTTTAGTTGACAGTTGACATCGTTTAATTTGACAGTTTTACATTGGTTGTTATGGAGTAACTAAGGAGATTGTTTCAATTGACAGTTTTATTTTGTAACTTTTGTATATAAAATCTAGCCATCTAACTATAAAAAAATATAAAACAAAAAATAATTCTCGCGAAGTTCTACTGAAATTCTATCACCGATTCTCCCCGTCAGGAAGCGCCACCGCGTCCGGCTCCTTTCCCCTATCATGAATCGCCTTGTGCCTTTTGAAGTGATAGCTGCGCAGGAACGTTTTACCACAAACGTCGCATTTGTGCATTTTCTCGCCCGTGTTGTGCTCGCGGGCCGCGTGCGCCTTCAGATCGCACAGTCGCCCGAACAGCTTCGAGCACACGTCGCACTGGAACTCCTTCACCTTGTTCGCCTCGTGCACCACGAAGTGCCTCTTCAGATCGTTGTTTTTCACGAAGCGCTTCTCGCAAACGGGGCACTGGTGCTCCCTCCTGCCGGTGTGGATGCTGACGTGCCGCTTCAAGTCGTTGCTCGTGATGAAGGATTTCTCGCAGAGGTCGCACCGGTGGTTTCTTTCTCCCGTGTGAATGGCCACGTGGGATTTCAAAACGTTCTTGTGGGCGAAGCACTTTCGGCAGATCGTGCACTGGTGTTTCTTCTCGCCCGTGTGGATCAGTAAATGCTTTTTGAGGCTTTTGCGTTGGTTAAAGGATTTGTGGCAATCGTTACACTCGTAGTACTTTTGCGGGGAATTCGTATTGTTGGTGATTTGCTCTTTGACGGGGGTTTCGGAGTCTTCGTCATTAGTTTTGATGATTACTGTAAGAGGGCAATCACCGTTTATGAAAGGTATGGGAGATTTATTGTCATCGTTTGTGGTGATTAATTGATCTGAATAATCCTCGTGGGATAGTATATTATCATCTTCGTTATTAACTTCTTCAGTTATTTCTTCTTTGATGTATACTATGTGATCATTTTCCTCCCTTTGGCATTTTTTATTATTCTCCGAGCTGTCTTTCGACTGTTTTTCAATGTAACTCATTTATGTAAAATTATTCGATATCAATCAAGTAGCAGTAGGTTCATTACAAACCCAGCGGTGCTGTGACGTGTTTATTTGTTTATTATCCTAAAAGAATAGATAAAAATTGGAATTGTGTTTGGAGTGTTTACTTATAATTTACAATGCTTAAAATGTATACATTTACATCTTTTAATGAATTTCAATAATAAATTTCGGTAATGGTAAGATAACAAAACAATTCAAATTCACTAACCTTACATATAAATAAATTGTGGTCTCAGCTAATTAAGCTATTCGGTATTTCGATCTCTAAATTTCTTCTTTTTTCGAGTTTGACGTGTTTTAATGTCTTCTGTATGTGTCATATTTACGTCAAGAAAGCATGATTGTGGCCAATCACAATAGGCCATGGTTCGATTAAAAATAAAATAAAAATGAAGTCGATTTTCACAAGTTTTTGAATTTTATAATTAAACGGGAAACATTTAGAATAGAAAACCTAAGAATAAAATGAGCGAGGTAGACGTATTTATCAGCAATTATACTCTAGTCGATCCGGAAATTTACGAATTATGGGTTGATGGATACACTGGTAATGATTGTACTTATATAAACTGCATTTCTAAATATTTATCACGAGAAAAACATTATTAAAATTACCTCAATTTTAGCTAGCGAAGCTGTAACGCTTTTAAACAACAAAGGACTAGGCCAACAAACGGGAGCTTCGGTGGAACTGATAGCAAGCGATGTACTGGATCACTATAGAACATACTCTCTGTTAGAGAAATTACTGGGCAATCCGAGCAAACTTCAAGAGCAATTTTTGTTCCAAATCGATCCACCAACTAGACTATTCCTCATAGAAAAGTAGCTAATCTAGTATATCAGGTTCTATGGACGATTCCATTACTTTGTTATAGGTATTATGAATTCGACGATGAAGTAATCAGAGAAGTCCTAGGTAAAAAACTATCATCCAAAAACCGCAAAGATCTCGACGAAGTCGCCGAGAAAACCGGCAAACCGTTGAAATCCTGCAGGAGGCAATTCGACAACGTGAAGAGGATATTCAAAGCCGTAGAAGAACTACCCGGAGTAACAGCGGAGAACATAAAAACTCTGTTCTACCTATCCGACGAGCTCGTCAAGAAATACACGTGCATAGTGTTTATATCGTGCATGAGGTTCGAAACGTCCAAGAAAAGAGTCCAGCGAATGTCGTTTAACAATTTCCGGATATGCTGCGAAGCCATGATCGAAAACTGGACATATAATCTTACAGGTTATCTATTTGTTAACTACGATAATTATAATTTTAATTGTATATCCAACAGGCACGGAATACAACGATTTGGAAATGGACAGGGAATTCCTCTTCGAGTTGCGAGATTTGAAAGTGCTCATGGAGAAAGATCGAGAGCACAAACAGTAAGTTGTTGAAATTTGCTGTCTTTTCAGCTAAAAAAATACATACTCATTGCAGTCTTCTGCTGGTCAATTTGAAACCGAAGCTGTTGCAAAAGAACTACGCCGATTTAGAGTCTAACTTTAAGCTCTACAACAGGGCCATATTGACGTTAGCGACGACTTTGCACCGATCGAGGGATATGAAGAACTTCTTCGTGGATTTATCGCAGATCATCGATTACTTCAAGCAGGGGTATTGGTCGAAGCACGATTTCGAGCAGTTTCTGCTGGTTTACGGGCAATTAGCTGGGGAAAACGATCCGTTAAGGTGAGGTTAATTACTTGCCGTCTCGTTACTATTGCTAATTTTGGCTTTCAGGACAAATGCAGCTCTGAAGGCCACTTGGGAAAAGTTCATAAAAGTGATTGTAAAGTGTTTATTAATTATGTTCAATTAAATGTTGATTTATTAGATCTTGTGAAATTTTGCAAGTGTTGGCAACGTTGTTTTTGTTTAAAAAATCCAGGTAACAATGATATTTTTATTCCATCCGGCAACTTCTTTATGTAATCAGTAAATAATTAACACGAGTTTCTGCAAACAACTTTTATTTTGAGTTAGTGCTTTGAACATTTTTTGTTTCGTAATATAAAGCTTTATTAAATTATATATTTTACATTGTTTGGTTTGAATTTAAATTCAATAATTTCCAATACATGTGCTCGAATTTGATTTGTCTAAAATTTTAAAAACGATTTGTACAAATTTCTATTTTTTAGGCTATGAAGCTTAAGTTCATCGAGGTAGGAGGATATAATATAATACAGAGCGTTTTAAAAAAAATTGGCAACATTGCAGTGATTGGTGGATTGTTTAATAATAAAGGGAGTTTCATTTGGAATTCATCCACTATTGATTTTGGAAATATAGGAATATTTATTTTATTAGTACGCACCCCTATATTTGCAAACCTACTGGAAATGAGTATTATTTTATCGAATAACTCCTTAATTTATGAATCGGCACTACCTAGATTACCAATTTTTTTTTAAACACCCTGCATAATATAGTTAATAAAATATTGAAACTGGACGAAGTATACAAAATAAATAAATTCCAAAAATTAATAATTCTGTCTAAAATATCAACGATTTGGTAATAAATAAGTACGTAATAATATCAATCTACAGCTCTTCTCTAAATGATTTTCGAATTTTCTCTAAGTGCCCAAAACAAATCGAAATGTTCACATTTCAACTTGTGTTGCATAACTTGTACAATAAAAACAGACTAGACGCATAAAAAACAAATATTCATATTCACTGCATAACTGGACAAAACAATGGGCAAGGTAACTGAATGACGATGGTGAATTTAAAAGCCACTTAAATTCGGTGATGAATATTAATGAAGCAATCTGAAATAATGTAAAATTGTATGAAATTAACACGGCAAAAATATGCCCGCCGTTATTCAGTTACACCCTCTATATATAATAAATATAAATACAAAATAAAAAGGCAACAATTTGTATACATATAGTGTTGAATCGTTCCGATACAAATAAACCGTTAATCATCACTTCAGTCAATAAAATTATTCATTTCAACGTTAAAAATAACACAATTTTCTGATGGACAACGTGGTTAAGATTTTATATTAAACAAAATTATAAATACATAAAATTTTCACAGGGGAGAAGTATATAAATAATCCATTTTCGAGTGTATAAATAAATTTTGCGGAAACCAAATAAAGCCTTGGTTCGAAAAGTATCCCGTTAAAAAACTAGCGTTACTGTTATTGACTTAAAGGTGGGACTTTGTACCCTCTTGTTCGTAGAAAAGGACATAAGCTTCCCCACTGACTAATGATCTGGGAGATATCGGTGAAACTCTACAAAAAAATACGCATGCATTAGTAAAAAATTGTGACAAAATAAATTCTAAATAACGTACCTAGAATCGTTATATTCGTGCCATTGTCCAGTGTAAGGATGCCGACAGTACGCCGTGTAATGTCCACTAAAAGCTGTACCGCTGTGATTCGAAATGGCGTACAAATTATATCGGCTAGTAGCAACGTTGTCTGCAGCGTATTGGCTCATGTCAAGGTCCTCCAACGGAAAATCGACGGTCACGTTCAATTTGCCTCTGAATCTCTCGGTGGGAGAGAAACGCTTCAAATGAATGACCAGCACTTTGGGGAATTTGTGTATCGAAAACGATTTCGTGCACCTTCGTCTTTCTTTGCACTTCGAACAAGTCTGAGAAAAATATAAAGAGATCATAACGCGATTCTATTACTTTATTAGTTCGACTTACCGGTTTTTCATCGCCATCTAAAGTCTCCTCGCGCGTGAAACTATCCAAACATTGCGACAACCTCAATTGACCGGTCCTCTGCGGTATGGGCAGGGACAAATCCCAAAACGGATCGAACGTCACGGAGCAATGTCCGCAATAGGTGCATTTCAACGTCGATTTCAATTGACCGACGAAATGATCCACGATTTTCGAATTGTCCATTCGCAGGTATCTTCTCCAAGCCTCTTGCGCTTTGTCGTTATCGCTAAAAAAACGACAAATCATCCAATAGCGAACGTTTCGATAATAAGTTGTGTGAAACAAACCTCAATTTTTCGTCAATTTCCGTCAAAATCGGCTTCGGTTTCTCCATGACTCTGTTGACGTCTTCGTGGAGGCCCTCCAAAAGATACCTGAGAAACTCCTGGGCGTCCTGTTGCGAATAACCGATAAAACGAGGAGCGAACCGTTGTATTTGCCCTTTCAACGACGTCGTGTTCACCACTCTATCCATGCAATCCTCCGACCACAGTTCTCTTATAACCTCAGCAAATGCTACAAAAATAAAAAACACAACATAGTAAAGTTATTAATAAAGGAGATTCAATAGATGCAATTACCTTTGATCAACGACCCCTTCATGCTCGATATACTGGTGTTGATGTCCCTCAGATAAACGTCCTTGCGCAAGTACTCCAACAACCATCTGGTGTTGGACAAGCACTGGATAACGCTGTTCATGAAACACGTATTACCGATGTTCTTGAGGCCGTTGAGACCCGTGCATTTGCCGCCCGAAGCATAATCCGAGGACCTATACAAATAGATAAATAATGACATAACGCCTCGTCTTATAAGGCATCCGGCCACCAAAGACGTACCTGATATTGGCGCCGTAATTGCTAATTGTAACGGCCCTTTCGCCGCCGCTATCATCATCCGAATACTCTCTTATGCGATGTCTGCTCTCCCTGTCTCTTTCGCTCGAACGACGCGATAGGGTGCTGGAATTGAGGCTGCTCTGTATCGAATTCGACGGTGAGATGGCTGTTCTGGTCAATTTCGGTGACGTCGATAGATCCTACAACAATTCGTTCGGTCGTTAAGAAAACAAAAGTAAACAAAAAGAAGACTTTTGTCAATAGTTTGGGTTGTTAAAATACAAAAAAAAATCACCTAAACAACACTCAAAATTAGAGAATATATGTATCGGGTGCAAGGTACAATAACATCACTACACCCAGTACAATAGTGCATTAATTATCGCATTTATCACATCCGATAAAATCGCAACAAAAACAAATTAATATACATAAATACATTGCACTCACTATTATATTATCCTAAACATACCATTCGATACAAGCAATACAATGATGTAGTACTAGTACCAGTACTACCGCCTTTTAAACAAACGCCATTTTTCGACGAACAAAAGCCCCAATTATCCACCAAACCGATCACGAACCCGTACAAAACGATCACGAGCAAAAGCGTCCAAATAATCACTAACATGGAATCAAACGACATTGTGAGGTTTATTTTTTTACCTTTAAATCACTACCTTTTTAATGCACCTGTTATAAATAGTACAAAATATCATCCTAAATCTAATTGAACGCAACGATTGCTGTGAGTAAAACGTGCGCTATTTGTCACATCGTTATCTAGACATCGGTGAATTTTTATTTTCTGAATTAGTTTATCGAAAATCCAACGAGAAATTAAACAATGTGGAGTTAGATAAGATTTTTTTCGAAGATTATTACACGCGCCATGTTGAAAAAAACGTCTAAATATAACTCGACCTTAGGAAAAGTAGAATGAAAATAAACTGTGCCAAGCGGTGATGTTAAAATATTCAAGTATTTATTTATAAAAATGATAATTATTCTCGGTAAGAAAAGAGTTCACTTACTTTTGGGGTTTTCTCGGGATTATTTTTAGTGAAATTGCGAGTATTAAACTAAAATAAGGTAATTTTAATAAATTGATAAGAGCAAAATTTTTCGTACTTTTAACTTTATACTTTTAAGTATGTGTATATTAAAAATCTAAAGCAAATTTCAAATATTAAAGCATAATTGCAAGTTTAAACAGTTTTTTGACAAACATCTACTAATGACAATTTAAAAAAAATACTAATACACATAACAATTAGAAGACATTTTTTTCTACTTTGCACTCTCTCATGTATGCAATTTTGCACAAATTCTAAAATGAAAAGACAATTTTGTAAAGAAATTTTACACAAATCTGATGCCATTTCACTAACTAACCCCAAATTGTCCACAAATAAATAGATAAAACACAAGCGGCTAAAAACATTAATTAAAACGTACCAAAATATATTTTCTTGCTATTTGACTTCTGAGACCTGACTTGTGGACACTACTTGACATTTTTTTAAATTTTGACATAAGTGACAAAAAATTGTAAATATTGAATATTTTTAAACCGAATCCATCAAGTAGCTCGCTCAATTATACAGGGTGTGATCCAACAAAAAAATTAATCAAATATTAAAAAAAATCCAATTTGAAGTACAAATTTCTTTAACGTTAATAATGGTCGGAAAACGAGAAAATTCAATTGAAAATTATAATTTTAATGTACAAGGTGGTTCGAAATAAATCGTCAATAGTTTTACCACACACTTCTGCAAGTTAATTGCTTTAATTAATCGTTTAACATAAATTATTGCAGTAATTGTAATTTTGAAAACACTCTTCTTTATTAAGAAAAATTATTTCAAGTAGGATTTTTTTATCAAGGATTTTATCAATATTTAAGGGTGTGTAAAATATATTGTGCATCGATAAGAAACCACTTGGTATAAAAATATAAATAATAAATATTGAAATTGCAATGCTTTACTTATATGAACGTCAAAATTTGATCAAACAGACACCACAAATAAAGCCCTTATGAAAAAAATAAAAAGTTATTTGCTTGGATATTAATACTCACAAAAAAAACAAGATTAGTTTATTCTAATACTAATAATATTCATTAAAAAAACCACTTGTAGCAAGCAAATAAACTAAATAGAAAAAAAAATACTCACGCTAGTTTGTATCATTTTGCTAATGTAATTTTCCTTGTTATCCATATCATTTTTAGCAGGATTCCCTTTAGCGTCCGTCTGGATGCTCTCAATATCATCCCCCTTTTGAAAATCTTTGGCGGAAACGCTAACGTACGAAGAATAATTATTAATCCTCGACGGGGCGATCAAATCACTCGAATCATCTACAACGGCGTCCTCCCTATCGATTTCTGACCCATTTCTGATCACCGCCTCTTCGTTTACTTCCAATTTAGAATTTGACTGCAAAACATCAGTGTTATTTTGACTTTTAGTGTTGAAACTGTCACTTTTCTTGTTGACAGAAGCATTGCTACTAGATCTTCTGGCTTCGCTCCGCGCCCGCGCGCCATTGGTCGCCTCGACCGGCTTGCTCCGCGTCTCCGGCTGCCTATTGGCCGAGCCGTTGGTACCGTTTTTGACGTGCTGCGCCGGCGCCGTCGGCTTGTCGAATTTCTTGCACAGATCGGCGACGGAGGCGCGGTTCCCGTTGGTGTCATCCTCATCGGTCGAATTGTCGGTGTTAGTATTGTTAGCGTATGCCACACTGTTAGTATAGGCGCTATCCGATTTGCCGTTTACCTTTTTCTTGGTGCCTTTCGCCTCTAACGGAGGCAGACCTGCCGCAATACGAAACGCAAAATTAACTCATTAAATATTCAAATGTGTTCGCGTGAATTTTTTACCGATGTCATTGATGGACTTGGATCGAGAGACGTTTTCGTTCTTTCTCAAGCAAGCAGGCACGTAGTTGGCTGGCGAGTATTTGTTGCGCAATTCCGCCAAAGAATCGATCACGTTCCTTGTAGATAGTCGTTCGTTTCTGGTGGCCGATCCCTCTCTCTGGGGCCCATCGTATTCGATCTCGTAGAAGTGCTCTCTGATGGAACTGATGCCCGAATCGCGCGATAAAGAGTCGCGCCTCGCGCTCGACTCTCGAGATTCTTCCCTGTATTTCGAGGAGCCCTCTTCGATCACGGATCTGAAAAGTACCAATTTTTTACTCAAATAATATTAATTATTCGCATCCGATGTGAATATTCTATTCCATTATCAAAGTATTAGACTAAGAACGAGTTTTTTTTAAGTACAAGGTCGGCGCGAATCTTCGTTTTGTTAGTTTTATTTGCTAATTTACAACATTTTTATAAGCTCCGAATGTCGTCATTTTAAACCATTACGCACACTTAATTTAATGACTCTAATTCCTTTCTAACATTTAATAATACTTAACAAATAAACGACTTATTATTTCAGGAAGTTTAATGCAACCGATGATGTCACAAATAAATTTTTAGAACGACCAAAAATCAATCAGATGACACATTAATCGATTAATCAAACAGTAATACCAATGACATAAAACTAATTTAGCCGTAGAGCACAGGCGACTATGATTCCTCGAGTAATAAACGAAAATCGAGTTACCTGGTGTAGCGGGTGCCATCGGAGAGGATGGATTCGATGCTGATGTATCTTGATGTGGGTCTGTAGGAGTTCGTAGAGGTCGAAGACGTGGAGCGTCCGTAGAAAGGTCGTTCCGTGGACGTCCTGTATTTGGGCCTGTACGAGCTGCTCAGGCTGGACGACGAACTGCGATGGGGACTCACGACTGGCATTCTTCCTGGTATTATTTTAGTTCATTTCACTGGAACTGGACGATTTATTATTGTAATGCACGTTTGATATGCGGTGAGTGAGTGCAAATGTGGGATAAATGTGCGTGTATTTTTTTTTATTTTTATTGCAAGAAAACAGTTCACTGGGTGTAAAAATAGCTTATTTTCTAAAATATGTCACAGAGTAAAACGAGAGAAAAGTCTGGTTATTTTTAGAAAGCAGACTATCACTAGAAGCAAATTATTTTTTTCTTTTCACTTCGCTATTACTATTTCATCGTCTGTTTATTAGACGGTAACAAACAAAAAAACCAAAGCCTACTAATTACTATACAGTAGAAATTAAAAATAGAATACCGATTAATTTTGACAAGCAATTAGTCCACATAAAATTCTTTGAATCATTAGAGAAATTATCTCAACTCACCCCTTACGACTTCACGTTTCGTTTCTTCTTACGAAAATTAACGTACATTCCTTTAAAAAAAACCTTTAATCCCCGATATTCTTTCGACCTCAACCTCCACTATTACGATTCCGCCATTTTAGAAATTAAATGCGAGAGTGACGTCATATTTACATTACTCATCGCATGACCTTGACAAAATTTTGTTCAAAAATGGATCGCAATCTTTAAATGTGATAGAGAATCACCTTGAAACATTTACCCACGTTTGATCTACGTTATTGGTAATTTTATATGAATTCTTTTGCTCCGGTTGCTAAGAAACCCTAATTTCTTCTTTATTTTAATTACTGAATACATCACATAATCCAGACCGGGAGCAGTTTGGCAAGACATTTTACGTGTAAATGGCACGTAAAAAAACTACAATTTACAATTAAATATTTATTTTAAGGTATAATAATTACGTGTACTATCCTATGCGATTTTCATTCTATTAATTACTATTTTATAAAACAATTTATCTCACAATAAAAGATACTCTAAAAAAGAAGAAAAAAGTTGTCATTTGTCATTGCTGTCAAAACTGTCAAAATATATTAAATTTAAATAAAAACCCACATGCATGCATGCACATGCGGTATCACTGCACCGAAAATCGTCATTTATTAATTAAAAATGGCAAAATCCGACGCGGTACAAGTCGATAAATCCGCCTTGATAGCCCAGCAATTAGAATGGATCCGACTAATATCAGGAAACGAAGAGAAAGCCAGATTAAAAGGGCTTAAAAATCTGGGTAAATGGTTACTGATGAGATCTGCGGCAATGCGTAAGTAAACTTAAGTTATCCACTCTATCGATAAATAGAATAATTCCATTTGCAGCGTTTACGGAATTCGACTTTCAGAGGATTTGGAAAGGATTGTATTATTGCATGTGGATGGCTGATAAACCTTTAGTACAGGTATGTAGGTGGTTTTTAATAACCAAGTATTTTAAAAAGAATACATTACATACCTATAATTTATTGTAGGAGGATTGTGCTGAAAAAATATCCAAACTAGTCCATTTTCCTGATGTTCCAACAGCATTAATATTCTTTAAAGCGGGATTGCAAATACTCGCCAATGAATGGAGTGGAATTCAACAATTGAGGCTTGATAAGTTTCTAATGGTAATTAAAATTAAATCCACTCTAATTAAGACACAAACACAAATTTCTCTACCTGTTACAGCTTGTAAGGAGATTATTCAGAGAAACATTCTCAGTACTCAGGAATAACAAATTCAAGAAAAACCACATCGAAGGTTTTGCTGAAATTCTGTCCGATACGATTTTGAATCAGGCCAATAATACTCCCGTAGGACTATTTATGCACGTGGTTGAAGTGTATTTAGAAGAACTTGCTAAGGTATGATTCATGAATAGTTTTCTATTATTATCTGAGCTAGATTATTTGTAATTTATATGTTCCGTTTGTATTTTAGGTATCACAGGGAAAAGTTCAACCCAATCAAGTTTTAGATTTGACGAGACCTTTCATGAAGTATTTGTCGAGTTGTAATGACGGAAGACAAATAGGCCATTTGAGGAAATTCATTTTTACTTATTTAATTAGACAGTCGAAATTAGGATTGGACTACCAAGAGAGATACGAGGCATGGAGACAGGTTTGTTTCGAACATTATCGAATTCTTAACGGTCTAATAACCGTTGTGTTTACAGCAAGGATTTCCCGGCAACATAGACTCCATGCAGAAAATCAAAATAGACAAGAATTCAGATGATAACGAAGATGATGAAGAGAATGAAGATGAGCCGAAGGAGAAACCTTTAGATCCTCGCGCTGGTCGAGTGGATGTAGAAATTCCTCAGCTTAATTTTAAACCACAAGACGTGGCTAATGCCCTGCTTGAGTATAAATTCGAAGCAAATACATCAAATCGATCGAGAGCCATGATCAAAACTTTAGCGAAACAGTAAGTTATTAATATGAAGCGATACAATTTCATAACGAAAAATCTACCTCTAATTTTCAGGTTTACTTCTTTAGCAAACGGGGTTTACCCTCTAGGAATTAAAAAAATCCAAGCAGATGCTAATGATTTGAACATCCGTAAAGCAGCTAAAGAGCTGATAAAATTCGAACAGAAAATCATGGGGAAAAATGCCAAAAAAAGAAAACATGACAAAGAAAACGATGTAATTAGCGAAAACAAGCGCCAAAAATTGAGCGATTGCAACGAAAAGAACCAGCAGAAAAAGAAGAAGAAGAATAGGAACAAGAATCAAAAAGCTTCCGAAGAAACTACTACAGATATCGAGCATTCCACTATAAAAACGGAGATGATAGAAAAGAAAAACAAGGTTAAAGTTGGAATAGAAAAGAAGAATAAAATTCGAACCGTAAAAAAATCTAACGAAATCAAATCGAAATCCAAACTTAAAGATCTGCAAATAGCCCTAACCAGGATTAAACAAGCTCCTAGCGAAACCCTCGAGTGCGTCCTTAAGAGAAACTCAGGTACTTGGTTTGTTTATGAATTGGATGAACCGAAAGCTCCGGGTAAGATCGCTTTCAAACGCGAAATATCTAAAATGACTCGAGTTTGTTACAGATACCCGATCGATGACTCTAACACAATCCGAAGAAATCCCAGCGGTAGAGAAAGAGTTCACTTTAAGTCCCTCGGGTAAATCGAACGAAGGTTAGTTCAAGTTCATTATTAATTTTTATGCGTTATTTATCGATTTCCCGTAGGTAATTCACCAAAAAAACCGTCGGAAACTCCTAACCCGTTGTTCCCGAAGTCCGCATGGGAAGAGCCTCTGCAAGAAGGAGAATACGAGTATTTCGTAACGTCGAAGAAACCGAAATCTCCCCCGGCAAGCGACAAAAACGTCAAAGACATGATCGAATCGACGTTGAAGAGGATCAAGGGCAAGTCGAAGTTGAGTTTGGACTCGCGCCTGATCGAGAACCCGTTCGCTAAACCGAGCAGCGCGAAGAAAGTGAAGATTAACACCAAATTGAACAGGTCGCAGGAGATCCAGGAGCACTACGTTAGGGTGAGAAGCTCCCCGGGGATTCCCTTCGACGCCAGCCGGAGGCCGGCGAAACCGTTGCTGAAATCGGGCGCCGCTTCGTCGCCTATTAATCCGTTTTATAAAAGAAAATCGTTTTTGAAGAAACGTTCCGTTTGAGTAATTGTTTGTAATGGTCATTTTTTTTCTCGATTCAGTTTACTTAGTTATAATTATTTTGTTGAATTTGCTACGTAAAGTATGTTCATGCTAATCAAGTGATGACGTCAAAAAATTTGAGTGTTACATGAGCTATAATTAATTTGAGGCATATTTTACAGATGCTAACATAATTTGTAAATATTAAAATAATAAAGTGACTGTCATAATTGCTGTGGTTGTTTCTTTAAAATTATAGGGTACCTAACTACAATGTTTCACATGTTAAAAACTTTCAACTCGAATGTTTTTATTCGACAACAATGCAATAAAATACAGAAAATAAATCGATAACAAATAACGCTACAATTTTTTATACTGCCAAATAAATCAAAAACATTTTTTTAAATTAATTAGTTTAGGAATCGGCAATTTTGTCAACACTTGGAATTCCACGATACAACAAATAAAGCCTGAATATAATGCTTTAGTTGTCATTTAACATGTTACTCTTACAAAAACCGATACATTTTACTTTATAATAAAATCATTAAATGCTTAAAAATAATTTTAACAGTAGGATCCAACAACAGTACTGAACCTTTCTAAAACTAAAAATCAGAACCGTTTTTTACTTAAATTAGAACAAATCCAATGACTGCACCTTTCCAAGCTCGACCTTCCAATGCGTTTTTCATTAAAAATTACCCATCTCTGCCGTTACTCTAATCATAAAAGTGATGTCGTATTTTTTTAATACAAATATCGGAACATTTACATTACACTGCACTCGGAATTCGGTTGATTAGGAAACGGATTTCCCTGCTGATCGAAATTGAAGGGAGCCTCCAAGTCTCCGACTAATTCCGCTGGAGGTTGGCCGTAATCTTGTAGCTGAAACAATTACAATTAGTTTAAAATATACAGGATGTTTAACAAAAAGAAACCTTTTGCATGAGTGTCAATACTTTATTGAACCTCTCCTTTTTAACATCTGTACTATCGCTTTCCTGCTCTTTGTTCAACTCCTCCAACACTTCTTCCATCAGCTTTTTCTGATTTTCATAACGTTCCACATCTTTCTTATCTAAAGTTTCTTTATTTTTCTCAATGTATTCGGGCAACCTTTGCACAAAGTCCTCAAGACTGGGACCCAGGACTTCCTTCGACAGCAATCCTTGCATCATTCCTGAACAGAAAAAAATCAAAGGTCAAAACAATATTTTACCCTCATTTTGCAGAAGTATTATTACCCTGCATGAAAGGAAGAAGATCGTTTTCGGAGCCTGCGCTATTACCCGAAAACATTTTCATCAGTTCTTCTTCGTTTATGGGGGCCTGGAGGCCCTCTGTTCCCGCATTGAGCGATTTTATTGCTTCAGAGATCGAATTGGAGAAATCCGTCGATGTATCATTGGCTTGAGCCGGATTGTCCAGAACTTGTTGTGCTGCATCTGAAAACGTCAAAATGACAAGTGACAATTGACGTTGTTTACACAATTTTAGGATATCTATCGGGAAATATACAGAACTGCTTTCCGATAATTGTAACAATTCGTAGACTTACCTGCCATTTGTTTCAGCTTATTCTGAATGAATTCCGGAGTGACTTGTGCATTGGGATCAGCGTTGGCCAAGAAACTAGCGAAATTGTCTTCGAACTGACTAGCGGCCTGCTGGATGAAATCTTGCGACCAATCTTGATCGGGTTGATTTTGACTACTAGACGTGCTAACGGTACCATCAGACTTTGCATTGGCGTCCTTTGGGCTTTTCGCCGCTATCGAGAAATCCTCCAGAGCACCTGAAATGAGAACGGATTAAATAAAATGTACAATTTATGTTATATAATCAAGTCCATACTATCTAAGAGATTCGATAATTCTTCGTCAGTGGCGTTTTTCGTTTTCGGCACGTCTTCCTTTTTGTCCGTCATTGTTACAATTGCAAAACGGGAAATTAATACGAAATTAAATTACAACCAATTTCCTGCACCTATGAACCGTATCTGGTGACAAAATTATTTAGATATAAAACGAATTTGCATAAACTTAACTTAACTTACTATTAGGTAATTCGTAAGGACTAAACCTTAATTTATATTAATTTAGTGAAAATTTTCGTTAAAAAAATTAATCACGTTACTTTTTTCCTTTTTTTATCTTGCTTTTTTTTCACATGCCACTTGTCACTGAGGTCACTACGTCGCTACCAGTTTAACGGCCCTTTACTAATAAGGCAAACAGCTACAAAGAATATTTTCAATCCCCGCGTAGAAAATTTGTTAGAAATTATGTAAAATAACAATTATACGCCTAGCTAACATTGCGGGTCCTCAAACAAACGCCACATTTTTTAATAAAATATGGTTTAACTTCAGACGAGACAGTGACATTAACCTACAGCGTGCAGCGCCATCTGTAAATGTTCGAGTCGGAAATAAACTTTGCCTGTTTTGTGTAAACGATTTTGTTGTGTTATTGATTGATTGTTATGCATTTAAATTTTATTTAGTCCAAGAACAATCGCCAGAAATATAAATTCCCGCAGATTGCGTTCGAAATTACCGCCGAGGTCCGATAATCAGGTGAGTTTTATTTATGATCCGGCCATTTACAAGCAAACAATCAAATCGACTGTAACAAAGTGCAAACGAATCTTTTTATCTGTTTGTTTCGACTTTTAACTTACCTTCATTTGTTATGTTTCTTTTGAAGCTACTAGATTTTCGCGTACCATGTCGAAGAAAAACCTGGCTCAGCAAGAAACCAAAATCAAGGATTCTTTATTCGATTTCGTTAAGGCAAATATACCCGAGGCTGATTTGAATTTAATCGACGAAATTGTTTTGTCTTACGTTATCGCCGTTTTGGAAGACGTCGGGTCTGATCCTGTGTTTGATGTGGAAGGTAAATATTTTTTAACTTACCGGCCAACTAGATTTTAACGATTTTTATTTTGCCATATTTGAAGTTCATAGGTAGGTTGATTGTGTCTTGAAATAAGAAATTATGAAGGCGATTTGAAGCGTAATGTCACGACTACTTGATTTTTGTATTGTTTAATGTATTCTTGTGTTTTTAGGATTTTGCGAGATGATGTCCGCATACTTTCCGGAGTTCGAATCGATAAATCACGCTTCAGTTTGCCAATGGATGTTCGAATTGGAGGCGAAACTTCAGGTGGCTGAAGAAGAGTCGGACGAGTCCCCGAAGAGTCCCACTCTGGACATATCACTTCCGGAAATCGTTCCGAAACCTAAAACAAGGTGCGTTTAAGAGAGATAGTTAGCACTCTTAGATATTTGATTTTCTTCGATTTGCAATTTGGGTAAATTTTAATTTTAATTTGTATTAATTTTAGGACTGTGAGCGTAACTTTTGAGCCAGATGCACCGAAGAGGGTCCATAAATTGTCCGAAATGAGCGATGGCGGTTCTACGGATGGATCTTGCTGCGAATTTTCCGACGAAATGGATATTTTACAGGAGATGTTTCCTACTGTGTGCAGCATCGAGGTATTATCACTATTAATATACATTTTTTTGTAATTTAATGAAAATTTCTATGTCATAGGTGAAACATTGTTTGGCAATAGCTGCAGGCAACATTGAACGTGCCACTCAGATTCTGATCGATCGTCAGGAAAACGGCCAATGTCTGAATCAAAACAGTCCGTTAACCATACAGGTAGCTAAGAAGACCATTGACGACTCGGAATTGAAGAATCGAATCATTGAAAGATACTCTTACATCGACAAAGATGCTTTCACCAAAGAACACAGACCGGTAAGTGAATTTTTATGCAATTTTTTTGAAATTTTATACAAGTTTTAGTAGAGTAATAACACAAAATTAAAGTACAAGTGAAATGTTTTTAGAGGATTGCTTCATTGCGCCATTTTTAGTTTTATTTAGCAGGCTTTTTGCAGGTGAATTTTTAATTTTTTTAAATTTTAGGCGATTTGCTATATCAAAAATTTTAAATTACCTTTTCTTCTTTTTCTCCAAATTTAATTGTTGGTTAATTACCCGAATAGTACAAGTCAATCGAATAATTATTAGTTTTGACAGTGTTGACATTTGAAACAATTCAAATTTCAATATTTTAGGTTATGTTCATTTGTTGTTGTCTTTTTATGGATTACTTTTGACTTGTTTAGCCTGTTTTGGTTGAGTTTTGCTCAGTACTTTGGGCCGAAATGAAAATATGTATCATTTTACATAATTTTTAATCAAATCGATATGTACTATCGATCAAAATTCTCAGACTTTTCATTGATTGTTGGACAGGTGGCCCCGAAAGTGGAGCCGAAGAAAATGGTGCGCTATCGCGACAACAAAATCGTCAGCCTGAAGGGCGAACGTTTCACAGAAGTGAAAAAGGGCGAAGACGTCGACGATATTTCGCTAAAGAAAAACAAGAAGGGCAACACCCCGTAACCCGAACGTCAAACGGGCCCCGTTATCGGGTCAATGCAACCAATGCAATCTCCCTTCAGCGACTTAATTTCATTCGACTCGAATTTCATGTGTTTTTCAGTTCCTCGTTTGAATGTTTTACGGACATATTCAGTGTTAATGTTAATGTTAGATGAAACGGGGCCGCCCTCGCCTGCGGGGCCCCTCCTAGGAAGTATTTTAATCTATTCGGGTAGCGAATACTTATTAAGCATATATGTAATTGTCGCCGATTTTAACTAGCTATAGGGAGCAAGTGTTAGGTTAGTGTGCCGGCGAAATGAACACCAAAAAAAATATGTGTGGATTTTGATTGTCATTTCCATCTTCTCGTTACGTTTGTACCCCTAAAAATACTCATTTTATTCCTTCTGGAGATGGGGGATTTTGTTGTATAATTATTTCAAATGATACCACTTGAAACTCTTGGACCCATTAATGTTTTACCTGAATGTGATGGTTGTAAGAAAATGTGATAAACGTTTGTAAAGCCGGCAACACTGCGCTTAACAACTTGCTCCATTTTTCGATGTATACCTATTTAGTATTATTGTATTTATTAGGTACATTAAGCTAGTCAAATATTATGATATAAAGTATTCCAAGGTTTGTTAAAACTCTTTGAGTTGGTTTGGTTTTTAAACCCTGGTCTAAAATAACTGAAAAAAGAGAAACAATTTTTTATTTTGTACTTTATAAATTTAGCTATTTAACATTAGCTATTTAAGAAAAGTTTGTGTTTTCGAAGGAAAACGAATTTTGGACTGATTTGTTCAATCTGATTTTTATGATTTTTTATTTAATTTTAATTATGTGATATTTTTTTATATAATTAAATCGGTAAGTTTATCATTATTTTATCGGTTATTCTAGATCGATCATTCGTTAAAAATATTCACATGTTTACCTGTGATTTCGTCTATAATATTAGTTAATTTTTAAACGGGACATAACTTTAAGCAATTAGAAAAATGAGTATGATGTACCAGCAGTCCCGCTGCATTTTCCATTATTTTAATATTTGTAATTAAAAGAAGAGGAAAATGTAACGGGACATCGTATTTATTACACACTATTGTCCATTAATGTTTATTTTTATTGATTTCGAAACAATTTCGCTATTTAAAGTTATGGCTTTGATATACCGAGTGTTCAATTAAATAAGTTCTAAATGTCGACTCGAATCTTGTATGATGTAAAAATTCTGTTCAACACAAAATGTCTTACGAAAAAAAAAATTAAATTCGTTTTAAAAATAAATTTGATGATTTTTTTATATGCCATTCCTTCGAATAATTCCTGAAAAAAGTGATTTTTTTTTCAACAGGGGCTCTACGATTTGTATAAATTTAATAATGTTTTATAGTTCACACTGTATACTATAATGTCAATTTCAGTGATTATGTCAGTTTACTGAACAATCCTAACATTTTTCTTTACTAGTAATTGAAGAGTTTTAACCATGACGGACCCGGACGGTCCTAAAGACAAATTTTACATTGTCTATTTTATATGTTTATTACACGGTGTTGGGACGTTAACTGCTTGGAACATGTTCATCAACGCCCGAGATGTAAGTAGAGACACTAATGAGTGCAATTAATTTATTATTCCATTTTCCAGTACTTTAAAGAGTATAAACTATCGGACGATTACATCGGATACCATTACCCACACGGAGACCATTTCATGCAATACTTGTCCTTCTTTTCGATGTTCCCCGCACTGGCTTTCATGTGGATCAACATTTTTGTTCGACTGAAAAGCGCCATTGTATGGAGGATCATCTTGGGCATCGGAGTTTTGATCGCTATTATGACTTTCACGCTCGTGATGGCTATTTTCAATACTAGTCATTGTCCCAATTTCTTCTTCATTGTAACGATGATCTCTGTATTCCTCATAAATTGTAAGTTAATCGGAGTTTAGGCTCGTTTGGTGATTCATAGTCTGATTACCATCGTGTATCCAAAGTTGTCTATTTATCAATAGACCAGGTCTACTGTGTGGTCTACCATAATATTTGCGGTCTACCTGCATATTTCGTCGCCCAAGTACATTTAAATACTTTGACATGTGTCTTATTTGCAAAATTGAAACTGGTTGTGAACATGTCTTACAAAACTGCAAATGTTTGTTCATTTAAATTTTTTTCTCTTACATCTCCTACAGTTTCCGAGATAACTGTACTAAACATCGAAATAAACTCACCCTGTATAATTCTAATACTTTAATACTTTCTCTTAATGAAGGGTCAATTTTCAAAATCTTATACTGCTTATAATCTTATATCTTAGCTGTTATACTTTGTGTAAAATAAATTTGGGTAGACCGCATACTAAACCAGATACGGTAGGGTAAACCAGATTTAGAGAATTCATCAATACGGTGGTAATTGGGCCTCAAAAAAAGCATTTTTTTGATTTATTTTCCTTTTCAGCCGCCAGCTCCGTTTACCAGAGCACCCTTTTCGGTATAGTGGGAAAACTACCGCAAAAATACATGACCGCAATCGTGATAGGAAACAACGTTTGCGGCACATTCACCAGCATTATTAGCATATTAACGAAAGTCGCCTCGACTAATTATAAAACGGCAGCCATTTACTATTTTATGATAGCTATCATCATATTGAGCGGTTGTTTTGCTTCATTCTTCATTGTAGTAAATAACGTAAGGCTACAGTACATTACATAAATGCTCCTTCGTACATAATACAGCAAGAAATTTTAGGAATTTTATAAATACTACGACCAAAAAGAAAATGCCGGTGTAATGAAAGGTGAAGAATTACCACCTTACTGGACCATTTTCAAGACAGCTTTCCCCCAATTGTTGAACATCATTATGGTATTTATCGTCACACTTACATTGTTCCCATCTATGCAAGCAGGTAAGAGGCCGCTTCGAAGAGACTATTACGCCCGATGATTATCGGTTTTTTTACAGAAATTGTCAAAAAGAGTCCGAGTTTCTTCGTCCCCGATAAATACTACGCCGATATAATGTGCTTCTTGAATTTCAACGTGTTCGCCATGATCGGTAGCTTTATACCGGTCTTCTTCGTCTGGGTATCTACGCAATTTATTTATTTAAATAATTTCAGTAGAACTATTGCTTTTTTTAGCCGGAACCGAAGTGGGTATGGTTGCCGGTATCATTGAGATTCTTGTACATACCGCTCATGCTGTTTTGCAATTACCAAATCCAACAAGCCGAAAGGGCCTTACCGGTATTTTTCAATGATTACGTTTATTTCGTGTTTGGCTCGACCATGGCCTTGACCAGCGGGTATTTCAGCTCCGTTGCGTCGATGTACGCCCCGAAGTATGTATAATTTGCTCAAAATATGTCTTACAAACACCTGGTATTGTCGAATTCTACTCCACAGGACGTTTCTTATGTTAAACACGCCACTTTAAAGAACAATATTAGGGCTTCTAAAGTATTCCTTAAAGGATTAGAAGGCTCGTTAGAACGCCCTGGGTGGGTAATAGTAATAATAATACTGTGATATTTTTCGCAGAACGGTAGAGGAGAAACATTCGATGGTTGCCGGTATGTTCTCGGGAGCATCTTTCCTAACGGGAATAAACATTGGCATATGGGTTTCCTTCATTTGGCCCACTTTGTCGACCTTTAACTTTAAAACTCCCAGAGTTCCAGCTGCCCTTGACACGGAAACCTTTTAGGACATCCTTCGCTGATGCTTATGTCGAAATTTCAGTACCACACTCTTCTTAGAAGATTATTTTTCTATTGTATTTAATCGGTTATATTATGTGTGATAATAAAATTTACGTTTTTAAGCAATTTTTATTCGAATTTACATTTATTTTATATAACACAAACATACTTATTACTGAAAAAAATATATGATTAAAAACGCTTTGTATCAAAAACATATACAGGGTGGCCCATTTAAAACAGTCCAAGCATGTGGAGAAATATGTTGAACAAAGACTTTATTACTGCATAAGGGGCGCAATTTGAACATTTACTTAATTAAAACTTGTTTGGAAACTGTTTTCTTCGATTAATTTCATCACCGGTGTTTTAAATTAATTTTAACGCAGACCGAAATGAAATCAAAATCAACCGACCTCGGGTATTTTCAGGTGGACTGTTTTAAATGGACCACCCCGTATAAAGTTATTATCATTCACACTTCAGCAAATGTCAGTTTACTGAACAATTTTAATTTTATTTTTTGTTACGGGAAATTGAACAGTTTTAATCATGGCTGAAGCGGACGGACCTAAAGACAAATTCTACATCGTCTATTTTATATGTTTTTTGCACGGAATCGGGGTGTTAATTACTTGGAACATGTTCATAAATGCCCGAGATGTAAGTAGAAATGTTCAAGCTGCTTAAAGGTGTGTTATTAATTTGCAATTAATCCATTTTCTAGTACTTTAAAGACTATAAACTATCGGACGATTACATCGGATACCATTACCCACACGGAGACCATTTCATGCAATACTTGTCCTTCTTTTCGATGATCCCCGCGCTGGTTTTCATGTGGTTGAATATTTTTGTCCGACTGAGAGGCGCCATTATATGGAGAATGATCTGGGGCATTGGAATTTGATCGCTTCCATGATTTTAACGCTTGTGAT